CCTCATGCCCTCTTATATGGGATGGGGGGAGAGAAGGTGAGGACATTCAAAATATGACCTGCATTAATGTCAGTAAACCCAAGTGCATCAGAATATTGATGCACCTACAAACAAATCAATATCTGAGCAACATGTTAGTATGAGTAATCAAAGATAAGAAAAAAATTAGACTTACTGCAGATGAGAGGAAAGAGAGGGCCGACCAGTGGTGGAGGTAGAGAAGAGAGAGGTGACCATGGATGTGTCAATGTTTTAGGACCCTCACACGGAACATACAAACACTATCTGTGCCACCTCTCCCCCCCTTGTCCGCACTTTTGCAGCCCTCCCATTGGGTCAAATGGAGAATTGACGGCTCCAACCGATGCACGGCCACTGCACAGCCACATCTCGCTGGCGTCCTTAAAGCCAAAAAATAATAATTTCCCGCATTGTGATTTATTTCAAATATGTAAATAACATGTTGGTATAAGAGTATATTTCATTCCCAACTTGTTCGAGGTGAAATGATTTCCAAATGATTAGTATTTTCAATGGTAGGGTTCTCAAGTTTGACTTCGCCGTTTTCGCGAGCGGCGGACCCTAAGTGCGGACAAGGGGGGGAGAGGTGGGGCAGTTACAAACACTAGTCCTCGCTCCACCCTGCCGGCTAACTCGAGCAACTACACTGAATACCCAAGAACTCCCTGTTCCCAACCTCACAAAACCGTCTTTCTTCCCTCACTTCCTCTTCCAGCTGCTCATCCTCCGGCCCGTCCTCCGCTCCCCAAGGCCTGAATGGGTTACTGGCCATCTCCAAGAGCTTCATGAGCAGCTGCCTGCTGCCTTCTGCATCCTCCTGTGCGCGCTTGATCACCTCCTCGAGCACCCATTGACGGAGCACGAACCGGGGATTCGCGCCGCGTATACGGGCTTGACGCTCCGCATCTGTGCATCCCTCTTGCTCGAGCCGCTCAGAGTACATTTCCAACCACGCCTGCCAAGCATGACGCGCCTGTAAGGAGCAGGAAGAACCTACAAGCCGATCGAGCACGGATTGCGGCGCCGATGGCCTAAAGTCACCAAGAGCACGAAACGTCGAATGGAAATCCATAGTATGGGTATCCATAAGGTCCAAGAACGGGCGAACGATCTTGTCCGGATCGGACGACACTTGTTCTTTCAGTCCGAGCCGCTTTCGCATAAGAGCCCAGTGCTCAGTCTCGAAGATCTTCATGCTTTCTAGCTCGATGTCTTTCATCGCCTCCATTCCCTTCTCTTTCCACTGCTCGATCTTCTCTTCGTCTGCACCTTCTGCCCAACCTTCGCTCACTGGTGCGTTGCACTCGACCTCGGCACCCACCAGCGGGCTGATGGCTTCTTTCAAGGCGCGTATGGCGAAGATGCTTTAGAGAACACGTTGAGCAGATGATCGACTGATAAGGGGGGACGCTCACATCATTGTTGGCTGCAAACGATAGGAGTACCTTCCTTCCTGATCCGTGTGGTTGCAAATATGATTAGGATCGTAGATATCCATGAATGCGTATGGGCCATAATCAATAGTCAACCCGAGCACCGAAATGTTATCAGTGTTCATTACACCGTGCTGAGAGTAGTTCAGTCGCACTCCAAATCGCTCTTCAGACAGGCATACCATGAACCCATACGCCTGCCAAGCGGCACACATGCGCATGTTCCGCTTCGCAACCTCCTTGACCATATCAAGCGTACTCTGCACACCTAGCAGCCTCTTCGTCCACTCTGTCAACTTCCTCATCCCTTCCCAGCCCTTTTCCAGTTTCCCCCCAGCACCGAACAGGAACACATGGTTAGGCCCGTTACACGCTTCGAAATTTCCGATCCGGATGAAACTGGGAGCGACGCGAGAGCATATAGCGGCCGTTTCTGTCCGCTCGCGCTCTACCGGGACCTCAGGTAGTCCGACGAGGGACAGACACCTGCTGGTGGGGATTCCCAGCGCGTGCATCGCTTCAGAACACAGGACCTCGCGAATGCTGCTCCTGAGGACTGCGAGCCCATCCGCTGTTCTGGAAAACGGTGTTCTTCCGGCGCCTTTGAGCTGCAGTTCCCAGATTTGACCCTCTTCGTTGGGGGACGTGTTGGGAGTCTCGAGGATGGAGATCGCCCGCCCGTCCCCGAGTTGACCAGCCCAGGTACCGAACTGGTGCCCACAGTATCGTAGTGACCAGGGGGAATAAGCCAGGTTTGGATCTTCGGATAGGTTTGCAAGCACGCTTTGGCCTCCGAGGATTGAGGTGAGCTCGTCTCGCACTGAGTGAGGTGCTGGCTCTTCTTCCTGTGCCCTACTGCTTGGAGAGAGCTTGGGCTCACCAAGTAGGTCAAAGGCGTCACCCACGTCCAAGTTGGGGAAACAGTCTCGCAAGCACGCTTTTGACAGTGCGAGTAGCTGCGCCGGTCCTTCATGAGGGATCTTCGCCTTCCACAGCTCCAAGTCACCGTCGTTCGACGCCTTCTGCACCCTCTCGGTCGCCTCCCTTTCACTCAGCCAGCCCTCGATCCACTGCCCATCCGCGTCTTTCTGCTCATCCGGCACTTGGATGCGGAACGGAAACGGGATTGGCAAAGGCGAGATATGGGAGAAGTGGGAGTTGCCGGGCAGGATACGAGCTCGGCGCTGCACAGAGGGGCAGTCGCGTTGCACATCTTGCAGCTTCCTGGGTGAAGGGAGAAGTGGGTCGGACGTGAGGTTGTTCTGTAGCCTCAGATGCGGCGGTGCGACTGGCAGTGAGGCGATAGGGAGAAGTTTGGACGACATCCTGGGCAGTGTTGTGCGCATCCAACAGTTGTGCTAGCTGGCCACTGTCGGTTGGTAATTGAGGGCGCGAGTTGGGGTCTACTACTTCTTTGACGTCACTTTCCCTTTCGCCATATGGGGATACTGCGACGTAATTTCGTATTATTCAGTACACTTGGAGTACACTTGGAGTACACTTGAAGTACACTTGGATTCATAAAGATACAGCCATGATAAATATATGGTACAAGATGATCCTTCATCCCGCTATATCCCATTTTGGAACATCCTAAATCGTTTCTGCTTACCCTGTTCCCTCCAATCCGCAGCATTTCCCATATTAACATCTTCCTGACGTCTCTTCGCTCCGAGCCCCGCCCTTCCACTAGTACCAACAGCGACGATTGGCTCGCTTAACGCATTCGAACTCTCGGTGCCGAGTGTCATCCCCGGCGTCCATCCCTGTTTGAGCAGTAGGGCATGACCGATATTGGAGCTCTGGATGGGCTGGGAAGGCGCAGAAATGGGTTCCGGAGGGGTACGAGGGAAAGGAGCAGGTGAGGACGTTCCACTTGACTGACGAGGTTCGGGATGCAGTTTCCGTCGTTTGGCAGAACGATCTATGTATCCGGAGCCTGGGGTGGTCGCTGGCGTAGGTAGGGTTGATAAAAGCGAGCTCTTAAGGCTCGACATGTCGTGTTTGTGCTTGACACGCTTCTGGGTGGATGACAATGTCGGTCCGTACGCAGTTGTACTAGAGCTTTCCGACTTGCCGTTCTTGTTTTCTTCGTAGAGCGGTATTTCCTTCTCCTGAGGGGCAAAGCACACTTCGCAGGGCAGGCCATCTTTATGCGCGTGCACTAAGAACGTCGTACTGCCAATAATGAGGTTATCGAGATGCTTCAGCGCCCTAGGCTGACTCGCAACACGTGGCGGCGATAGTCTAACCGGCTCAGATCCAGTCGTGTGAACAAACGTCCCATGCATAGAGCCCATATCCACCACAGCCCACGAGGCGAGTCCCGAGTCCCAGAAGATACTTGCGTGAAACTTGGACACTGGCATCTCTCGCAGTCGCAGGCGTGGGCCAGGAGCGGAATCCCGGCCTATTGAGCATCCCTCTGATGTATTAATGACCGCAACGGTCTTCCCTCTGAGGAACGAGTACCCAGAAGTAGAGAGCACGACGAGTCGCAGATCCGTAGTCGCCAAGGGGCGGTCGAACACCGGTGTAGGGAGAGGGTCGCTCGGTCCTGATGGAGGAAAATCGGCTTCAGTGCCAGGCCACTCGTACTCGGGTTTATACCCCTTGAAGCTGGGCTGATCATGCTCCGGCTCGGAGATTTCGCCAGACTCGCGGTCTTCGTCTGCTGACGCGCTAGCGCTCGCGGAGAGCTCGTCTTCTGATAAAGCGGGAGAGTCGTGAGGATTGTGAAGCCGTCGTGGTGTGGGAAGTTTGAGGAGGGACATTATTAAGATATGCCTGGCGGTCACATTCCATTGGGTTGGGTGGTTGTAGTAGAACGATAGCGAAAGTTGTTGGTGGGGAATGAGGGTGAGAACGGAATCAACTGAGTTACGGAATAATGTCGGATAGTGTGCGGTATTACACACGACCCCTCGTACTTGAATTTGTTAAATTATCAGTTACCAATCCCTTACACTTTCTCTATGTATGCATGTAATCCAATACCATTCAGCGTACGAATTCAGGCCATCACTCGAGGAAATCCTCATCTTCCTCAATCAACTCCTCTAACCAGTGGAAGAACGACGTGACCGGGAAGCCAACCACATTATTATAGTCTCCTTCCACTCTCGAGATCAACAGACCCCCACGACCCTGTGTGACACGTCAGATCCTGCATGCACCGGGTGGTAAACCTCCTGCCTGGACAGCGAAGCCACCTGCACGGTCGATTCCTTCCCTGCAGTCGGCATAGGCCTCGAGCAGGTGAACGGGGCTGTCCGCGAAGTAGACAAATGAGCGCTCGTCGATTGATCTACCCAAGACGTCAGCCAATATACATGCAACATAGCAGCGTCATACTGAATAGCATAACCAGGCGCCGCTAGGACGGGATACACTGCATTCCTTGTGAATAGGCGCACATATGAACGAATAAACAGGCATACCGATCGTGATACCCGTGACGACCTCACACCTCTGCCCATTCAGGTCCAGCAGCATGCGCAAGTTGTCCGCTTGCGAACTGGGCTTTTCCAGAATCTCCGGGATGGGCTCGTTGATCAAGCTAGCGGACGTTCCGGGCACAGGCATAGTCACGGACGACAGGACGACAGTGTCCGCTGTGGCGTACAATGAGCAGGGCCATGAAAGTGCTAGCGAAGGTGGACGAACCAGCGATGACGAGATCCGGGGGATCCTCAGGATCCTCTTTCTACTATCTGTGTCAAAACGATGTTGAATAAGAGTGCACCAAACGCACCACAAGCCGTTCGTAGACTTCCACAGCCTATATGCCTGTCAATCTCAGCCCTCTCCACTCTGCTCAAAAGCGGACCTTGTGGGTCGCCGTCGCGACCGGGTACTCATACGGACTCTCGAAGTCCCTCTGGGAAAGATTCTCCGCAAACGTCGAGGGTACGACCTCCGGTTCCAGTCCCTGTCACACGAGCTGAGAGTCAGAAGTTGCAGATCGGAGTGGTAGGATGGCGCACGACGACTCGGAGGATCTCGCGCCTTCGGGGACTGTTGGACGCGAGCACTACACGTTTCCCCGCGAGCTTGATGAATGCCGGCGTGCGCAGTGCATGGTCCAGGACAGGGTTATGGTGTGGCATGGTCTGTGGACGTTTTGTAGTTTAGAGGAAAATAGCGCTATGGGCGAGCGCTGGCCACTGAGTCGGATGAAATCGAACGTGCGTTGGGGAACACACGACCACCGCGAGTGAATGATCTTTGGGCCCTGACAACCAGGGTCATTGAATACAATACACCCCACACTTCTTCATCAATGCATACGTGTTCTTCACGTCTGTTCTTGGCCAGTTACATGTTATGTGATGCTACATGGTACAGCAGTCCGATGCTTGCACTTTAGGTTTTGTGTATAGTCCAGAACAAGGGCGAGAAAGCTGGCAAGGTGGTAGAAGCCCGAGTGTTTCTGCGCCGTAGGTGGGCACTCGCTTTCCCGGTCGTAAAGTTATTGGGTGTCACTCTCCGGATCGATAGTGGGATCCTCATCCAGATCAAAGGAAACCTCTCTTCCTTTGCCTTTGTCCTCCTCTGCCGGTGTATCTGTTTCGGCGGCCGAGGCGGAAGTCGTAGATGGAGCAGGGTCCGCACCCTGCCCGTGTTCACCTTCTTTCAGCTGCAGTGGCTCCGAATGGCTCGTCTCGTCCCGTGCCTGTGCTTCCTCATCTTCTCGTACCAGACTGGTTTCTTCATTCGTTGCAGGCGGGGGGTCATCCGCAATTTCAGGAGGATCTTCCGCAGGATCCGACTCCTCTCCTCCCTTTCTCCTCGGGTCTGGTCGGTGCATCTCCTCAAACGGCGGTGGCAGCCAGCTCATCGCGTCTCTAGGCGAGTACATGTATCCGGGAGGTGGCCCATACCCGTATTCCATATGAGGTGGCGGTGGCGGTCCTCCGTACATGCTGGCAGCGAAACGGGGGTCGGCAAATGCAGGGTGCGGAGGGGCGTACGGGTAAGGGGGCATCTGCAAGCCCGGAATCATTCCCTCCCTCGGGCCGGTGTCGGCCCTCCGACGTCTCTTCGGGCTCTCAGGCTCATCCTCCGGCGACGCTACCGGCGGCGGACGACCCTCTGCAATAGCGAGGGATTGAGCTACTGCCAGCTCCTTCTTCCTTACTCTGCCGCCGGGGTTCTTGTCCGGCCCCCTTCTTCGAGGCTGAGCGTCATATTCGCAAATGGTGCCGCGGCGTATACAGTTTTCACATATGGGCTTCTCTCCGTTGCACTTGATTTTCCTGCTACGGCTATAGGAAGCACGGGACGATGGTGAGAAGTTGTGGATACCACGACGTCATTCAGGGTCCTACTCACCACGCTACACACGCCAACATGACCCGAACACCACTCCGTATGGGCAGCGAGGCCCGCCGCGGCCGAGTACTGCTTTCCCCTATGACTTGAGAGGGAGATGCGTCTGGAAACGGCAGGGGGACGAACGTCGGTTGATCCGATGTCGACGCGTCCGGGGGAGAACGGGTACGCTTTCGAGATGGGGGAAGCGGACCATATGCGGATGGAGGGAGAGGGGGATACGGTGGTTGATCTTCGCCTGTGGGAATGAGGGAAGGTGGCAGGGGTGGTAAGGTGAATGCTGGCGGTCGTGAACCGCGTGATGGAAGGGGGAGGTGGCCGGATGCGCTTTGGGGTGAGTTAGACGAGGATGTTCCTTCGGTTAGCGAGACGGGAAAGGACGGCGGTGGCGGCCGTTGCGGCTGCTGTTCAGGCTGTCGAGGCGGGCGCTGTTGATCACCTGAGTCTGATGGTGGTTCACTCATGGTCAGCGTGGCCTGATGCAATGAAGGGGGAATAAGGAGCGGATAGGGTAAGGCCGGGAAGTTTGGATCGGTGAGATCGCCAAACTGTGGAAAGAAGAAGGCGCTGGCCTGATTGAATGTGAGGTCAAAGGAAGTGGGGTCGAATTCTGTCAAGTCTGTGTAAATAATAGGGCGGCGCCGGGAGCGGTGCGAGAATAGGGATTACGTGAGCGGACGTGCAGTGCGCGAAGGCATGGGAATACCTACTTTGGGAATCCGCCTGGGTGAGAACTAGGCTCAGGTCGGGAGCAGTTGCGGGAGCGGTGGTGACGGAATTGTCGGCAATATTATATTCAGCGATGGATGATGGGAGTGTGTGCACGTTGCTGACGTTGACGTTGACAGCAGGGGATGTTGAAGTGGTGTTAGGGGATATAGGTGACGCGCGTGCCTGTTCGAGGGGGAGTGGATGGTTATGAGGACAAGTAGGCGATGACTGGCCGTTTTGAGGCTGAGAATGTGCGTGCTTCTTTCTGGCCGCCGGGAAGGTAGGGGAGCTGGGGGTGGCAGGGGAGTGTGGAGCCGACCGAGCTGGGCACGCGAACAGCGTGGTAGTGAGCGTGGGCGTGCGGCATTTTGGGTCACCGAACATCTATCAATTACTTGTAATCTCTTGCGGGGGAGAGGCCACTAGCATGCTTGCCTCTCCCTTCCCTCTTCAGCGTAACAAGGCACAATCAAGTCGTCAATCTTGATTACGAAGTCTGGTGCTCCGTCAGTCACAGTTCAGTTCTCCCCCTTTGACCACCACCATAACCACCCCCCCTTACGCCTCGGCGCCAAAACAAGGCACAGACGTGCGGGAGCAGCTTTTCCACGTTGTCTTGGAAGATACGGAGACCACCGTTCTGTTCGGGACCTGAGCCTGAATGATCCAAGGTAACTGGAATGGGAATTAATGCGGTGCGGCGGGGCGGTCCTCCGGTAGGGTTTCGGCGGTGCAGAGTCCAAAAACTGTCGATCGCGTGGGTCCGGAAGCCGATCTGTGCGCCCAAAAAGTTGAGCAAGAAATCCAGCGATCATACGACGGTCGGGAACGCGAGCGCACGAACCGGAAAAAAGGGGTCATCATCATCCACCACATTACTCATTCTGAGCTGTTTGATCCCGTTACTTCTACAGATGCCGGCTTTTACAACGGCACCTTTCTCGGAACACACCGCTGAATTATATCCCTAGAAATGTCAGGCACGAGACAAACAACAATTGACCCTGATCCCCTAGCCCACTCCAGGCTGACATACTTGACACTCAAATCTAGAGAAGACGTCCTTTTTCTCGACACGCATTCATAGCACCATCATACGCACTCGAACATATGGTCGACGGTCTGGACTTGTCCCAAAGATAACATCACCACCACAGCGTAATCTTCTCCAATAAATATACGTCACACATTCTGGCTCCGCTGTCCGCGTCCACACTTTTGCTCCAACACTCTTTCTCCAGCGCATGGAATTGAACTCAGTCGAACTGCCAACATCCGCACCGTCCGAATCCATGCGTGCGACTACCCAATCCGGGCCTGCCAAACATGCACACCACTCGATAACAGAACTGACAGTGCGGGTTCCGGCCTCAAAACCGCCGGCGAATTACATCCCCGGTCCTCCCCGATGGCGCACCCCAGAGTTCATCTTCTACATAACATGTTTCGTTTTTATCGTTCCATGGATGCCATATATTCCCTGGGCCTATCTTAACACTCGTAAGAGACAATATTCATCCTTCCTGCTTCCACGGTCTCTGTCTGAGATTTCTAAACAGCACAGAACCCTAATTACCCCTCGTTTCGCCCGCTTCTTTCGGATTCGTACATTCCTGGGCTACTTGTTGTCGGTACCTTTTCTTGACTGTACGATGAGGACAAGAAATTGACACATCAATTGTATAGGACGACTCTGACGCACAATACCGCTCATTTCGCTCGAATATTCCCGCGCTTCTGGGGCTTGCCGGGGCTTACCTCTTACTGCGCGGGGCCTTTGCTCGGTACCTGGTTCCTAGCCAGCCCCAGGGCAGAAGCCACCTCACCTCGTTCCACCTACTCTCCTCTTTCCTCTTACTGTCAGCGTTACATGGAACGTCTATCATCAAGATATACACTCTTCTGCTGACGAATTACTGCATTGTAAAAGCATTGCCTCCGCGGAGCCCGATTCTCGCTGTCTATACTTGGGCATTCTGCGCGGTGGTTCTGTTTGCGAACGAGATCTACGAAGGTTACTCGTTCGCCGCATTGCACCCCTCTCTTACGCCCCTCGATGCCTGGACCGGCTTCTATCCAAGATGGCACATCTCGTTCAACATCACGATGCTGCGCATAATTTCCTTCAACCTGGATTGGCGATGGGCCAACTTCTCCCAACCTGGCGACACGTCCTCCACTTTGCTAGACCCGAAGACACGGGTCACGCAACCCCATACCCTGGCATCCTATACCCTTGGCAACTACCTGGCGTACATCTTATACCCGCCGCTCTACATTGCCGGTCCCATTATGACATTCAATGACTATCTGCATCAGGTACGATCGTGGATGTCATCATGTGATTTTGCTGACTCCTAGTCTCTGGTCAGATGAAGAGTGCCCCTACCCCTGACACGCATTTGGACTATGTAAAGAAGTATCTTTACCGCTTCATATTCTGTCTCGTGACCATGGAGTTTGTCCTCCACACCATGCCCGTTGTCGCCATCAAGGACTCACATGCCTGGCAAGGCAACACTCCGGTTGAGCTTGCCCTGATCGGGTTCTGGAACCTAATAGTAGTATGGCTCAAGGTAGGCTTCCTCGCTGCCGCATCACATCTCCACTGATCGCGCGCCTAGCTACTGATCCCGTGGCGCTTCTTCAGGCTCTGGGCGCTTGCGGACGGAATCGACCCACCCGAGAATATGGTACGCTGCATGGCGAACAACTATTCTGCCCTTGGTTTCTGGAGATCCTGGCACCGGAGCTACAATCTTTGGATCGTCCGGTAAAGGCAACTGATCATCGGCCGCCGAAGCATCAGCGCTGACACCCCGTCTTAGCTATATTTATATACCAGTCGGTGGATCCGAACGTGCACTCCTAGCCTCCCTCTTGGTATTCACGTTCGTCGCGTTGTGGCATGATCTCTCCTTCCGCTTACTCACTTGGGGTTGGCTCGTCGTGATCTTTCTGATTCCTGAGCTGGCCGCACGGCAGCTGTTCCCATACTCCAAAGTAAGCCCAGCTTCCGTATGACATCCTCATCGCGCAATCTGATACCGTCTCAGTATGGCAAGAACTGGTGGTTCCGCCATATCTGCGCACTGGGCAGTGCAATGAACATCCTGATGATGATGACTGCCAACTTGGTCGGTTTCGTACTCGGCACAGACGGTACAGAATATCTTTGGTGGGAGCTTATCAGCAACTGGAATGGACTCGTCTTCATGCTGTTTGCCATTTTCTGTCTGTTCCTCGGGACGCAGATCATGTTTGAGTATAGGTGCGTTATACATCTCCCTTCTTTCTGATACTTGGTCTTCTTGGTGCGAAGCATGGCTGTTCGTGAGTCGGCTAGTTGTTGCTTTGCGGCCTACAACGGTTGTGGCTGCACTTTCTCATTCGCATGGCAAATAACTGAAGCGCTATTACGAGGGATTCTTCTTTCTTATCCTCTACTGCTGCAAATCCATTTCTGACATTTCCTCTTCCTGTAGGGAAGAAGAACTGCGGCAAGGCATATACCGACGATGTTAGCCTCTTCACTCGATCGGGGCTCCACGTTCTCCAGAAGCTGTAGACACATCAAAAAAAATCGCTTCGTGTTCGCGCCTGTGGTCCTCGGCACTTGTTTTCGATGGTTTTCGTCTGGTCCTATCGTTGGTTGATCGAGATTAGCCAAGTATTGTTATTTTGAGGTTAGTACACATCTTCGTTATAATTGGTTTTCACAAACAAGGATCTCCATGATGATGGTGATGCAATATGAACAATACACAAGTGGCGGCTCCCCATCTTCTGTGACGGAAACTGCCGGTTGCCATTGACCTCATTTGTTACGTGTAAGTCCAAGATGAAAACAATTGGATCCGAGCCCAACGGACAGAAAGATAAAATCTCACATGGTCTTCAGCCAAGTCGTCTGATGAGAACACCGTAGGGATGGCAACGGTCCAGTCCGGTCCAGTCCAGTCCTGGACGGTCCCGGATTTTTGGCGATAGTCGGTCCCGGTCCAGTCCTGTGATGGTCCGGTCCTGGACGGTCCCAGGACCGTGAACCGCCAGTCCCAGTCCAGTTCACTGAATGCTGACATAATTCTATTCAATAGTCAATGTGGGGTCATGGCATTGAGCGGGAGGAAGCACACGCGAGATTCATTATGCACCTGAAACGACATGCCAGTCAGTCAGATGATATGCCGACCTCTTCCAACACCATGACATGACCGGTCACCATCCCTGCAACGCCAAAACTGTCAAACTCTGCACCCAATTGCATGGCGAAATGGTGGCTGCGTGGGACCGGACTGGACCGGTCCTTCGCAGTTCAGGACTAAACCGGGTTTTCCAAAAGTGTTGGTCCTGGTCCAGTCCTCGGACGGTCCAGTCCTGGACTGGATCGTCAGGACCGCGGTCCTCAAAGTCCGGTCTAGGACCGATGCCATCCCTAGAACACCGTTCGGTGTGCAAGAAGACAGTTGAAGAAAAGAAGCCATGGAGAGGTCACGTGAACAAAATCATGCGAGCTGTTACGCATTTTTAGGGACTGGGAAGGCTCTCTAAAACCGTGGATAAGAGCTTGTCCTGAATATTGCTTTTGAGAGGCGAGCGTTCCTGTAACGTTGACAGCCCAAATTATACTCATTAATTTATCGTGTGCTGATTGGCCATTGAAATTCCGTGTGTCCCACAGCAGGGGTCCTTCACGTTCCCTGTCGTTTGTTCGCCACTACGCGTCGACCACATCAATGTCTATTGTTGAGATGGGTAAGTGCGAACACGATATTATATAATGGTCCTGGACTGACAAACGATCAGATATTGATGCGGGTCCGTTTGATTCCACCTACTTTCAAGATTTCGCAGAAATTGTGCGTTCATTCCGTCCTGAGGGCGGGGCAGACGCACCAGATCACGAACTTCTGTTGTCTGAAGATGGGGGATTTGCCGGCCGCTTTGAGCAGCTCTGTGGGCAGCTAGCGTATGACTGAAATTGCTCTTATCTATGATATGTGCTAAGCTCGGTTTAGACTGGAGGAGCGCGAAATGGCGGACGAGGAGAGAATTGCGTGGAAACTGGAATCGGACACCTGGTTGCTCGTTGAGGCCCTCTACTCGTGCGTATATTCCTGGCTCTTGAAAATCAAATACAAACTTACACGAGCAGGTACCGCTTGCGAATCAATCCGGACGAAATCCAGACTGTCGATAGGCTCTTGCAGATTAACCCTTATACCACCCCAGCCGAACTCGCCTCGGCCCTCCTCACATATCCCAATCTGCGCGAGTTAGATCTTGTCCGAAATTGGCTAGGGGCCATCGCCCCTGATCCGGAAGAATTACCGTATCGGAAAGGATATTGGCCCAATACAACCATGCGAGAGAATCAACGGAGTCGAGTTGGTGCAGCGCAGGGGCCTGGTCTCGATCCAGATGCCACCCTACGGGGTTTGGTCATGGAGGGTGATGATGCGGTATGCTCCGTAATACACTATAACCTCTATTCCTGATGACTTTTTTTTAGGCATTTGATCGCAACCTGATGCGGCACGTCTTTCAGTGTATCCGGTCAGGCAATGCGGAACGAGCACTTGAGACGTGCAAAGAGGCTGCCCAGCCATGGCGCTCTGCTTCTCTCATGGGTGGCGCTGCCTATACGTCTTTCTCACTCTCAAACGATAAGGGCAGTGGCCGGGATGTACCCACTGGCGGGAACCGGTTTCGCATGTTGTGGAAGAAGACTTGCTTAAAGATCGCCAGAACACCAACACTCGACCCGTACGAGCGTGCGGTTTATGGGTCAATGGTGGGAGATGTCAAGAGCATACGGGAAGTTTGCAGATCCTGGGATGATCATCTGTGGGCACGGATACACAGCCGACTGGAGCAAGCTGTCGATGCCGAACTGCTAGACAGTAACAGCTGGTGGATGAAGAAAGGAGGGGTTGGGAACGACTTGCCATTGGAAGGCCTAGAGACGGTTACAGACAACCTGAGCCTCATCTTTGACGAGGTGGATCAGGAGGAGACGGTTGACAGGTATGTCGGTCATCTTACTCCCAGTTCATCCAGCTCATGGTCTACAGTGACGAGGCTCTGCATCCGTTCCGGATTACACAGAAGCACATAATGCTGAACAGTGTCGAAAATTTGCTCCGCGACTTCGATGAGAAGCTTGCGATGAACTCCCTTCCAGCATCAAAGCCATTGCGTCACCATTTGATCTGTTTTTTCGCTCATCTTGCTCTGTTCCTGCGATGGTCGGACGCTATTGGACCCGACATGCGACCGACAGAGGCGAACATTCTTCAGGAGTACTGCAATACGCTAGAAGAAATGAACCAGCCTGATCTTGTGGCGCTGTATGCTGGCGTTATTGGAGAAGTGAATGACCCGAATGTTACCGATGGTGAAACTAGTTACGCCCAGTTCCTAAAACGTGATGATCCAAACCTTCTATGTGGATTGTTCTGACCGTTCATTGGGCAGGCATGAATAACGCTCCGACTGAGCGCCGTGCTGAGGCTCTTCGTCGCACCACCCAAAACGGCTTGTCCTACACAATTGTGGCTGTTCGGACGGTCGACTCCATATTCGCAGAACTCATTCATTCAGTTCGTGTCTTTTCTTCTATCCCTTCGATGTTGCCTCACACCCCAGCAGTCACCCACCAACTTTGATGATCCAGAGCCCGGATTCACTGCCTTCGACCACAGTTTATCACAGGCTGAGGGCGCTCTGATCAATGCTATGGATTGGCTTCTTTTTGATAAATCCACCTATGGACCTGCATTAACGCATGCCAATGCACTCTTACGCTGGTTCTTACGTAAATACATCTTTTTATTTCTCACAGATGTCTCTTTGATAGTTTGCTATAGTGAACGGTCGCCTGCATGCCGCACGACAACTAGTGAAGCGCCTGCCCGTCGAGATTCAGAGACCTCAGCGAGAAGGGGCACCGATTGATTACGAATCGGCTGAACAGTATCACCTTCGCTGCTTCATGGGATGTTTAGAAGCCCTGGAGAGTTGCAAGGAGTTCGAAAACAAAGCTAATCTGGCAAAGCAAGTGTTTCTTTCTTGCTTTACACTTACTTCATGCTAATCGACGTACCAATCCAGGAGCCGTCTTGCTAGAGCAGATCATCAGAGAGCCTGCACAGTGCGCCTTCTACTTCTTCATATCAGTCTTGATGACTCATTCCATGCACCAGGCGGCAGTCAGTAATGCTAGAGATCTGACCCTCGATATTCTTACGATGCGTTGGCTTGAAGTGCTAAGAGAAGATCCCGGTCTACCGGAACGGCCGCGTCAGGTAAAGCGCCTACGTCAGCTGTATATTCCTGAGCTCGTAATGCGTCTGCACCGTGTGTTGTACAACGCTAAGGACGAAGCGGCTGAGTGAGTGCCTGGATGTGCAGCTGGATGATGTCTCGACAGCTAACGTCTTCGCATAGCGCCCTGAAATGGACGTTCGACCTGGCCAACATCGTAGCCGATGGTCGATACGCTCTCGCTGAAACATTCCTCACCAACGAGCATGAGAGCAACAAGTTGATTGTCTACCTGGAAGGGATGCGCGACGTGGGCATGACGGTCCTGCAGCATGGCGCCACCGATCCTTTCTCAGTCATGCGTCACTAAGCTGCCCACCTGCGAGGCCAGATACCATCTTACACGGACCATACCAAAAGCGTGGGTACCTTGAATCCATATATTCATGTATTGTACTACTACATTACAACACCGTGTCATGTCCCATAGTAATCGTATCCAGGGCGTCTCCGCACGTGATCGGGTAATCCTACTGTAGAAACGTCTAAGCCAGAGGCATGAAGTGTCAGAAAAAATGGTGGAATAAGTCGTACATTCGTGGCGGCACTTCGAGGGTGAGTATATGTGACAGGGCATAATAATTCAAATGGGAGAAGGAATAGGATCCACGCTGAATCGCCCCTTCCAGTCCGCAACATCTCTCTGCTCTCGACACCTGGCGATGCACTACCTCCTCACGTCCGATGCCCTCCTAGTTCTGGTAGACCCGGTCGCTACCCCTTGAGAAGCGGGCAACTCCTGCACCTGGGGACCATTCGGACCCTGCTGGATGAGGATATTTCTGCCCGGTTGCTGAACGACTACCGGTTGGCCATAATACTGCCCTTGTGCGAGCCCTCCTGCCGCTCCGTTTGCGTAGTACTGCGGATAGGTGTTGCCGTATTGACCGTACTGGTAGGGAACGCCAGAGTAGCCATATGGCGTAGCGTAGCCGCCGAACCACTCGAGGTCGTCGATGCTGTAAGGTTATTTGTAAGCATTTGCTCGATTGAAGAATAAAACTTGGGCGCACTCCATCTCCCATGCGTTCTGCCCCCGTGTGACAGCGGACAACGTCACAGAAAGGATGACGAAGAATGTAATGATGACTATGACCTGTGTTAGCAGTGGCTCGTTTCAGTGCCAGGAATAGACGCACAGAGACCAAACTCGGCCCAAGCGATCGCCTCGATCGCCTTCATCTGGTAGCAGTATGACTGACTCGAATCTATCCCTCACAATCAGCGTCCTTTCTTCACGTACAGGGATACAGTACGTACAGGTGCCCCCAAGCGACGTTTGCACCTTTTGACCCCCTAGGGCATCACACTGAACATATCCGATGACGTCCGAGCTGTAAGCACCAAGGGCGAGCCATAGTATGTCGGCGATGAGAACTAGGACGAGATCTATTGGAGGACGAGATTTTGCGAGCCTGTTAAGAGGGGATGAGTTGTGTAGCAGTGCGGTGTTGGAAGGATAGGACACACAGCCCGAGGATGACTAGGATGGTGAAGCTCGGTGGTACAAGGGAATAGATTAAGAAGTCATCTATGTTTCTCTACGTCAGTTTGAAGTCTAAGTTTTACGTAGGAAATGACATACGATGGGCACTGAGGAATAAGTTCGTGAGGTTGGCAGCTATCCCGAGCTCAATGGCGGCGAGCGCAAAGATGACGACTGAGGGAGCAAGAGCACGTAGTTTAGCTTATATTTAGCTTTCCTGAAAGAGCAAGCGCACCATAAACCACCCTTCTGGTCGTCGCGAACACACTGTTCGCCATTTCTTCTTATTTGCTGTCAAAATTCGTCGTTGGAGAAGTGGAAATGAAAAGAAACAGACGAGGGTGTGGAAACGTTAAAGATGAAGAAGCGCAGTGAGTCGTTTTGCCTTTTCCCGCCCAAGCGCCAAATATAAAGTTGGGCAGGCACTCTCACGTACCTCGAGGCAGACTAGCGGGAAATAAACCGCTGCAGCCTGAAAGGCGGTAAATGGGTCGCAGCTCACGGGCACGAGGTGGGAATCGCTTCAACATGGGCGGAGGCATTCAACAGGGACAGCGCGTGGAATTCGGTCATCGACAATAAATGTTGTCGCACAGCCCCTGAAATGCGTCATCACAGGGTTCCACGGAAGGACTTCGGCAGAAGTTTATACGCGTAACACGAGGATTGCGTTTTAATATATTCATTCAGTCTAACGGTACAGTGCAGACAACGCAGACCCAGAAACATTGTAAAGCCCTCACTCATCCTGCAAGCGCTCAGTCGTCATCCCCGCTAAGACGTGCAGGAAGGTAGAACGTCAGGATACCGTTCGAGTCCGACGGATCCCCGATGTACACATACATGATCAGGCAGTGGTTCTCGCAGATACCTACGTACAATCAGCACTAATTCCCGTCATACAGGCTGCAGACGAACAGGCTATACACGTCGTCTTGTTGATCGTTGCTGTGCTCATGAACTTCAACAGGCTGGCAGCAGACATGGTAGCACCAAAATGTTTCTCTGGATCTGGTGGATCTCTCGGTGGTGCACCTTCTCCCGCCTCTAAGCGGCGCATAAATACCCTTCTCCGGACTATATGTGAAGCACGCACCAATAGTTGGATGTGTCAGGTTAACCCACGTCGTCCTAATGCTGTTATCCTTATCTTTTGTCTCCGCTGATAGGATCAGTTCTCCTCTATTATTTGCAGAGAACATGATCTTGTCGTCGAGCACCTTCATCTTCTCAACTGCACCACGCATTTGCCCCAGCGAACGAATGACAACATGCACCTATGCCAACTTGAGACCGGCACGAGAAGAAAATGAGGAGGGAACTTGCATCCGGATCGGGACAAAGCGGCTCAATAATTTTCTCCATGTCCGCGGGGCGTTTGATACTGATCTTCACGAAGTGCGACGCGGTCAGTCCCCTTCCCCAAATCGCATCCTACAACATGCCTTGTCAAGATCCCCACTCATCTTTAGAGATGAACACACCAACTTACGTGATCCTTCGTCTCAAACACAAACACAGCTTGGTCATTCCTCTTCGCGAGCTTCATCACCGTATCGCGCGTGCCGGACTTGCCAGTCGTTGCCAAGTCTCGTAGGACAGAAACGAGCGAATCGGTCACAATATCCGCACAGATGATATTATCTGCATTGGATTGAACCCGATATCCGGTGAAAAGCGTTTCCTGCAAAGGATACTGTCAAGTATTGCACTGGCTAGTAAACGGACGGGATAAAGACATGCCTTGTTTATCTTCCTGTGGCATAAGCGCCCATCAGAACACGAAGAACACAGATGGACAAAGACACGCACGACCACACCTGAATCCCCTCTTCGTTCCCCTCTGCGCATATTATCTCGATACTCTCTGGAGAAAGGCGGATAATGCACTTCTTCGCGACCTTCTCAACACTCTGCACGACCTCTGTATATATGCACCAACGTCAGTGAGTGTCCAGGGATACAAACTGAGTCAGACGAACGATAGAAATACTTCACATTCGACACCTCTGCACGGAACTTCATCCCATCAGCGGCCGGCCTTCAGGCTCCTACTTCAGTATGACCTTGGCACAAGTAGAGCACAGAATCAAAAAATGGCAAAGGAGGAGAAGAGTACGACTCATCACTCAGGGACCGACGCGTCCAAACGCGTTCGCGATGTGTCACATCCACGCCGTCTTTTGACTATCTGCTTGCCCCGTCTTCCTCTCCTTTCACTCAACTGCTTCTGAACTACGCGCTGAATTTCCGCTACAATGGACTCGGAAATTGAACCACCTGTCGATTATGTCTACAGCTGGAGTTCGGAGCATGAATTGCCCCTCGAGCAGTTCCTGTCTAAAGTGCGTCCTTAGGCCTCGTACACCCAGTGACACAGTTATATAACATGAAGTTGCTGAGCAGCACAAGCCCAGCATGATTCAGGATAATGGGAGCAAGCCGTGGATATGGGTGAGAAGGCCAGAGAGTGTTGCTCCGGCGATGCCGGATGGGGTGGTCGAGGAGGCGCTGAGCATTTGTGAGTTGTTGCACATCTTTGTCGTCGTATTATTTCTGACGTCGATTACAGTAGAAGACGCCACCCAAAAGGTTGAGGCGATACAAATGGGTCTCCAATAATTGCGCATGAAACGTTTACGAACTTGTATCAGAACGACGACAAGATCCCAACTCGGTCAAACAAAAAAACAGGCGCGCGGAGCAAGAAGGAACTACGGGAAGAGGTACAAGTCAAAGCCTCTGAAGAACTCAAGAAGCTGTCTCAGGACAAGGAATTTACACACGGCAAATGGCTCTTCTTCGCCCAGCCGGACTCGGTTGATGGGTAGGCACTGCCCACATTCCGATAGAAACTGCTGAACGCGCACAGGATGTGGACGAGGATCGCCCGTAGCCTTGTAGAAGGTGACTTGGCACAGACCACAGCCTGGCTGGTTAAGGTGTCCACCTGAAAGGCGAGCGATGAACGACCCCAGCATCTCATCTGCGTGTATCTTCCGGATTTGTATGACAAAGCAGCCGTCACTGAGGTGCGTTTGTTACATCTACACCTGCTGTCCACTGGGTTCTAGCCTGCAACAGGTCCTCAAAGTCCTCATTGGGAAGGTCGGGCTGACCCCTAGCAGTGCTAAGACAGACCTGTATACCCAGATTGGGATTGACAGCAAGCATCCCAGCGGCATTCGATCCACGGCAAGTTGAGAGGCAATATTTCTTGTTATTCGCTAACCAATGGGCTTAGATTTGGCAAGTAAAGGAGCTGCTAAAGGAAGACGAGCTACAGGCATGGAGTTGTCGCTCGATCTTGATCATGACATTGCTCACACCTGTCTCAGAAACTGCGGGACGAATTTACTGCGGGGCAGAACTCATTTCGACCAAGCAAGCCAAAGATGACAACTAAGAAGGATGATCCGTTCGGAGATGAGGAAGACGAGAATGACAACCCGAAACCAGCCATCAAAAAGGGAACAAAACGCAAAGATGTATTTGACGATGACGATGACGATGACGATGGTACCCAAATGCCAGATAAGAAAGCCAAGATGTCTGCCGTCAAATCTGCCCGTAAGCAGAACGAGTCAGAAACTGAGCACGAAGGGGACGAGGAAGATAAACCGATCAAGCAAAACGCGATCAAGTCAGACGCCAAAGCCTCTGCTACCAGTGGACAGAAGGCTGGGGCAAGCAGGCTTGGTAAAATCAAAGCCTCGAGGACGAAGCACGACTGAAGGATATGTTTGAATAAACTGCACAACGCTGAGAGTACGATAACTAATAATAGTTCGCCATCTTCTGTTTCACTCGCGCTGACGTAACTATTGCGCTGAGTTTCGTGCTCAACACGTGGTGATTGTAGCATAACCCGAACAAGCGAAATACTACTGTGGTATTCCGTCGCCCCCATATCAACACAAACCCGCGCTTTGATAGCGCGCTACTCTGCGAGCCCTTCCATCCCCTCATATCTCTTACCTCGTCCATCAGTGTATGTACAGGAACGAAATGAGCGACATTCATTCCGTCTCCTCAGAAGAGGAACAAGACCATGCTTGTGTGTGGAATCTAGGCGATGATCTGTCCCTGATGCAGTTCCTCAAGAAGGCAGGACATTCTTCACCGTCGCAAAAGATGTCTGACAAATTCCGGTCGACAGCACAACCCCGCCAAGATCCAAAAAGAGCCCATCGCGTGGATTCAGGTGAATAATGTGAACAGTGACCGGACAGCACCACCTAGCCAGGGTACAATAACTGAAGGAGAAGCGATACGTGAGAACGCCCCCAAATACTGTGTTCAGTCTGATCTTTGCATGGTACAACGGGCCACTGACGAAATAATGGAGATCCAGGTGAGTGACGTTGCCTGCGGTACTTATTTCCATGCATCTGACGGAATTTTCAAGACGGATAGAAACATCCCTTAGCCTTCGGATAGTTCAACAGGCCTCCACGGCAAACACGAACTGCGAGAAGAGATTCGGGAACAGACTGTGCTCGGTCTCAGGCGACTCTGTGAAAATACCGGCCTCACCAGCGGGAAATGGGTCTTTTTCGTTCATCGACGTTCCGTAACCTGGTCAGATTGAGAGCTGCTCGCGGGTGGCCGAAACTGACATCAATTAGGGTGTGGAAAAAGATAGCCCTATCCTTGGTTCAAGGAGACTTGAAGGAGACACCAGCCTTTGCTGCCAAGGTGTCTACTATCAACGTCGGCCATACGCATATAATATGTTTGTTTCTCCCGGATATTTTCGACAAAGATGCTGTGGGTCAGGTAATCGTCCAGATACTGTCTGTGGAACAAGTCTCCTGACATGTCCCAAGGTTCTCGATGTTTTAACCACCAAAGTTCAGGTCATTCCGGTAGTCGTGAAGCCTGATTTATACACCTACATTGGGCTCTATACCAAGCATCCTAGCGGTATCAGGCCTAGTGTACGTGGGGAAGTATTGCTTACCAAAGGAACAATGCTGAATTCCCACATAGCTTTGGCAAGTGAAAGACTTTGTTTCACCGGACAGTGTCACCGTAAGCAATGAATCCCTTTCTTTGACTCCCACGGAGAACTCATCTGTTCGTAGGGGCTGATCGGTAGTTCGGCTGTTAGATGCAAGTCCGTCACCAAGAAGAAACAAGAGCCTGAGCGGCAACCTGACGGACTGGACTGCAGGATGGAGGATGAGAATGCCATAGAAGCATACTGCAGCATGAATGGCCTTGGACCCCTTCGGAGTTGGTACCCTGGCAGCAGCAGTTGGCAAGGTAAAAGAGGGAAGAACGCTGCGAGTTGGCATGAGACAGATGATGAAGAACAGCCAAATTTGAACTTGGCTAGGCAATCCTCTGACATTGTCCGAGTCTCTTGGGACGAGTCAGAAATCGAAGACTAAGATGAGTAACACACTTACGTTTAAGATGGAATGAAGCCTTTGCGGATGATTACGAGATGATTACGACAGGGGCCAAAGTTCACGTTGGCATTTAACCACCTCCTTAGAATTACGGAAATAAGTGAGGATCCAATGTCGTTTGTGTTATCTTCTGTCGCTCGCCCGACCCACCCCCGCATGATGGACGGGCGAGCTGAAGCTGATACGAAAAGCCAGTTGGATGTATGATTGACTCTGTATGGCAAACGCCAAACAGGAAGAAATTTCGAGCCGAAAGTCACCACACTTGCTGCCAAGACAGATCACAGAAACAATTATTAGGGAAAGCAGTCGCTAGGAGAGATTTATGTCTTTGACTTCATCGTCAACTGAGGCCAGAAAATCAAGCATCTGCAGTTCATAAGGATCGTATTTGAGCTGGGTTAGATGGGTACATACCACCTGATGCCTCCTAATTCCCAATTGCGTGCCTAATTCTGTCTAGATATATGATAAGCTGCCGTCCATTATGGACAACATGTTGCTCACTCACCTTGAGGCTGCCAGCAATGTTGAGCAACTTCTCGTGAAAGTGGGCAATCGCTGTATCGTTCCTCCCTTCAGCGTATAGGGGTCGCTTTGTTACGGCAGAGAAGGCGGCACATCGCATAATGCCTTAGTGCATTGATGAAACAAGGTTCTTAGCTGTGGACGAGAATCGTACCGAATGCACCAATTGCGTCCAGTCTGTCAGCATCTTGAACGCAATGTAACTCAACACAGGCTTCCTCCAGTTCTCCCCAAGTTCCTTCTTCCCTCCTGCGCTTCTCCTTACTCCAGCTGACGCGCTCGAGAATCCACTCCAACTGGGCAGCATCGTCCCTGCTCATCCGCTCGTAAATCTCCTTCAGACCGACTGTACCTGATGTAGACGTCGCATATTTGTGATCGTTGATATCGTGCAGCAGTGCAGCCATGTCTACCATCCAAATGTTCAGAGCCGTAGAGTGAGCAAGGGAGTCGGCTAGACGAATCGCTGTTTTGCGAACCCGAAGGACGTGAAAGACGTCATGCGATGGATCGTTGTTAGCCATTTCCGAATGCATTAGCTGCTCGGCGAGTTTTAGAAGTTCCTGTTGATATGGGGTATAGCCCTGCATGATCGCTCGCCAACGGCGCAGAAGAAACTAGTGGTGAGGACGGGGGTTGTTCGGTTGCATGCAGCATGGCAGATTGACGAAAAAGGCTACGGGACGACGCGCTCAACGTGTCCCTTACTGTAACGCGTCCTCCTACATTACCATCGCCTCCGTCACTTGACCATCCCCATCATGTCTCTCTGGGTCGATAAGGTGTGATACTATTTACATGCAGCAAATAATACTGAATGCGAGATGTAGTACCGTCCGCGAACACTAGATGATCTGGATTATCACTCTGAGCTATCAGAGCGCTTGCGTTCATTGGTGTGTCACACCTCCTCACCATGGACAGCCGATCTCACTCACATCTTCGCAGGCAAGTTCGGGAGATTTCCCTCATATGCTATTCTATGGGCCTTCTGGAGCTGGGAAGAAAACACGTGTAGCATGCGTGCTCAGAGAGCTGTTTGGAGCTGGAGCAGAGAAGGTGCCGAAATCCTCTGTCAGCTCTTGCGCCGGTATGCTGACCTTTCGTGCAGCTCAAGATCGAACAACGGGTTTTCTTGACACCATCAAAGAGAAAGCTAGATGTGAATGTGGTGATGAGCAATTATCATCTGGAGTTAACACCCAGGTGAGCATTCCACGGTGTTCGCCGAATTCGCCTCAACTCGTTACAGTGATGTCGGCATATACGATCGTCAAGTCATACAAGACATCCTCAAGGAAATCGCTCAGACACAACAGGTGGACTTGAGTGCAAAACAGAGATTTAAAGGTGTGTCATTTGCGGTCTATCTACGGGCATCTGCTAAAACAGACGGCAGTCGTGGTTATCAACGAGGCGGACCAATTATCACGTGATGCGCAAGCGGCATTGCGTCGAACTATGGAGAAGTATATGGCTAACCTACGAATCATTCTCGTCGCCAACAACACGAGCAAGCTGATTGCGCCTATCAAGAGCCGATGTTTGCTTGTGCGCGTGGCGGCTCCTACACTTGAAGAGGTTCGTCTCCCGTCAAAAGTAGACGAGACCAATTTCTAACTTCACCCCCCAGATGGAGACCGTGCTGGGGTATGTGGCGAAGAAGGAACGCGTCGACCTTCCACCCGAGGTTGCTTCAAAAATTGGTGCAGAAGCCGTCGGCAACCTGCGACGAGCGCTCCTTGTCCTTGAGGCCCTCAAAATGCAGCAGTACGTAATCATCACTTGGTAATCAGTGTTTTGCCAAGACTCAGTTCTTGGCAGTCCAGACCTCAATGCGGAGAAGCTGGAGATTGCCAAGCCAGACTGGGAAACCTACTGTGCGAAGGTGGCTGACCTCATTGTGGAACAACAGAGTGCACAACGCATTCTCGACGTGCGTAGCAAGCTTTATGAACTCATTTCGCACTGCATCCCGCCTTCTCTCATAATCAAGGTGTGTCACATGAAAGCTGAGTCTCGAATAGTATATTTATGTGAGATCAGACGTTGGCAGACAGGGTCATAGAGCGGGTGGACGAGGCACTCAAGGCGGATATCATGCATTGGGCGGCCTTCTATGTGCGTTCCCACAATGATCAGGCTGTATCTACCCCCGCTGATCCGAGGGCTAGGAACATCGAATGAGACAAGGTAGTAAAAAGATCTTCCATCTGGAGGCATGGGTGGTCAAAGTCATGAGTCTGTATAAGGTGAGTGGGCCCATGACGGCTGTCTACCCTTCTAAACCCTCTCGATAGCACTTCACCCATGATATCGACCTGACAGGGTTTGATGATTTTTGATTGTCGGCCCCGTCATTTCCGAGCGGATCCCCTTGGAGCAGCTGCCCTTGTAATTGTCTAATGAATTGGTCCTGCGATATCCAATCCCTGAGTGCTTCCTTCGATTGCGCCTGTCAGAGAACGTTTGAAAGCCGGCGGTGCATCGACGTCGGGCACAGAGTGATAGTATCTCGACATTATCAAGTTTGGAAGTAGACCCATCAAACCGTTTTCCGCGTGCGAGGGAGAACATTGCCTGGCTATCGGAAGGAAGAAGGTACATGGAATTCATCGGAGAGAACGAAAAGAGATTAATGCGCGCCAAGCCAAGCGCGGGGACAATCGTGATCTCGGTTGGTATGTCCATCTCTATTTTGGGCTCAGATGACCAGGCACCCCTCGCCGGTACGGAGCGGAAAAAGCCATTGAGAGTGGATTTGGAGGGCGGGGAGGAAAGATGTGGAAGGGTGAAACCGACCACAACCAAGGCAAGGTCTTATCGCGGCTTGTCATTGGCTGAGGACGGAGTCAGAGTCACGCGCGCCCTGGACCCGCTGGCTTCTATTTTGGGGCTTATCTCTGCTGGTCTGAGGGTCGCCGTGTGGTGTTGCTCTTTGCAGGAACATCATGGAGGCGGGAAAGCGTTCACAGATCAGATTCAGAATATGTTATATATTCCAACATGCTACCACGCGTTCGTCTTCCATGCCAAGTTCCCCGTCTTCCCGCTCAGGTACGTTGTCCCTATTTACCACGCCGCCAGCTTGCGTCTTACTTCTTATCTAACTTTGCCTTTTTTTTTTCCCATTCACCTTGACGGCCGACTACCAGGTTGCACCTCGTTTCAGCGCTCTCCAGCAATATTATCTGCTTATAGCGCAGAATCAGTTTCCAATCGTTGAGAAGTCGATTTTCCACAAGGCAACCAAGCTCCACCCACAGGGATCACGACTACCCCACCATGGCCGCCTACAACTATACCACACCAGACTGGCTCGACACAGGTGACAACGCTTGGCAGCTCACGGCCGCTACGCTCGTCGGCCTTCAGTCTATTCCTGGTCTTGTTGTCATGTATGCTGGTATCGTGAAGGTGCGCAAGCAGTCTCTGTGGAACGTGGACCCCGCTGACTCGTCGTTACCACCTACAGCGGAAATGGGCAGTGAACAGGTGGGCTTTTAACCTCGTCACGTATTTTAGAGGCTGATTCGATATTTTCTCCTTAATCTAGTGCTTTCATGGCCTTCTACGCATTTGCTTGTTCGTCATATCTTCCACCATTGAAAGAAGTAGCGCTAACAACATAGCGCTGCAGGCGTCCTCATTTGTTGGGTGCTTTGGGCATATAAGATGGGCTTTGGGGAGCAATGGGGAGCGGCACCTTTCGTGGGAATACCAGGACCGATCCAAACCATCGACAGCGAGCTCGTTCAGGCATATTTCCCAGCATCTGGTATTACAGCCAACTATCCCATGTCCACAATGGTTTACTTCCAATTTGTCTTCGCGGCCATCACACTCGTCATCTTGGCAGGCGCAGTCCTTGGACGCATGAACTTCAAGGCGTGGATGCTTTTCGTCCCTCTTTGGCTCACTTTCTCTTACGTCGTCGGGGCCTTCTCCCTTTGGGGAGGTGGGTTCCTCGCCTCTCGCGGTGTCATCGATTATTCCGGCGGTTACGTCATTCACGTTTCATCTGGCACCGCTGGTTTTGTCGCAGCATTCTGGGTTGGCCCTCGCTTGCCCCAGGATCGCGAGGATTTCCGCCCCAACAATGTACTTCTCGCACTTGTCGGCGCCGGCATTCTCTGGACGGGCTGGAACGGATTCAACGGTGGTGACCCGTATGCGGCCAGTGCTGATGCTGGTGCGGCGGTGCTCAACACGAACATTGCCACAGCCATGAGTCTGCTCGTCTGGACCATCCTCGACCTGATCTTCTTCAAGAAGCCCGCTGTGATCGGTGCTGTTCAGGGGATGATCACCGGTCTCGTCGCTATCACGCCCGCTGCCGGCGTCGTTGCTGGTTGGGGTGCCATCGTCATTGGCGCGCTCTCTGGCTCGATCCCCTGGTTCTCGATGAATTACCTCGGCAAGAAGTTTGCACCCTGGACCTACGTCGACGACACTCTCGGCGTGTACCACACTCACTTAGCAGCGGGTGTCGTCGGTGGCATGGCGACTGGTCTCTTCGCTACAGCAGAGGGCTGCGCTGCATTCGCACTCACAAATCCGGGCGGTGCCATCGAGGGGAACTGGAAGCAAGTCTGGCTGCAACTCGTTGGCGCCCTTTTTATCATCGGCCTCAACCTCGTCATGACTTCGATCATCTGCTGCTTCATCAAGTACGTCTGCAGGATTCCTCTGCGCATGTCCGACGCAGAACTCTTGATCGGTGACGATGCGGCTCACGGTGAGGATGCCTACGCGTTCGGCGATGCTGTCCAGCCCAGCCTTCGAATGAGCCCGAGGCGCGAGATGATGCCACTCCACGAGCTCGAGGAGGGCAATGGGAAGAATCACGCATCTACCACTGCCCGAACTGAGGAGTGAGTAGTTTCAGCCGTGGTACATCCCATGATTGCTGACGATTTCCCCCAGAGTCGGGTATTAGATGTGCCTCTTGTTAGCCCGCGTGATCAGTATTTCACGCGCTTCGCGTTACGCGTGTTCTCCCAAGCTCAACTTCATGAATGTCTTTTATTACCACGGTTTTCACAGGTGTGTTCTTTCAATGGTCTTGATAATGTTATTACGGTAATCTACTGCCGGTAATAGTATTGGTTCGGTTGTAGAGAGCATATGCCAATCCTGTTTGTGTGATACATCGTGGTCGCGCAGTTGCAACGTTGCTGGATCTACCGGACTACTGGGTGGCGAATTTTGTCATCCACCTCCTTCGGGAATGTCACCGAGCAGGAAATATCACCTCGCGTGACAATAACATACATAAATGAACGAACGCCGAGCTCTACTACATCCAGAACCGACTAGCGGAATATGGCCTCCAAATGAGAATGCAAGTCGGATAAAGTCTTTTGTGTGTTTAACGCGCCGAAAAGGAATGACGGTATCTTCGCTGATAGTGAGGGTCTCATTGTCGACAGATGAGAGACCTGGCTGATTCCACTGGTCCAATACCATCTGCGCTATTGGTTTGACAAAAGGAGATCGCATCTAACAATTCGCTTGTAATTAGCACCTTCTTACAGCGGGATGGTCCAGCAATGAAGTCATGGTGCTCAATTGTGGATTTCCTTTTTGGAAGACCTTCATATTCTGCCTGGATACTGCCGCGAATAATTGGTTGTGACTTGATGGAGTCGAGCAGCTATTTCGTGTTCCAATAAAGATCCCAACATTCATACTCAGGAGTACCTGGGGGGAAGTTGGATCCTGACATAGTACTGTTGCGAGTAAGGGCATCCTGCCAGGTGAAGTTGAAAGCTAAAGCAACATTAAATAAAGAGCACAGGGCGCTCACGCAATGAGTCTGGTTGCTAATGATCTCATGGGAGGTAAATCTAACAAATGCTTCCGGCTACCAGGGAGAGTAAAACGTCGGTTGTACTTCCGCGTGGCTGTGTAGCGTGTGTACAAATTTGCCTCCGTCATAACATTTTCGAGTGAACACTTTGTTACAAACGCTAGTGCCTAGCGTTTGCTTCCGCTCTTGGAGGCAAAAGGAGGCAAAAGGAGGCATTTCTAGCGTATGAGTCCGTCTAATAAGCTATTAATTGCAACCCTTAAGACGGATTGGGATCAGTTTAACCTTCTCTTAAGTGACTTATTTCTGAGTGGCTGCCCATTTAAGCTCTACATTTGTTTTTTCGTGTTAGACACTCTGCTCAATGGGTGTAAGCAAAATATTTTGCCTTGTCTCTTATCTGTTCTTACCATTATGCACTCATGATAACCATTCCCAACACGTCTAGAGGGTGGCTGTGCATGAGGCTCTGCGGGTCATGCACAGCCACCTCCCAGACGCGTCAGGGTAGCAGACAGCCACATTCCCATAGGTGAAGGTAGGGGACAGCCACATCTGAGCGGCAGTGTAGTTCTGATTTTAAAGAAAGTAACAAGAACAACAACATAACAAGCTCTTGACTATTCAGGTAAATGAAATAATATAATTACAATATTTATGTAAGTACTCAGACATTTTTTGGGAGTTCCACTGCCTTTGTAGTGTGGCAAGCTACTTTTCACGGTAGACGGAAGCAAATTTTGGCCTTGCACGCTACTCAGCCACTGACATTACCTCATTCTGTCATAACAAACAGGAGGACAAGGGTGGTAATCATACACAAGACAGATGGTAATAGGCTTTGTCTAAATAAATAAATTATTGTTGTTAATAGTGTGAAACACTTATTTGGGTGTGTAGCGTGTGCACGCTAGCATATGCTTCCGTTTGCCTCCATTCTTTGTTATGGAGGCAAAACGGAGGTATACGCTACATTTACCTCCGTGCTACACGCTAAATTGGTGTGTCCCCGACTACCATAAGATACTTCCGACAACAATAGTACTGACCCTACACTAGAGCTAGTACTAGTGATCGTCGCTTGGAACATCTCGAAGGTTGATTATGGAAGCACTTGTCAAACAATTTGACGACCTGATAGAAAAGCATCTATTTGAGGATGCTCTGACGTTGCTGAATGATGCGTCTTCTGACAAACTCCTTGAGACGGTAACCCAAACTCCGGAAGATATCAATCAGCGCTCACTTCCGTTCAGGAGCATATGCGAAGGCTTGCACGAACATTGCGTGCTGTACAACTCTTTCATGAGACCAAGTTCAATCAGGCGCTTGACACTTTCCTGGAGCTGGAGACAACCCCGGGTCTTGTGTTATCTTTGTATCCTGAAGAGGTGTCTGGACGTTTGGCAACCCCCCGGAAGGATTGGCTGAGACTATTTGGTGGAAAGGGATCTCTTGTTCCTGAGGAAGATCATCCAGAGCACAAGGCAGAGAAGGAGTCCGATGCAGCCTCAGTCTCTAGTGCTACAACGACCAAGACTGAAGCAAAGGTCTCGATGGCAGGCAGGTGGATGCGAGGCTGGGAATTCACGGGAACACGTGCGCAACCAGAGGCTTCAACAAGCAAAGGAACAGCACATAAACCCACATCCGATATACCGTCTCCTCGCAAAGGGAAAGACGAGCCTCTGCGCAAGGGCCCAGGTGAGACTTTCAGGCTTCAAAAAGTGGACTGTGACCAACGTTCTGGCAGATGACCACCAAAGATCTCTGGAAATATTGCTCCGTTATCTCCCCGATCGTCGGCAGAAAGTAATCGGAGCATTTGCTGCACATGCCGATACGATGGCAAACCTTCCATGGACGTCTTTGTACAGCCAGCCAGTTCCTGAACTGCAGTCACTGCCATCCATTCCAATCCCACAGCTGAATCCCCATCAACTCCTTCGCGTTGCACAGATAGTTGATACGGCCCTCTTTAAGGCCTATCTTGTTATTCGACCTGGCCTGGTTGGGTCCCTGTGCCGATTGGATCCAAATTGGTGTGAAGTTGCGGAAGTCGAAACAGAGCTGAAGACGAGAAAGGCGAGTTTTCGACTGTTCAGATACTGGTGCACTGTATTGATGTGAGAACAGAAATATTCAGATCTTATCGACTTGTACCGAGCGAAGAAGATGCATGAAAGTGCGCTCAATCTGCTGCATGAGTTTGTTTTTTTCTCTGAATAGCCCATCATGAAGCTAATGCCATGAAAGACTCGCTGATGAAGACGGCGATGACGAAGACGAGAAATACGGTCAAACAATTCGCTACCTACAACGGCTGGGTGTACAGTATATGGATATCATATTCCGATTTGCAGAATGGGTGTTTAAGGCATCTCCCACAGTTGCACTTCAGGTAGGAAGAGTCGAGCAGGTTCTGGACAATGACTAAGTCTGATACAGATCTTTACGGCTGACATGAGTGAGGTTGATAGTCTGCCCCGTGATGAAATAGCACGATATCTCCAAAGGATCGATCCTACACACGTCGTCTGCATACGTTATCTCGAACATCTGATGGCGCTGGGGGAACACAGTTCGAACCTACACGAATTGCTTGGGGATCTGTACCTTGAACAGTCGCAGGGTGATGCTGGTAAGTTGAATCAACTCCGGCTCTGATCCATGTTTACATGGACTTAGATGGGACCGAAGAAGAATATCCAAAACTTCTCAAATTTATCGCTTCTGATGAAAAGTACCGACCAGACAGATTACTGGCAAGGCTTCCCCTTGACGGTATGCAATACGTCTCGTCGTTTGTAAAGTGTCTCAACTGGCTTCTGCAGGTCTGTATGAGGCTCGGGCACTACTGCTCGGAAGACTCGGAAGGCATGAGGGTGCATTGCAGATATACTTAAACCGACTTCAAGACTACCACAAGGCCGAGCAGTACTGCAAGCACATGCAAGCGACCCATCCAGAACTATTCCTTGTACTTCTAAAGTTATATCTCGCCCCCGAACCGGGCACCAAGCCCCTTCTAGCTCCAGCACTAGCCCTCATTGCACATCACTCGATACAGCTGGAACCCCTATCCGTCCTGGAACTCCTACCGCCACTCGTTTCGGTCCAGGATGTCAGTCGATTCCTAAGTCGCGCCCTGAGAGATGAGCGAAAATGGGCACGTCTAGAGCGAGAAGTACGAAAGGCTCGAGGAGACGCCGTTGCCTTCGACCTGGTGCAACTTCAAGAGCGGAAAGTGGTGGTGAACGACACGCGAATGTACTGTATATCCTCCTTGATGCAGCTCATCAAGCTCACCATATTCTAGATGTCCGCAGTGTAAGAAGCGACTTGGCAGTAGTGTCATTGCAGTTCATGCGCCGAGGTGAGCAAGGGCCGCGACATTTTTTAAAATGAGCTCTGACGTGCATGCCGCAGAGGAGAGGTTACGCATTACCAGTGTCGGGAAGCCTTCTCTCGTCAGATCATGGCACAATGAGGGGAACTTTTCGGAACTTTTCAGTAGGATTTGGATTATACATGATACCAGCAGACTAGATGTGATACCCATCAAGTAGTACGTCTATGATCCGAGGCAAAACATCAAGTTACGGAGAGAGATGAGTATGGGAGAGTTGTGCACGCTGTTAAGACATGCGCATGACTTTTTACCCGTAAACTAGTATCGCGTTGAGAGAAACATTACAAAGGTACACTACAAGGAGAACGAATTACCGTCCCGAAGAGTCCGGGTATTGCGCATATCCGTGGTAATACGACGAATACCTCGGCAAAATATCTGCATCGGATGAATTCTGTGATATCGATGAGGGAACGGAAGGGTATTGGTATGCATACTGCTGCTGAGGCTGCTGCTGCTGTGCCTGTGCCTGCTGAGGCTGCTGCGTCTGCGTATGCTGTGATTGCGTATGCTGCTGCGTCTGCGTGTGCTGCGGCTGCTGGGCGGTGTGCGCCTGTGTATGCGCATGGCGCTGGGTTTGTTGACGCTGAGAGAGGCGATGAGCGGCAGCTTGCTGTGGCTGCGGCTGGTGCACCTGATGATGCACAACAGGCTGCGACCCCTGCACCGGCGTGTGACCTTGGCTATGGGACTGCTGTGTCGAGGTAGGCGTGGGGAGCTGGGTAATGTCCCTGGAAAAATCACGGATGTCCCTCAAGTGGGGTAGATCCGTACGCGCCTGACCATTCGTAAGCTGCTGCTGCTGGAGGCCCGGGAGCCTCTGGGTGGGCACAGTCTGCGGCTGCGTCGCGTGTGCCAATAGAGGTGAGGCATGCAAGCTACCAGACAAGGGACTATTAAGCATCCCCTGCGTCGGCGTGTGCGCCTGTACTTGAGCCTGGGCATGGGAATACGCATACTCCGAAGTCGGCTGCGTCGCGGGCCGGTAGTCCGAATGGTGGCTCGTGCTGCGCGTCGTGGTAGTATGGGACGTTGACCTGTACTCCTGTCCTGAGCCGGGTCGATATTCTTGCGCCTGTGCCTGTGATTGGGCTTGGGCTTGGGCCTGGGCCTGGGCCTGTTGCTGTTGCTGCTGCCTGTAGTCCTGCCCAGAATTGGGACGATAATCTGCGTAAGCGACCGCATACTGGCCCTGAACCTGTTGTTGAGCCTGCGTCTGCTGCTGTTGCGGCTGACGTTGCTGGGTCTGCTGCACTTGCTGGACCTGTTGGACTTGTGTCTGCACTACTAGCTGACGAGATTGGTGCGCATGAACCTGGGCTTGGACATGCTGTAACACCTCCTGATGCTGCGTTACGTGCCTGGGGATAGGCGCCTGCACCGGCACCTCTGGCTCATCATCATCATGATCGTCCAAGATGAAATCCAAATCCGTCGCCGACCCTCCAGTCTGGTTCGCGCTAGCTGTTTCCGCAGCGACTGCAGCTGCAGCAGCAGCAACGGCATCAGCAGCGGCCTGGGCTTCAGCCGCTTGGGCTTCGGCGGCCTGGGCTTCCTTCTCCGCTCTCACGCGCGCCCGCTCGGCCTTCCTCCTCTCCGCCCTCCGCTCGGCTTTCCTCGACGCAGCCGTCGAAACTCCCGGAGCAGTAGCAGTAGGCGCCGCACTACCAGCAGCAGGGCGGGGTATGTTCCCGCTCCGCAAACCCATGTTCTTCGCTTTGTTAAGCACTTGGTGTCTGCTCCTGCTCGGGCCCCACTGGGCGACGACCCAGTCCCAGCCTCTGTCGCTCATCTCTGGCTGGGCCTCTGCAGGCGCGCTCCCATCTTCGGGAATATCGTTGGGACCTGCAGTGGGAGCGGAACCGGAACCGAGCGTAGTTGGGGGTAAGAGGAACTGCGCCTGCTCAACCAGAGCTCGGAGCTTGGAAACTTCCTCCACACTCCAAGGACCGGAGGTATGTTTCGGGCTTTCCGCCACAGGAGCTGAGCTCACAGCCGTAGCGGAGGTGCCAACCGAACTAGCAGAGGCGAGGGTAGGGGTTTGACCCATGGCTTGCGCTTGGGCATGCGCTTGCGTAGGGGAAACCCCAGCGCTTCCTGACGGCGGGACGGTGGCGGGGGCGAGTGGGGCGCTGGAGGGCTCGGCTTCACTCGTAGGCAAGCGCCCGGCTTCAGCCTGCGCCGTTGCCCAGGACTTGTATTCTGTTCTAGGGCGGGAACGGGTTATACTCGGTACAGGCACTTGCGTGCCCCCTACGGGAGGTGGGAGGATCGCCGCTGGGACGGTGGGTGGGACAGCCGTAGCGGCTGAAACGGTGGGGAAGGTGGGGGCGGGCTGTGTAGCCGGAGGGACTGTGCCCGAGGAGAGGGAAAGAAATTGATCGCAGACTTGGCGCATGTCGTTTAGTACTTGGAGGGCCGTTGGGCCCGATGGGGGAAAGGCGTGCAGCAATACATGAGGCGCTGTGTGTGCCTGTTATTATCAGATGTTGTTAGAGATCCAGCTCGGATGGAAGAGGAGAAACGCACGATCAAATCATTAGCAATATCGTAGAACCCCGTGCAAGCCTTGATCGCTTTCTTCCTAAAGTCTTCGACGGCTTTGGGCACATCTTTGCCCCCAGTGATAGCAGGGCCTGCCGCTGCGGCCGGGTGAGGTGCCGGATGCTGCCCAGGGGGGAGTGGAGGGCCGGGGAGCGGTGCAGCGGGTGGAGGTGGGGGCGGTGCATAAGCGGCAGGCGGATAGGCAGTAGGGGGGTAAGCGGTAGCATGTGAGTAAGCGGTAGCGGGTGAGTAGGCAGCGGGAGGGTAGGCAGTAGCAGCTGGATCATAATACCATTGCCCGTACGCATATGGACCCGCAGGGTACCCAGGGTATGCAGGGGGGACAGCAGACATGCTCTGCATGTTCTGCCCCGACGCGGCAGGGATAGAGAGAGGAGCAGTGAGGGAGGAAGTGGGAGCGTCGAGCTTGCGTTTCTTGTGCGAGTTGGAGCCAGACTTGGTGCGTACAGGTGCGGGTGCGGGTGCGGGTACGGACTTGCGTTTCTTACTTGTGGGGGAGGTCGGGTCGCCATCTCCATCTCCATCTCCTGCTGCCGATGCAGCTATGACTGGCACCTGTGCAGATTGTACGATAGGAGTAGATGTTTGGACGGCTGATGACGGCGGATTCGCGCTCTGAGGAGGTACGACGGCGGCGATCGGCGGCGAAATGACTGCCGCTGGTTGAGTAGGTGTGCTAGTCGGAATCGGAACGCTCGTCGTCGCCGCACCCGTGTTATCCACGGGTCTGTTGACTTCCTGAGGTCCTGTCTCTGCAGTCTGCGCTTCTGACTGATGAGAACCAACGATATTCTCCTGCACCTCTCTCTCTTCCCTAACCTCAGCCTCTCTCTCTCGTCTCTCCGGCTCCTCCCTTTCCCTCTCTTTCTCCTCCTCTTGCTGCTGCTGCTGCTGCTGCTGGTGTGCATAGATCGCTTGCGCAGCCTGCATCTGCACCATCTGCTGCTGCGGGTGCGCGCGATGCTGGGGATGGACAACAGTGTGGAAGGCGTTCGCGGATTGGGATAGGAGAGGGTAGGAGGAGAGGTACCCGTGTGGAACACCCGGTGCCGTTGGAGGGTAAGCCATTGAGATCGGATGATCAGTGTGGATAAGAGGATATTCGAGCCGCCCGCGTTTAGTTACTCGTTCGTCAATGTTGTCGGTGATGAGGATAGTCGCGCTGCCAATACGCTCGTCGTCGTCGTCGTCGTCGTCGTCGTCACTGCCGTCGCTGTCAACCAAATCGGTGCACCCGCCCTAAGAGGAATAACCAAGTCCAAAGTCGCACTCTGAGTAGAAACGGTGTAAACGGGCGCTTGACCCTAACAGTCCAAAGGATCCTCCCGTGCAAGGTACGTTCTGTCCGCAGTTTGAGAGCCACAGCATTATTTTTGACTCCGCTACACAGCCTCTTTCTTTCATAACCACGTGCGCTCACTGCGTTCTTGTGCGGAAGTTTGAGCGGAGTTTATTTCGCTCCCCTTGCTTCTCTTGAGTTGGTTATTACACTCATCGCCCTAAAGTCCGGATCCCTAAGGTACAATTCAAACAATATAATAAACATTCATCATCCCAGCGCCCTCCTCGCCTACAGAAATATTAGCATCAAATTTCTCACAATCTACCCCACTCACCAACCGCACCTCCTCCTCCCCCACCTCAACCCCCATCTCCAGCCCTCCAGCTCTCACCTCCCATTCCTCAGGAGCGTCTGTCATCCCCGGACACAGGTTAAGGGGTATCCATTCCCCCGCAGTAGCAAGGAACTCTGCTCTTGCGTCCGTTTCCTCTGTTCCTTGTCAGCATGTTTGTAATAGACAAGCAGAAAAAAGTACCTGAGCGCCAACGTTCTAATTGCCCCTCGAGCTCTCGGATCATCCGTTCCGCTCTTGACTTCGCCCCCGCCCGCCTGTCTAATTCAAGCACCAAAGCATAATATGCCTTCTCGACCTGCTCGAACCCGCTCTGCAGCGAGCTGACAGCCGCGAGGTGTGCGTTCAGCCCGGGGAGAGTAGCGGCGACCGTCTCCTCCAACACGAGTACATGGAGCGCAAAGCTCGTCAAGCCGGTAGTGAGCGCTTCCAGGGCTTGCCAAGCGCTTTCCACTTCCTTTTCCTTTTCCCTCTCCTGCCCTGCTTCCCTAAGCTGCTCTTCGAGCTGCTCGACACTCGCGCGCGCCTGTTCCAGTTCTTCCAATATAGGCCCCACCTCCTGCGTATCTCTCACAAGCAGCTCTACGTCCTCTCTCTCCAGTACCACCCCCTCGCGTACATCGGTCAAAGCGTGCGTCATCTGCTCGTAATGTGTTGTCAGGGACTCGAGGGCGATTGACATTGTCGAGGTATGCTCTTCTTGCTGAGCCAGGAGGGCGTGGATGTGTTGTCTCAGAGGAGGGGAGGGGGGAGGGAGGGAGTTGCGGAGATGTGCGAGGGCAGAGCTGAGCGCGTGAGGGGAGGGGACATCCGGACTCCGGAGGGCGTCCTACGAACGTATGAGCACAATCATGAGAGCATAGGAGTAACACACATCAAGCACAGTCCGATCCTTTTCGATACGGTCCATAAGCTCCTCCACCCCGCTCTCATCTACAAAATCCCTCAACCTCTTCCTCCCCCGTGCCTCCCTGTCCCCTCTCTCCCTCAACCCATTCACACCCATCCCCACCCTCTGTCTTCCCTCTCTCCCCCTCTGTCCAACCCGAGCTCTCTCACCCTCACAGTCACCTTGCTCATCCTCGTCAGCCCCACCTCTTCCACCTTCTTCCACTTCGTTACCTCCCTCTTCATCAAGAACAAACGGGTCCACCCCTCCCTCCCCCGGTGCCCAAACCCTCCTCCCCATCAGCACCCTCTCCATCCTCCCCAACTGCCCCTCCAACCCCCTCGCAGCCTCATCCCTCACCGAGTCCCACCTCTTCCCTCCGGCAAAAGTGTCAGCCCTCATCTAGCCCCAGCAAGTGGCAACAGAACGCACCTTGAGATCCGAGACCACTTTTTTCCTCCTCCCTACTAGGCCTGATAAGACAGCAGCAGCACCCTCCACCCCTCCTCTAACCGCCCTCTCACCCCACCCCGACCCCCTCGCCAGCGCCAACACCGCCAGCTGAGATGAAAGGATCACGCTGTTGTTCGCTTGTGTGCAGAGGGCTTGACCGCGTTCTAGTGCGGAGTGGGAGGTGAGGTGTAGGGAGGGGATTAGTGTGGGTGGGGAAGGGGAAGGAAGGGCCATCGTCAGCGTTGGAGGGGTTGGAGAACAGGAGAGAAGAAAGGTATTACTAGCATGATAGACCCTAGTGACGCGTACCTGCATGTGATTGTATCAAATTCCATACCAAAATACACCGAGCAAATTTTCTATAATCGAGAAGTAAAGTATGAATACAGGCATTTTCCGCTTTCCTCTTCTCCCCTGAGACTTTTTCACAACGTTTTCTCCCCTCTCTTCCCACAAGTCCACGGGTACATAAAACATTTGACGCGAAACGAATTGAAACGAAACGAGGCTCAGGTGAAAGAGCCGATTACACAGGCATGTTGCGATCGGCACCACCAAGCTCTGGGCTACACCTCGGCTTTTCCACAGCAGCATGAGTGCTATGCGTCAGCACCGTGTTCCAGCTTGGTGCCTTCCCTCTCCCTCGTCGCTTCTCCACTGGGCATGCCCATATCCATCAACCGCGTCATCCCATCGTCTTGTTTTATCCTGTTCAGCTCCGTGACGAACGACGTGCCCCAATATGCCGCTGAGTACTTGGAGACGTACTGCATCGTGCGTCACGTGTCAGCATAGGTGCTTGCCAGGAGGAACGGCAAAGCGCACCTTGAACAGCTTCTTATGGTTCTCCGCACGCGTTTCCGGCAACATCGTTACGGCATCATAGATCGCATCTGCGACCTGCCTCGGGTCCCAGGGATTGACAACCAAACTCCCGTTCAAGCTCTGCGCCGCCCCCGCAAACTCGGAGATGATCAACACGCCCTGGCGTTTCTGCTGGCACGCAATGTACTCGTATGAGACGAGGTTCATACCGTCCCGGGTAGAGGAGACGAGGCAGACGTTGGAGAGAGCGTAGAGCGCACAGAGTTCGTCGAACTGGAGAGACTTGTGCATAAAGTGGATAGGCATGAACTCGACTGTGCCGAATCGGCCGTTGATGCGCCCCACGAGCTCATTCACTGTCGAACGCAAATTTTGGTACTCCTCCACGTCTTGACGCGAAGGGACGGCGAGCTGAACGAGTACAACCTGACACAATGTCAGCAGCAACTCCGTTTATTGTCATGACAATTGCGCACCTTGCCAATCCATTCTGGGTGATCCGCGAGAAACATCTCGAGCGCATGCAGCTTCTGTGGCATACCCTTGATATAGTCCAACCTGTCCACACCAACAATGACTTTGACTCCTTTGAACCGCTGCTCCAGTTCAGATATCCTCGCCCGCACAGCGGGTTTCTCTAAGTTCTATAGTCCAGTCAGCGTCTGTCCAACCCCGACGCAAACCGGACTGACGTCAATGAACTGGTCTGGATCAATACCAATGGGGAAAGTGCCGACGTGCGCGTAACGGCCCTCGAACTCGACACCGTTGGGCATAGTCGCCAATCCCAGGATGCGAGTACAGGAAGAGAGGAAGTGACGTGCGTAGTCGTACGTGTGGAAACCGATGAGGTCGCAATGCAGAACACCGAGAAGGATCTCCCTTCGGACGGGGAGAATTCTGCATAATACGCGTCAGGACGCGTCGAGCATGTAAAATAAGCAGGCGCACCTGTAAATTTCGCTGCTTGGGAAGGGCGTATGCAGGAAGAAGCCGATTTTGATGTTCTTGAGCTCGTGCCCGTTTGCCTGCTTCGGTGCCTGGTGCACACCTTCCATGATACGTGGCATCTCCTCATTCGTGAGTCCACCGGCCTTGCCCCCTTGAAGCATATTCCGCAGCATCATCGGCATGAGCATAAGGTGGTAATCCTGCACCCAGACCATATCCCCCGGACGGACCTGATCGCGCACGACTTCGGCGAACTGCATGTTGGCCTGACGGTATGCGAGCCAATTTGCTTCGTCGAAGTTCATTTCGCCAGGATGGTAGTGGAGGAGGGGCCAAAGGATAGAATTGGCAAAACCGTTGTAGTGCCGGTCTGCGACGTCGTCATCGAGGTAGACAGCCTGGCAAGAGTATTCCTCCTCGAGACGTTTGTCGACAAGCGGGCGGTCCTTTGGAGGGATAAAGAAACCAGGCCAACCGATCCAGGTGAAGCTCATGCTCTTCTTGCACCCTGAGAGGGCGGATACGAGGCCTCCCGAGGACATCTTGAAATGGTACTCGCCCTTTGCATCCTTTGAGATTGTGATCGGGAGACGGTTGGAAACGACGAGGAGCCGTTGTCCCTCCTCGACGTTGAGTACAGGCATGGATGGGTCGTGCGGGTGTGGGAGTTGTGTTGTCATCGCAGCGTGTGGGTGGCTATTTATTGAGGGCGAACGGTGCGGGGAAATAGACGCGGGGGATGCCGGGACAGGGACGGTGCGTTGTATGGTCAGTGTATGCCGTGAGTTTGCCGATGTATGCAGGTGGAGAGATGGAAGGCGGATGGTGGGGGAAGCACAAGATGTGCAAGAAGAGCCGACAACGGTCAAACCTTTTGAGTGAATTGAGCAAGATGTATGCGCATACACCTGATCTGCGTTCCCCACGTGCGAGACAACCCATTCGTTCATTCCCTCACCCTGTGATGTCATGCTCATTACAATATTCTAGACCCAGACACGGCCCACTGAGACATCCGACTGGAGTGGCCTTATCATAACACAATCATTAACAATCTCCGGGCATATCCGACATTAACCCTTGTTCAACTCATCTCTATCTCCCTTTCTTCTCTCTCTTCTGCTCTCTCCGACACACCTATCAACAACACACTTGCAACGCTGTACAAACGTGCGCCGTCCGGCCCGCTCACTTCACCCGCCAGCCGGAAACGACCGACGCACCGGGTCAACCGGATCCTGTCCTTTTGCCTACACCCATCAACCGACATCACTTCACCTTCTCGTCCCTTCTTTCCTTTTTAGGTCACCTTGCTCTCATTTCTCTCCTCACCCGATCGGTCATTCACCGCTGACTTAGCACGCATATGGGGAAATCCAACACTGTACAGAAATCTGCTCTTCAGCTACATTAGGTTCGGTCTAAGTGGGGATGGATTCTCAAATGCAGAAATGTAGAATATACCATACTTATGCATCCATATCACCGCATCGCTCATCGGGTCATCGATGCTCCCTCCAATATCTACTTCGATATCCGGCTACTAGCCCACAAACTCACATCCCATGAAAGGGGTACCCGAAAGCCTCACTTCGGTGATCCTGAATTGCCTTTCAGCTCCAGGCCACACGTCCTTCAGTTCGTCCTGCGATAGCGACTGCATCGACCCTCTGAGCCCCAGATCGGGCAAGTACACTTCCATTGACTGGACCAAATGCCGGCCATCGGATACCACCATATTCGAAACGATCCCGCGCACACTCCCTTGCAGCATCTCCTTTGCAACCGGGTTTTCGTCTGTCACCAGCGCCTGGTTCAGCGCCCGCATGGTCCAGAGCAGCTGGTTCGCCACCTCCTGCTTGTGTAGCATCCTCGAGCGGTAATTCATCTCCTGCGCGATCACCGTCACCGTCTCCCTGTCAAAGGGCAGACTGGTCAGGTTCGGCACGCGCAGTGCACTCTTGAGCATCCAGTGGTTCACCAGATCCGAGTACCGCCTCAAGGGGGACGTCACGCGCGCGTACCCACCCTCAAGGTGGGAAATGCCGAGGGGAAAGTGCCTCCCTGGCTCGGACGCGTTTCGCGCTCCGACATTGGAGATTCCAAGCCTGGTGAGCTCGGTAGAGGCCACAATATTGTGTGCATCTCTCAGGTCCAGCGCCTCCGCAACCGCTTCTGCAGTGGGAGCGATGGGGGACTGTGCAGTGCGGTAGATGAGGGGGATCCCGCGCTCATATGCCCACCGACCCGCAATCCGCCCCGCCGCGATCATGGACTCCTGGACCAGGGACTGACCGGGGCCCATACTGCTTAGTGCTTCTAAGTTGAGATCAAACTTGGGAAATCCGTGCCATAGGTGTGGCTGATCAGGTACGCGTACGTTCGTAGGAAGCGTGGATGGGTAAACAGTTGCGGTGAGTGTGGCGTCCCCGCGCGCAAAGAAATCTCGATTTAGTCGCCGGCGTTTCACTTTCTCTGTTGTGGCGTAAAGTAGCTTGATAATATCGACTGATACATCGGCGGGTGGGGCATCAGGTGTGGCAGAGACAGGCGCGGTAGACAGCGCTTTCAGGATCTCGCTCTTCGGTTTCGGGGTATAACCCAGTAGCGCGTCCACCTGGTTGTACGTAATGCGCACCACGTTGCGGATGACACCAGCCTGCACTCGCAGATCGGTCATATCGCCATCCTCTGACACCCGCGCGCTGAATGTCAACGTGCACAGCGGATTCCCAGGTTCAAGCGTCATGCCTGCCATAGCGAGCGACCGTGGCAGCATCGGGATCGTCTGCTCCACCAGGTAGATCGTCTCTGCTCGGTTTCGTGCCTCACGGGAGAAGACGTTGTCTGGATGGAGCAGGCGTGTTGGGTCAGCCACGTGTACGTGCAGCCACACATCAGTGCTCCCCGGTATCACTTCCACCGACAGACCGTCGTCTAGCTCTTGCGCGTCCACTTGATCGATAACAAACACGGGGAGCTGGCCAAAGTCGTGCCGGATGTGCGCACAGTCATCATCAGGACAAAAGTCAGTTGTAGTGAGCACTTCGGATAGACGCTTCTCGTCCTTGGAACCGGTTTCTCGTTTCTTCAACTCGGTGTCGTGCAATTCGAGCATCCTTTTCCCATCGGCTTCAAAGGCATCCTGCTGCTGCTGAGTCCGTCGCGGAACAAGGATACGGTTCTCCGTCAGATCCTTCCAGGGGGTGATGACCCCCAGCTCTTGGAGGAAAGTGGAAACGATATCCCGAGCATCAGTTGACAGTTTGCCATACAGTCCAATTTGGCCAATAATAACTTGTGCCAGAACGTCGACCGGATCCTGTTGCAGATAACGCGTGCGCTCAGCATAGACCTGCAACGCGCGGATAATTTTCTGGTCGTCCTCGTTGAGCTTTGGTAGGTCTGGTGTTGAAATTGGTTCAATCGGTCCAAATACCCTTCGTAGGGCTCGAGACGCGTTTATTATCGTGTGAGCCTTGTCAATGAAGCGTGGTATGTGTTCCGTGTTACTCAAGGCCCAGTTTTTCACATCTCTCACTGCGTTGACGTCGTTCAGTGGACGAACGCTATACGTCTGGCTGACTCGATGTCGTAAGGGATCCACCTGGAATTGTAACTCATTGGAAAACATGTACTTATGTGTCGCAAATATCGTCCTCGTTGACGGGATACGGTCTGGATTGGTGCCGTCGATGAACCTGGCCGCGTCCACCACGGATAGCGCAGACCAACCGTCTGGATCCTTGGAACGGAACAGCTCATGCAGTCGATTGGCACGGCTCCTGATTTGGTTGCTTTGACGTTCCACATCTTTGGTGAGCTCTAGCAGGCGACGTATAATTGCGAGCCGAGAGTTTTCTTGCACCCGAGTTTTCGGCGAGTCGTCCGCTCCACATCCGAGCACGAGTTGCTTCGGGAAGTATTCTGGTACAGTGAAGAATACGTCGTGTAGATTGTGCGACAGCAGAAATCCAGCTGGGGTGATTGTACGCATTACGGGTCTGCCTGTCATTGGAACAACGGCGCGACCTAGGAGACACCCGTGATACGAGCAACCGCCTCTGCGAACTACTTTAACACAAATATACGAAAGAAATCCCATAGACACACCTTCGCAGCTCTAAAATTGATCCCAATGGAATCGCGTCCAACGAGTCGTCGTCCAACGAACCATCGCCGTTTACCTCTAGCCCTGACGGGACAGCCTCTTCGAATTCGAGCTGTTCTGGGTGCGGTCGTGACTGTCCCTGTCGTGCGAGTTCTTCCAGCGTCATTTGCTGTTGCATCCCTCTATCATATGCCGGTCTGTATCCCCATGTACCAGATCTGCCATGAGTTGCAGCGGCGAGGATTCTGCGAGCGGTGCTGTTGGAGTCATGGGCGTCGGGATGGTCTGCTGGGAGAAAGGCGGCGTATTTGCCAGGGTTGGGTTTTGGAGCAGTTTGTGTCGCTGCCGATGAGGTGTAGTGTCGAAGAGCACTCGACTGCCTACGGGCAACAGCCCTTGATGGACCAGCGACACAGTTCATGGCGAATGGTAGGAGACGTGCTCAACAGGACGCTCAGGTGCACAATGGGGTCGAGGAGCAGATCTGGCTAGGAACAGACTAACATAAATCTTTCTCACGTGCTTTTTCAGGGCTCTTCTGCAACTTTTTTCGCCACTCACTTCTAAGCGTAAGGTTGAGGGCCATATCGAACATATCTCTTGTTAGTTATTGGACAAGGTTCCAAAGATGTATAAAAGAGTCGCTAAGCGGATCGAGCGACATGAAAGGGAAGAGAAGTTGGGGATCACAGAGGAGGAGAAAGAGATCCTTGGACTCCAGGATACGGACACAGACGAGTCGGAGTCGTCCGACTCTGACGAAGGCTCTGACAAGGAGGATGCTGAGGGTTTCGAGGTCGGGAGTGAGCTGGATGAAATGGATGAAAGACCTCAAGAAAATGGCGACGACGAAACTGATAGTGATGATGATGGTTCGTATTCATTCATCCTGCTTTGTTTAGAAATTAATAAAATGCTTGTAGAGAGCTTAAGCGACATTGTCCCCGCCGTCACAGTCGAACAAGCACTCAAATCACCACTCTATACATTCCTCGGTGACACCAAAACAGAAGGTTGCTTCGTATGCCCAGGAAAGTTCCTCGCATCACGCAACGCCTCGGAGCTGCATGTGAAGTCTTCGGTACGCCGTGCTTTATTTTAGTGAGACGCCCACTGACCAGGTCGCGAAGAGCCATAAACGACGTTTCAGACGCTTTCAGGCGTATGTCGATGACGCCCAGAAAAAGGGTGATGCGCTCGCTGGAGCCGAGGCCAGTGAGATCGTACAGAAGATGGATGCGGACCGCCCGCCACCTCCGGAGCGGATCACAGGAGCGGTCCAACCGAAAGGCCCAAAGCCGCCCAACAGAAAAATGCGCCGAGAGGCGTTGAGGAAGGCGAAGGAGGTTGAAGTGGAGGAGACAAAGGCAAAGAATGGAGACAAGGTCGCCGAGGACAGAGAGGCGACGACAAAAGCTGTGAATGAGGGAGGTGTGAAAGCAGCTGTCGATATCCCAGCGACGAAGAAAGAGAAGAAAACGGCGAAGGAAGCACTGGCGAAACCTAACGCCTTCCCTGCTGCTGCTGCTGCTGCTCCGCATAAGCGCAAGAGAGCAAAAGACACCGATGTCCCCATCTCCACCAAACCCAAGAAGCAAAAGACCAAACCTGTGGCCGCCTAACCTCCCTTCTATCAGGAGGCGATACCCGTCAAGCACGTATACCCATCCATAGCACACTCCGCATGGCGTACAATAAAGATGCCATAATATGTAACATTAGCCTAGCACAGAGCCGAGCAGAACGAGGCAGGAAATGTCCGTTCCTTTGTCTCTTAGCCCGACGAACGGCGAACTGCTAGCCCGATCTACGCAACAGTCCAATCCACACTCACGCAGACAGCGTGGAGATCACTTTGTCTGTCATCTCAATCACCTGCGAACCGTAAGCCAGGCGAGGAACAGTAAAGAGTAGTTAACATACCTGGTTTATATCCGGTCTCTCCTCCGGGCTGACCTTGAGCATAGCATCGATCAAGTTCCTAAATCCCTGGCTGTATTGGTACCCTGGCGGGTGCTTGTAAACACCACCCATGACAGCCATAGCCATACTGCCTCCCTGTTCCATCGTCGCGTTCGTCTCGAACGGGCTGTGGTTGTATGCCAGTGCGAAGAGCGTGCATCCTAGCGACCAGATGTCGACTGCTTCGGTCAACGTCGTGTTCGTCTTGACATCGAACAGCTCGGGTGCGCGGTACGGCATCGTTGATTGTTCTGCAGCGAGGTCTTGTTGCACAAGCGCTTGCTGCCGAGTCTTGATTGGTATCCGAGCGCGTATGGCAGATCCAAAGTCCATTAGTATTGGTGTCGTGCCATCATCGGCGACCATGATGTTCCTGGGAACAATCAGTCTATCTCCTTTCAAACTCGGCCGCGTATCATACCCAGGCTTGATATCCCTATGCGCGTAGGGCACGACCGCGCCCTGCTCAACAGGTTCACCATTCTCCGGTGCCCCATTCGTCGCTTCATTTCTCAGCTCCTGGTCCCCATCGAACACAACATCCCCCTCATCATCCACAGTCCGCCGAATCATGAGCGGAACGCTGTCCCTTGTGTCGTACGCGAACCCTTGACCTTCGTGCTCGTCCCCTTCATCAGCATCGTGCTCGTGGTGCCCGTTCTCCGCTGGATGAGGAATGACCTGCGTGCTCGGTCCGGGTGGTGCTCCCGCAGGGGGGAGTGTTTCCTTCGTTGGATGATAGTCGTGCATTGCCCGCACACCGAGGCACGCTCCCCTAAAGAGCCTGCACATCTCCAGTTCTGAAAATCGGGTGCCATTGATGGTGTTACTGTTAATCTGGTCTTGTAGGTTTCCTCGCTTATAATAGGGAAGGAAGAGGTAGACGATTTGCCCATCACCGTCGCGGTCTTGGACTACTGCAGAATCCTGAACCACGTCAGTCAACGCTCAGCTGCATCCTGGGAGCACTCACAAGAATACGAATAATGTTCGGATGTCTAGATACATTATGTCAGCAATAGTAAGGACCGCAGAACACCGAAACCCGACCTGAAGCGCCGGTATGCCTCAACTTCTCTCATAGCTTCCCGCACTCCCTCAGCGCCTGTGGGGCACCTAATCTTCTTCAACGCAAACATCCGTCCGCTCGTTTCATCTTGTGCTACGCAACCTTCAACCTTCACCTTATGCTTCAAAATGGGTACGTACCAAGGTAGACAAATGAGAAGCCCCCCTCACCAAGCACTTTGAGCAGCTTGAACGTCCGCCCGTTGATCTTCAGTGTTGCCTGTTCTCGGCATATGCATGACGAGAGTGCATAGATAGCGTCTTTTGCTTTTTCCTGAAGTGATTGAAGTGTCCACATTAATGAGCTCATCGTAGCTAATCCAAGCAGCAGGAGAGGGTAATGTTGAGCACGACACCAGCTTGTACCAGTGTCGGTGTCAATGAAACGACTGTGCACTGCTATTCTCGGCGGGAGAACCGCAGCACAGCCATCAAAGGTGGACCCTGACAGGCTTCAGATCGGGGTGTTTTAGCACGTTCCTCCAGTTGAGCGCTTTATTGCTTCTCCTGATTCTCCTGTCTCCGGGTGATCCCATGCTGCCTTAACACCCATCTCCCAGTTCGCTGTCCCTTCCTTCTATCTTCTCTCACTCTAAGAGACGATGACAACCCCCACCACGCCTCTCCTGCCATCTGCGAACCAGTCGGCATCGTATAACACCATCCCCGTGGTGTCAAGCACGAATGGCGCGCTCGCCGGCCATATTCCTGAGCGCTCTCTTGATATCCCCAACCCGGAAAGCGCGACCCTCTCCAGTCTGTGTGAACATTTTGCCATCTCTCCGCACCGCAGCGCGAGCGAGACGGCTCTCATACTGGTAGCTCTCTTAAGGACGCTCAAGCGTTCTCGCGAGCTGGAAGAAGGCGTGAAAGGGAAGAGCACGCGGAATACGTGGGAGGCGAAGGAGCGCGTAAGAGGGATATCTGCCCGCCTTGAAGGACTGGTGGAGGAAGTCTGGGAAATGTGGCTCAAAGAAGGAGATGGGGAGGCTGAGCGAGTGCTTTGGGACAGCGTGGCGCCAGGACGATATGGTCGAGGTGAGAATGTCCGCATATAGCTAGCATTTTGTTGACCTTTCTCTCAGTCGTCGATTTCCTCCCTCTTTTGTCCGTTCCGGCGTCGTTTGGAAGTCATGAACTCATCCAACTCTCATTTCACACCACCTGGGGAACCGGTCTACACCCGTTCTTTCTAATAGCAGAATCTCTGTCCTCTGTCTCTCGTCTTCTGGCATGGATGGACTCGTTTTCCACTCCCCGGTATGCTGCTCATCCCCATATACCTGGCTATTCTGAACCAGCTGAACTAGACTACTCCACCTGCATGCCCTCGTCCTACGAATCGGTCACCTCTTGCTGGCCATTTGGTTGGCATTATACCCCTCTCTGATGCCCCAATGGGGCATCCCGGAGATCCTCTGGACAGTATTCACCATCTGTACCTCCCTCGAGCTGCCTTTCCATCCCTCACTCTTTCGGCTCCTCTCCCTCCTCTCACTACTCACCGGCCTTCCCTACCCCCCACGACCATCCACGCTCTCCTTCCTCCTTCTGCTTTCATCCATCGCAGTCTCTCTCATCGCCTTCCACCTACCGCTCCATCCCTCTCCAATCCATCTCTTCGTCAACAAGACCGTCATCGCCACCTCAACGCGATTCGAGTACCTACTCTCGCGCGCACTCATCCCCAGCGTACTTTATTTCCTCCCAATCGTTCTCACGAGTATCGTTGGTCTCGCCCTGGCACTTAACGGCGACCCCTGGCACCCATACCTCCTCCTGCGCGACGCGTTCACTTCACCTGTTTCACCCTACGAGACACGCATCGCCTGCCTCGTAGCTGTCATCCTCGCCATCGCAGGTTACATATGGCTCATCGAGTTCGCTACCGTTGAGCTCGCAGCTCGTGGCGAGCAGAGGGAGAACGAGGAAGCTCAGAGAGGGTTCGTAACTGCTATGATCGACTACACTTACCTCCCGGGGAGGAAGAGGCGGACAGGATATCGGATGCCAGCGCCGCTGAACGTTTTAGAACTGCTAGCAGCAGATATCCCCTTTTGGGCGTTATTTGCGTTTCCGCATAGGAGGGAACAAGCACAGGAGTGGAGGATTACGGCCAAAGCTGTCGTTTGGCGTATATGTGTGGGGCCGGTGGTGGCAGCGTTGTCGCTGTTGTACGCCTGGGAGTGGGTGTTGCCTAGGATCTGGAGGAGGAGCAGGGCGATTTAGGTGGGTCGGAAGGAGGATAGGGTTGATAGTGTATATCGAGAATAATTTCGTATGCGAAGCTGAACACCTCTGATTGGTTGCATGCCCCAACACTTGGCATTTGAATCTCGACCGAATTTGTCAATGGATTTGAAGAAAGGTTATTACGAGGCAAAATAAATCGCTCATCAATATTGTGGTCTACTCAGCCTGCAATAGCCAATCTTTGATAATAGGTTGCCGTACATAGGGCGAGAAATCTTCACTAAGGGATCGGTCATCTCTCTTACGATGCGCTCCCCGCTTACCAGACCGGCCACCGGCGAGGACCCCGATCACCCCATGCTTCTTTGAACCCTGACCCCCAACGGACAAACTACTTTGCGGAACGTCTTCTTTTCCTGGTCCGCATATATTGCAACGCGTCCCCTGCTCCTCGACCCTACCCTCTTCTCTTTTTACCCTCCCCCCTCCCTCCCTGCTAGAGAAAAAGGATGTCGACGTTGATCTCGACGGTGTGGGAGCATGCTCAACCCTACGTTGAGCAGGCAAAGCCCTACATGGAGCAAGCAAAGCCCTACGTGGAACAGGGACGGGTATTCCTGGAGCCATATTTGGCCAACCCCAACTGGCCAATCATCGCTGTTACACTCGCTCTTGTCTTCCCGATCATCGCAATTGTGCTCAATGTCGCTAGTCAACTTGTGAGTCCCAAGACGCATCCTAAGTACAAACAAACAGCTGAGGTGTGGCAGCTCCTACCGAGGGATCGTACCAAGCCCCCAACGGTCTTCCACTTGATACCCTTCATCGGTTCGGCAGTCGCGTACGGCATGGATCCTTACAAGTTTTTCTTCTCGATGCGGGAGAAGGTGTGTAGTTTTTTTCATCGTGGTTTCCACCTTTTTGAATACGGAACAGTATGGAGAGGTTTTCACGTTCATCCTCCTTGGTCGGAAGATGACCGTGTGCTTGGGAGCAAAGGGCACCAACACGATTCTGGGGGGAAAGCTCTCGCAGGTCTGCGCTGAGGATGCTTACACTGTATGTAGTCGTATACGATTGGGGATACCAGATCGACTAACCCACACTGAATAGCATCTTACCACCCCGGTGTTCGGCCAAGGTGTTGTATACGATGTGCCGAACCACATCCTCATGGAACAGAAGCGTTTCGTCAAGTTTGGGCTAAACACCGACAACTTCCGCGCTTATGTAGGCATGATCGAGGACGAGCTTGACCACTTCCTGAACAGCGAGCCCGAGTTTGCGGCCTATCGCAAGGGCGGGAAGGAAGACTGGGGCCACTTTGACGCCTTCGAGCAGATGTCCGAGCTTACCATTCTCACTGCCTCCCGCACACTCCAGGGCAAGGAAGTCAGGAGTCAGATGGACAAGACCTTCGCTCAGCTGTATATGGACCTCGATGGTGGCTTCACCCCGCTCAACTTCATGTTCCCGAACCTCCCTTTGCCCAGCTACCGCAGGCGTGACAAGGCGCAGAAGGCTATGAGCGACTTTTACGTCAACATCCTGCAACAACGCCGTGCGAGCAAGTCTGATGAGGTGGGAATATGTGATCCTGACTCATTCCTTGCTAACCTCTTGATTAGGTTGAATATGACATGCTTGCTTCCCTCATGGATCAGTCTTACAAGGATGGCCGTGTCCTTTCCGACCGTGAGATCGCTCACATCATGATCGCTCTCCTCATGGCTGGCCAACACACGAGCTCTGCTACCATGGCATGGTGCCTCCTCAACCTCGCAGTCCGCCCTGATGTCCAGCAGGCGATGTACGACGAGCAAGTGAAGCACTTCGGCGCACCTAACGGTACCCTCCGCTCGCCCACCTTCGAGGAACTCAAGGATCTCCCCGTGCTTGACTCCGTCATCCGCGAGACGCTGCGCGTTCACCCACCTCTGCACAGCCTGATGCGCAAGGTCATTTCGGACATGCCTCTCCCGGCCACACTCGGCAACGCCTCTGAAGACCAGCCCTACATCGTCCCCAAGGGCAACTTCCTCCTCGCCGCGCCGTGCATCACCCAGATCGACCCCGCCATCTGGACCAACTCGTTCGAGTGGGACCCATCTCGCTGGGTAGACCCCAACTCTGACGCAGCCCGCATGTACGCAGAGTACACCGAAACGGGGGAGAAGGTCGACTACGGCTTCGGTCTCGTCAGCAAGGGCACCGAGTCTCCTTACCAGCCCTTCGGTTCTGGCCGTCATCGTTGTATCGGCGAGCAATTCGCGTACGTGCAGCTTGGCACACTCCTTGCGCTCATCGTACGCAAGCTCGAGATGAAGGCTGACAAAGTGCCCCCGCATAACTACACCACGATGATCACCACGCCCTCCAAGCCGCGGGACATCACCTTCCGTCGGCGTCAGGTATGAGCTTTCCCTCTCATCTCATCTCGTCTTCCCTAGTCACCCGACCTGTCGGGTCCCCGCCTGTACCTTAGACTTCTTTCCTCTGGGCAAAGAGAAATCTCCTGCGATTACATTAATTCACCATGAATCTCTCCTCCGTTTTTCATCCCCTTCTTTTGACTGTTCCTGTCAAGGACTTTGCCTTGCGGACGTTTTTGTGCATAGAGTCCATAAATGTTGGCAGAATGAGTGAAGGGGGTTGAATGACAGTATGCATACGGGTGGCGATTGTGTGTTTGTAGAAATGATGCATGATTTGTTCACATCTCGAATCTCGAAACTCAACAGCTCGAAACAGTCCAAGGATGGATTTCCACAACATGCCATTAAAGTCATATATGGAACAGAGCGTAAGGTACCCGCGCTCAGTCGAAGAGACCGAAGCCCATATCGTCATCAGACTCCTCAGCCTCGGCAGCAGGCGCAGCTTCCTCCTCGGCGGCAGCGGCCGGGGCAGCCACCTCTTCGGCAGCGGCCACCGGGGCGGCAACTGCGAACGCCTCTGGGTTCTCCAGGTATTCCTTGACCTGAATGAATGAATGAGTATCAATGTTCGTGTTGTCAATGGCAAAATATCGTCAGAGATAGAACAATTAAATCCCGCATGTCCGCAGACGTTAGGAATTTTCAGTGTATAGAGAAACATCGCGCGAAATAAAATAGGGTTAGATGGACGCCTCACCTTAGCGGAGCCCTCGAACGTGTAGTCCGTAGCCAGGGAGACGGCAAGGAGGTTCTTGTACGAGCTGACCACGGAGTGCATGATTGAGACTATGGTTGGGTAGTGGAGGGCGAGCGAGAGGGAGGCGATCGTCTTGATCCCAGAGAGGAACTTGTCGATCAGGTCCTTCTCGTCAATGTCGAGAACGTCGGGGTGGAAGCACGTGCCCTGATCGTAGATCTGTAGGACGGTCATACCGTATGTGAACGGAGAGATGTTCAACATGTTGAGCAGGGTAGCCTCGGATGAACCGACACGCGTTCCGGCGACGACGACCTTGATATCGGCGACGATTTCGATGGTACCACGAGCGATCTTCGTAGGGATCTGCAGGGCCTGGAAGAAAGAGGTCTTGCCAGGCTCCATACCGGTGTTGCCAGCAGGAACGATGACATCGACCGGGGCAAGAGCACCAGCACGGGCAGGGGCGCGGACACGGTTGGCGGTGATAGCCTGGCGGACGTCCTTAAGGTCGCCGGAGGTGAAGACGAAGCCAACGTTGCCCCTGACGTGGGGGAGGAGACGCTCGTAGTGGGGCATCTCCGACAGAATGGAACGCAGAGCACGGCGAACCATAGTGTTCTTGCCCATCAGCACAACACCGAGGCCACGAAGGGCAACACGGATCTGATGCATCTGGTTCGAGCCGACGTTGTCGACATTGACAACGAAGATGGAGGCTATAACATGCATGAGCACCTGAGGCTGTTGTATCGGAGAAGCTCACGCACGGTAAGTCTCCAAAAGCTCACGGAGCTTGGCGAAGTACTTCTCCTTCTCAGCGCGAGTAGCTCCCATTTTGGTGGATTAGATGTAGATGCCTAGACGAGGGTCAGACGAGCGCTTGCAACTCATAGATGCGTACTCACGAAGTGGGTGAAATGAGAAAACGAGTGCCTCCCGATTGACCTCTGTCATGCATCTCATGAGTGCAAGTTCCAATATATTAACAGCGTTGTTATACCTTGATGGGCTCAACGGATATTTCAAGGCTGGTTGTTGTTTGCAGGGCAACGCGGACGGCTGGAATGGGGAAAATAAGGTGGCGCTTAAAACTGTACAGCACCGAAAGGCACCGCCACTAGATTTTGCACGTGAAAATTACACCGCCACTTACCACGTGGCTCGTTCAGGGTCTTCGCATTCTTAGGGCGAACAGTTGAACCGGCCTCAGGCTCTCTCCTGCTAGCCAACCCTACCTGTATGCGCCAATTCCGTCAGCACAGACTCAGTGCATGACATGGCATGTTGCGCAAGCAAGTGATGGGCAGACGTCCCATCAAGCACTTGGCGCATGACACTCTCCTTCGATGTATATCTGCTTGGGTGGACGTCTTCAGACCGATTGGACGGTGTCTTCACTCATCGGCAACAGCTCGGGCGGGACACACACGAGTACGCGGCGTATCCAACGTGGGACCATCTACAGACTGCGGATCAACTCGACTCCGTATTGCGTGCGAAGCGTATCCGTGGCGAAAGGCCCCGGAGATTGTAAAGGTCCAGAGGAGAGCTGAGAGGTGCGAGAAAGAAGTCGAGAACGCTGCCTCAACTCCTGGGTATCCTGAGGACATCCGGCCTCGCGTTGTCCCTCCTCGACCACCAGATCCGGCTTTACTACGCTCTTATTATAACGCCGCTCCCGATGCTCAACAAATCCTTATCAGCGCACACTCCCCGTCACCGACCGCCCATCCCCCACTCCGACCGAGCAACAATACGAGCCGTCCTAAAGCGCTCCCTCTTCGTTCTCATAATGTCGCCAACACCTCAGATATGGATTTGGAACCCCTCATATCGGTTGGAGCTACCCAATTACGATGTTTGTTCTGTCGAGAACCTTCTCTGCTGCAATCTCGAGAACAGATGTCGCCTGACATCCTGATGCGGTGGTACTTCTCCGCGAAGCGACTCGATGAAGATATAATTCTTGCACGCGAAGGAGTCCTGAGCTCGCTCATTACTTTGTTCGGGAGTCTATCTCTTGTACATTCGCCCATTCCTGGCAGCAAATGTCAACCCAATGGAAGATATCGGGGCCATGTCCACGACCTCCACCAACTCACCTCTTGGTTTCAATGTCAATCGAACATCAAAAATACATATTGGACATATGTACGCAGACTTGGGAAAGAAAAACACCGTCTGGGAGTTCCGTTGGATGAACGGGATACGTATTGGCTCTTCATGGCATTCTTGGGGAAAGCACATAAGAGCAAAACTGGTGAGCGCTAGCCCGATGCTGCATATGGGAAACATATTTTTTATGTATCTGCAGTACTTCGTCGCAAAGTGGCCATCCGTTCTGCCAGCAATTGTTTTCCAACCTTGCAGCACTTCCGCATTCGACATGTTTACGGCCCCTACATTTTCGGACTTCTATCCTCACCGTTAACAGAAGACATCCTGCAAGAAGCCGTCCGGGCTGTCATATCCTACAATGCAGATCCCAAACCTGCTGGATGGAAGAGCTTGCCATCCTTGTACTGGGAAGTCTGGCTGGCATGTGCTCAATGTAAAATGACACATCTCGTCGGACCTCTGATCAACTCCATCATTCCGGCAATGCACCTTCATTGGAAAACGAACCCCCTTCCTCAAAGAACTGATGAAATCGGGACGGCCCCGTTTTTACCCATCCCGACGGCCACCGACCTGTATCGTTTCCTCTTGAACGCAATTCGCCCAGTCGCAGGTTTAGCCTTGACCAACTCGGAAGGAGGATGCTACGATTTTGTTCTGCACCATTGGGCGAGGGGCGAGATAATAAGTGCATTATCAGGGGCGGTCGAATCTCCTGACAGTCTCATGCTTCTTTTCCTGCCCTCCTGGTCTTCCCAGACCAAACCATATCACCTCGAAGACGACCGATTCTCTCGTCAAGAAACTCGGAAGGCTCGCAAGACTGTCACTTCATGGGCAGTTGTATGCGGTCTTGTCAGTCTCCACAGGGCAAGCCTGGATGGCAGACCTGACAGTTTTCTTTCCACGCGAGATCGATTGTGGAGCATGTGGATGGATTCCTTCGCGACGTGTTCTTCTCCCCCAATCGTTCATTTCTCAATCTTGCTCGCCTTCCTGCGCATGGCAGATCTTCCCGAAGATGGACCATTCGTTTCGCGAGCTCTCCAATGGCTGTTCACGGACCAGCAAGTTCTGCGACTCCCAGAAGATCCTGAAGAGTCCTCTGCTTGGCAGGCGGAGCTGGCTGTTTATGCATTGAAAGCTGCACTTGCCACAGATTGGCCTGCTCGCTTTCCCATTGAAGTGGTCATGGGGGAGGTTCAGAAATTATTCCGAGACAACGCCGTACCAGCAACCCTAATTGTAAATCAGTTGGCCTACACACTTTCTGGGAATGTTCCAGGTATGCGTGTGGTGCTTCAGTATGCTAGGGCAATGAAGGTCGAGCTCTGGCCAGCGACGATCATGCACATTTTTTACAGCGCCCTCGGTGAAGGACATCTTGACATCGCACACCGAGCACTGGACCCAGGATGGCTCGAGGACGGCCATCTTCGTGCAGTACATATACGAAACTGGGTTAATGGCGTTACAAGAGACCCGAACGCTCGTCTTGAACATCGCCATAGAGCCATTTTTGGCTGGGTTCTGGTGCACGCCCTTCGAGACGACATCGTGTTCTCCCCTCGGACATGGCGAACGGCTCTGAACATACTCCTTCGATCTGGTCAGCAGTACATTCCGGTAACTTTGGCTGAGCGCTTAGAGAAGCGTCTCAACGACGGGCGGCTTGAGGGAACATTACGTTCTTACCTGCCAAGTCGACTTTTTCGTGACATTCCTATCAGCCGTTCCAAAGATCTTATTAGACGTACGAAGCGACTTGTCAAGATGCTTCCCGTCCAATGGCCTATCCCACATGATGGACCACCTGCCGGCCCCCTCGTATTCGCAACGGAGCTTCGGAAGCCGATACACGAGATAAGGTGGCAACCGAATCGACCGCTGGTTCGAAATCTGGTCCTCACCAGAGCCTTGCGCGCAGCGACCCGAAGGCGCTCCGATTTCAATACCGCTAAATGGGCTCGGTATATGCTGCACAAGGTATCATGGCGCCGAGCCGCCGTGGACCCTGTCACAGCCAATCTGCTTCTTCAGTCTGTCCTGCAATGGAATCGAGCATATCCTCCTCAAACAATCAAGGTGTTATTCGATCGCTTATTTGTCTTGGGTTATCCTGGTTCCGAGGCTCATCCTACGGGCTTATTCGATACCGTCAAAGCGAGCAGCCCCTCGACGCCAGCGATGCGAGAGCTAATTCATCCCGAGAGGCATGCCAGGCCCTTCTACAAGATATTCATCCGAGCATTCCGTAAAGCGGGCGATTGGTTTGCGGCAAGACAAATTGTTGGACTACTGCGTATTGCAAAGGATGCAGCAAACTCTCGTGAGGAAGCGCAGGTCCAGACGGAGCGACCACGGGCAACATATCTAGATCGTAAGCGAAGGTTCTTGGCCGAAGCAGGAGCCAAACGTCCGGGGGAGAGGTCGTGCATATGTAACTAACCAAGGAGAGGCCGAAATGCCCGTATCATCGTAAGTTTACCTGTGCACATTGGAGAGTGTTCTGCAACATGGGTCTATATCATAATCATGCAACGAGTATACCATTCGTCATTTGATAACGCAATGCATAAAATAGCATCATTGAAGCAAACTAAATGTGCCTCTATTTTGTGGATTGCGTAGAGCCGCCGCCAATGTGAGCGAACCTGCATCTGCAGGAAGAAAGGTTTTGCATCAATCGGCCATGGGATAATGGAATGCGTCATGCCAGTTCGCTATCTATTACATGTTGATGGACAACTTCAGATGGAGTAGAAGTTCCTCGGGGTTGAGTAAGAGTAGAAGACCATAAGAGAAATACAGGCTGTGCATCCGCTCATGACATATTCACAGACTGGAAGTGGTTGTCATCGTGAGTGTTATATACGTGCCCATCATCTGACAGCCTCTCCAGAGCCAGACTGGGGTAACTTGTCAACTATCACGCAGAAATAAGACAGATGAAATCCTAACCTGATCTGCTCAGCGGTAACACCGGGTCTGGCCACAGCTCTTGAAATGGCAGTGAGATGACATCCATCTGAGTTCGCGCTACTCTCAATGAATTGCATGATTGCACGATCCAGCGCTGGCATATGGGCATAATTGTTGGCCGTTCCTCCCCCGCCACCGCCCATCGTATAGTCAGACGACACATTCGTGGGGCCATTGACTTGAGCATGGACATTTGCAGCACCAGAGGTCAGCGCACCTCCGCCGCCCTTTACCTGACCTCTTGTGAGCTCAAGATGTACAGAGAGCGCCTCGCAGTAGTGATAGTAGACTTCCTGCATGTCGGTTATTGGGCGAACACGCTGAGCGGCGACGTGCTTCTTTTTGTTGAATTCTTTGATAGTTCCCTGCACACGGACCCACACGTCATTTCTTTGGGGCTGGTTTAGTGTTGATGTATGCGGGAAGAGCGTTCTCAGACTCACTCAATCTCGCTCCCTGCTGCGGTATCGGGGTCTTGGGAGTCTGACCAAAGCCTCGCATCAATCTGTCCTGTTCCATCCTCGAGGCTGAATGCAGTGTTCGTCGCCTGTTGAGCCTTTCCACGGACTTGTGCGACAAACGTAACCTGTTAGGGGACATGAGTCATTGCAACCATGCCACAACCAAGGAGCGTACGGAAGGTGCATCGGACCCGTCGATTTGCCATTCGGCATCACCAAAAGCGTGATCAGACTGCACAACTTGTCTGACAGTGACTGGTCGAAGGGAATGCGTTCCCGCTTTCTGTAGACCGCCGGCCCTTTCAACGGCAATGCAATGGAGAGACACCACCACATACCCGAGTGTTCCCAGAAGGACTCTCTTGACTCCCATACGGAGAGCGCGAGAAACCTCCACCTCCTCCACCTCCAGCATTGCCATAGTAAGGACTAGACATGAAGGGCTGGTGTGTCAAGAAATTGAGGAATGTGTGAAGAGGAGAATGAATGCCCTCTCAGGACGCGTCGACGCGTCTGGGTATTAGGCCGTGATTAACGCCGAAATGCCTCCGTAGGGAGCCTCAACAACTGATACTCGAACACTTTGAAGCCATATCCCAACACAAACACTTTCGGTCACAGCTATGAGCGGTTGGGTTGTCATCATCATATTGGCTATCGCCGTTGCAGCTGGCTTTGTAGGCTGGTGGTTGACGCCGAAGGGAGATCAACAGACGTACGTTGTAAGACATACGACGTGTCCATATATCTGATTGCTGAACAGGCTTATTCGGACGAGCATCCTTCTCACCATTGCTTGCTGCTACTTGATGTGGGCCATCACTTACATGGCCCAGATGAACCCATTAATAGGTGAGATTGCTTTGCGTCTGTATACGACAAGACATCCTGACGTCTGCAGCTCCGAGACGATCGGATCTTCGGTTCGACACGGCGGAGAGACGAAGTTTATAGGAGGTAATAGGCGCGATGTGCGTTACTCCTCCTAGTCATATCTGCAATCTTGTTGACGCTTTTGCAGAGGATGAGGACAGCTCTTTCATTGTACACATGTATCATATCATTACGACGTTAATTCATACAAGCGTGCCATGCGAATCTATTTGCACGAGTGTGCTTGTATGTCTAAAAAGTATGTTTGGTATCGTGTGCTTCCGTACTGTCAGCTTTCGTTCCCCAACCTATACCCTCACCCCATTCGGAGGACTGTTGTGCAACGACGGAATTGTCTGCCCAGCCCCAGTCGCCCTGGTTTCCCGTAACGTCACTGCCGCCATCCTGCTCAGACCAGTCCCCGTGCTCATTCTGGTATTCTTCGTCCTCATCCGCCTCCACCGCAAAGGACAAAAGACTTTCCCGATCTTCTTCTGGATCGATCTGCGGTGGCTTCGGAACAAAAGTCTTCCAGATCACCGTCATCGCCAATCGATATTTCTTGCTTTCTTCCGTCTGATGAATTTCCCACTCGTCGCCCTCGTTCCGAATCGCCTTCAACAAGCAGCCCAGAGCACCGCCGCACAGGTAAGGAAGTTTCCAATCGTTCCAGAGGTCGCGCAAGGTTAGCGCTCCGCAGTCTACCTCGTGGAAAACTTCTTCTACACGGTCCATGATGTCTTTGGTTGGCTTGAAAATACCACCTGATGGGTGCGGTTCGTGCAGGTGGCAAGCAACAAGTGTATGCGGCGATGAGCCTATCAGCTCAGCTTTCTGTTTCTGCGATGATAGTCCTGTCCGTTCCATCTCACGCCGAAAGACCGCTACCTGGGACGCAAATGGAGATATTCGGCCGTACGGATCTTCTGTGATGGACCTTCCGACGCCGTCCACTTCAACTTCGTAGCCAAAGTCAAGAGCAACGCCTTCTGTTCCAAGTCAGATCATTATAGACGTCCCACGAGTCATACCGCACCACACCATGCGCGAAATTCATCTTCTGTCCACTCGAATTTGTGATCATCATGCCGGAAGAAACGGCTTGTCCGACCTGTGGGATCTGGATATGCGTTCGGATCGGTATATCCTGGAGCAGTGAAGAGCGGACTGAAGTTGTAGTTTGGTGTCGTGACGAGAAGGGCCTTGGGTCTGTATCGACCAAGAATCATGGGAGCGAATTTTAAAAGAATGTCGGGTGGAAGATGTTCGATCCTGATAGAAGACATGTATGTTTAGCGCGAATAGAGGTATGCTCATGATGAGGCGACATACACCTCCATTGCGACCATGTACTCGTACGCGTTTAGTTCCGGATTATAGACATCTAGACTGCCTAGCCAAAGCTTGACTTCCAAAGAACTCCATCGTATTGGCTCTCTGATCCACGAGTTTTGCGTTGGCTGAGCTGCAGGACTCGATGGGACAGTTACACGTTCGGCTTTGGACAGTTCAGTTGGCACGATATCGAGTCCTGCAATGCGGTCCAGATAGAGATCGCGATATGATTCACTCTCGATGTTTGTGAGTGTGGGGTCAAAGACCGCCTGGGCAGGTTGCGATAGAGTCGCCAGTAAAGACCCCTCTCCGCACCCAATATCAAGCACCTATTCCAAGACATTTGAGATGAGCCGGGGTAAAGCACAACTGGCTGTATTGACGCTACCGTTCGCGCTTGCTCCTTACGCAGCACGCTAAGGACCCATGCATGGCGCTGCTCCCAGAGAAAGGGTCGAAATTGAACGTCGAGCACGGTCGCTCCATCCGTGGATGCAGGTTGAAGTTGGGCCAGGTTTGGCAAAAGTTTCCGGGTTATAATAAGGTTAGGTGCGGAAGTAGGTGAATGGGAAGCAAAAGACAACCGTAAGAGAATCTGAACGGGCTGTCGGTGTCAGGCTATGAACGCGGGAAGGATTAGGATTACTTCGCTTTTCTTCTGTTTGGAGTGCAACTTAGGTCTGTTCGAACGCGTACGGGATCTAATGCCTTTCGGGCAAAGAAATAACGGATATGCGGTACTGGTGGCGCAGAATCTGCTGGGTCTACTGGAGCTACTGAACCATCTGGATCTGGAGCTACTGGGCCATCAAGCTGGTTGATCTGCAGGAAGTATTTGGCAGGAATTTTTTGGTTTATCTCCGGAGGAAAAGTGACTGTGCACCGAACATCACCTCGCGATAATCACATAAACGAATGACCGAACCCCGAGCTGTTCCAGCCACTTTATGCCTTTCGGATTCACATCGTGCCTCTGCCCAACAGTCACCTGGAGCAACAATGCATTGAGTTCTCCGTTTGGCTCCCGCTTGACGAAGAACGCATCGAAAGTCGCTTGGTTAGGCTTTTGCGGAAGATAGAACATGTTTTCACGAAGCTTGAAAGCGCTATCCTTATCATCGTAACGTTCAGTTACAACGCGGGTACTGTACGTAACTCAACGCCATGCTTGATTTTTGAGTGCGGTTCGACTTCCTCCGATGTGTAGGCATGTCGGCTCTCCTCCGTTCGACGAATGTGCTCGATATCGTCGCACCTCTGACTTAGCGGTCACAGGTGTAAGCTTCTGCATCTTGTAGACCTTAGGATAGGTGAAGGCCCTCAGTACATACGCCTCCAGCACGGCTCCACCCAATGCTCTGAAATTGGGGCGGAGGCAATAGTCATCGAAAAGCTCTTGGCGGTGGTGGGAACGAGAGTGAAACGAGGGTATTGCAAGTAGATTTCCGATGAGAGGCGACGCAGGAACGAAGCGAAGTATCTCCCTCGTTTTCCGTAGGCGAACCATGAGAATTCCAAGAGAAATTCCGACGTCGTTCCCCCGTAGAATTACCTCGACTTTCTTTGTCCGGTTGAGTTGTTTAATTTCGTTTTTCACTCGACGCAAAACTAGGTCGAATCGGGAATAGGAATGAATGGAATAGACTATACGTGGAGTTGGGCTAAGAGAAGCGTATGCGGAACATTGCAGGTCTCCATCGTTCGTCCGAGCATTGTTATCCTGAACAGCTCGCCTGATCCCTATTCAGACATGCACTCGACTTCAGAGCTTCAAAACATACCCCATAATGATCTCCTGCCAAGACCACGGCTCCATGATGTATTGTGAGACAAGCCTAGCCTTCTTTGACCGCAAGTGGTCCGGACGGGAGGACGCTGCTTGAACAATATAGAGGCGTGTTCTTTGGAGAGCCCTGTGAGGCTCAACCAAGGTGCGGGCTGAATCGACCAATATCCACGCTTTGTTTTCTCTCATGACTTCGTCATCTAGCACTGCGGATGCAGGGCTCTGCAGATCAATCGTAGACACGCCATCCTTCGCGAAAATCCATGCAAAATTGGAATCGGTTTGAAGTATGATCATACGGTTGGCGTGAAGACGAAGCAGCGGAAGACAGAATAATGTTTGGGCTCTTTCCTGCAGCAAGACGTCTGTTAGATGCTTGATCATTGGATACAGATCGCTTACCGATCCCTGGTTGACCAGTGAGGATACATCCAGTGCCACGTTCCGCACTATCGTCTTCAAATGACCTTGCAAGGCGGATAAAGTCTCGTTCGTGTTGAACAGGCCGAAACTGAATGACAGGATCATCGCTGATGCGGGGAGTCGCAATAGGGATTTCTGATTGCCGATTGTTCATTAGATCGCATCCAACATTTCGCTTGTGATGAGCGCATTCTCACAGCCGGATAGTTTGGCGATGAACGGGTGGTGTTCGATTACATATTCCCGTGCTGGAAGACCTTCACATTCTACTTCTTTACTGGCGCGTTTAATTGATAGGGATTTGATGGATTCGGGCAGATGTTTCTTATTCCAGTAAATATCCCAGAATTCATATGGAAGAGTGCCTGGGTGGAGGTTACCTCAAACTTTCCCCACAGTACTATTGAGATTCGACCCCGAGTGAGCCACTAGTACAAGTGGCGCTCATGCAACGGAACCATATGTGCGTTCTACCCATGCTGATGATACAGTAGAGCACCCCTGACACTGGACTGCACTTATCATCAACCGAACAAGAATTTTTACCTAACAAACTCTTCAATTAACGAACCGAAATCAAATCCACGAGAAAAATGGCCGCGCCTATGGAGAAGATGATTGATCCTGTCGAGGTGGACGGTTGGATAGAGCAGCTCGGTCAGTGTAAACAACTTGCAGAATCGGACGTCAAGAGGCTTTGTGATAAGGTGAGCCTTCCGGTCACACGACTGTTTTGCGGGACGGGTTGTCCATGTTATCTGCACCTAATCGCTGTGTTGTATCTATGGGACTTCTCTCGTATTGTTTCGTCCTGGAACATTCGCTGACAAGCGCTGACATAGACGCGGGAAATTCTTATGGAAGAATCAAACGTCCAGCCCGTACGATGCCCTGTAACAGTCTGCGGAGATATTCATGGTCAATTTGTACGTCTGTTGGCGCTGCAAGCAGATTCGTGTCTCCTGATACATATCAGCATGATCTCTCTGAGCTCTTCCGGATCGGTGGAAACTCCCCCGACACCAACTACCTCTTCATGGGAGACTACGTGGACCGAGGGTACTATTCTGTGGAGACTGTCACTCTTCTCGTTGCGCTAAAACTTCGCTACCGCGACCGTGTTACCATCCTTCGAGGTAATCACGAGAGTCGACAGATCACGCAGGTGTACGGCTTCTATGACGAGTGCTTACGGAAATATGGAAACGCGAACGTATGGCGATTCTTCACCGACCTCTTCGACTACCTACCCCTCACTGCCCTTATCGACAACCAGGTAAGTAACGAGTTACTCGGGCGTGATTTGAGTTCATCTTTACTTACTGGAATGTCAGATCTTCTGTCTGCACGGCGGCTTATCCCCTTCCATTGACACGCTCGACCACATCCGCTCGATTGACCGTGTTCAGGAAGTGCCTCATGAGGGGCCGATGTGCGACCTGCTATGGTCTGACCCGGACGATCGGTGTGGATGGGGGATATCTCCACGAGGTGCAGGATACACATTCGGGCAGGACATTTCAGAGGCGTTCAATCATAACAATGGCTTGACCCTGATTGCACGCGCCCATCAGCTGGTCATGGAGGGTGAGCAACTGCATTCTGCCTGCTTGCAATTAACTCATGCTGTATGGAGGTTATAACTGGAGCCAGGATCGCAACGTAGTCACAATTTTCAGCGCACCGAACTACTGCTATCGCTGTGGCAATCAGGCCGCGATCATGGAGATTGACGAGAAGCTCTCGTATAGTTTGTGGGTTCATGAACACGACTGCCTCGACATAACTTCTGACATGTCCCAAGCCTTCAATTCGACCCTGCACCACGTGCTGGTGAACCGCTGGTGTCTCGTAGGGTACCGGACTATTTCCTGGTATGCACTATTTTCCCGTCCATGGCGCCGTTTGGCTTACTGCGATCTGTAGTAAAGGACCACATTCTCCACATTCTCCTCCACATACCCGTAGTTGTTGTGTACACATTCGTGCATTTCGTTACATCCCTGTGTCCCTATCTTCTCCGTTGTCGTTCCATACAGTCCATCTATTAGTCCGCGGACGCGCAAGGAATACAAACCAAACATTAAAGTCGGCATCGGCACGTTCAGGAAGAGCTAATATAACCGTCATGTTGTGTGATGGTCATAGGGATTTACGTCTATCGAGGGGTAAAATGCCCGAATCCCTGACGAGATCACGGTTTGATTCACTCTAGATGTCTGGAAGTCAAAGACCGCATGGGGAGTCGTGATAGAGTTGCGAGTTGTAATAGCGGTCAAAAAAAAAGGCCAGAATTAGAAGTTATTGTTTTGTAGGTCGCGATCGGTTTTCCGAAGGTTGACAAACTAGGGGGGTGCTGTGCAAGGATGCAACGCGCGTGAAATTGCGAACATCGCCCTATTGGGTTGGGCGCTTGAAGACTGTCCAACACCGTATACACGTTGTCATTCACCCTCTTACCGCCGTATCATCATGGCTTCTCTGTATGCTGAGATCAGTGCGTTCGAGACTGGGACCTTGAAGGTGTCGGACATCCATACACTCTAGTAAGAGTTAGCTTGCGTGGGTTGATGCTTTGCTCAATTTCGATGTGGTTAGTTACGAGATTAGCGGGAACGAGAATGGGAAGCCGGGTGGGTGTTTGAATATCATATATGGTTAATGCACTCTTATTGTCTATCAGTTGTTTTCTTGCACGGTAAACGAATATATCCTTCGAGTTATTCCACAGGCTCAAGAGGGTCAAGGTGGTCCTGGAGGAGGGACCAGCGAGCTTGACCGACGATACTTTGACCCAGAAGTGTACAAGATCATTCTCTTTGATCAGCGTGGGTCCGGGAAGTCCACTCCGTATGTGTGCATATAATGGGGCACTGTTCAAGTTCTCATTCTGGCTACAGTTCAGCTTGCCTTGAGCACAATACCACCTGGGATCTGGTCGAGGATGTTGAGCGTATTCGCAAGCATCTGGGCATTCATAAATGGGTTGTCTTTGGAGGATCTTGGGTGCGCTTGTTTTCTGTCACATGGCCGAATCGGAGAAGTCATTCGACCTTAGGGTTCCACACTCGCTTTAGCCTATGCCGAGGTCAGGAGACTTTGTTTGCGATGATGTTCTTCGTTAACCTCATGGCCAGACATACCCAGAGCCCGTGAAAGCTCTTGTGCTCAGAGGTATATTTACTCTGCGGAAGAGGTTTGCTTATGCACTCCGGGGCTGAACATTGCTGAACTGAAATGAAATGCACAGTGAACTGGTGTTCTTCTATCAGAATGGCACTTCTCATATTTTCCCCGAAGCCTGGGACGAGTTCATTGCGCCCATTCCCGAAGCAGAGCGCGACGATATGATGAAGGCGTATCACAGCCAACTGAACTCTGATGACGATGCGATACGTCTCCGGGCGGCTCGAGCCTGGTCGAAGTGGGAGTATGTCAGCCTTGCCATGTGGATCCACCGCTGAAGGCGTGACTGACAACCGTCCCATCAGGATGAGTACTTCCCGCATGAACCTGGACCTGGAAGCTGTAGAACGCGCAGCTCAGGATGATTGGGCCAAGTAAGTGTTCCCTCTCACCGCCCGGAACTCGCGGGCCTCATTATTCGAAGTGCATTTGCTCGCATTGAAAATCACTTCTTCTTCAATGAGGTCAGTCCCATTTTGGATGACCTCGAACCTTGCTGAACCTTCTTGCAGGGCTGGATGAGAGATGGGCAACTCCTTGAGAAACAGGCCATTGACAAGATGTAAGGAAATCAACGACGCGTACATGCTGTCGCTCACAAGCCTGAAGCCGCCACATTCCTACGGTGATTGTCCAGGGCAGATATGACGTGATCTGTAGGTGACTCAAAAGATGGATTGTTCCCTAACTGAGCGTTATGACTTCTAGGCCCAGCAACCACAGCATGGGCGCTCAAGAAAGCCTTCCCGGAGGCCGAATTCCACATCGTACCCAACGCCGGCCATTCATCCAAGGAAGATGGTATCGCGAAGCTCCTGGTAGAGGTGAGGATGTACATTTCCTGGTGCCAAGTGTCAAGGTTCTCATTATGAGATATCCAGGCAACAAACAAGTTCCGTCACCTGTAGATGTGAGGGTCTACTGATACCCGCATTGATAGAAGATTCGGAGCGAAGTTGAGTGCAGAACGAGACCATTTGTAGTAAATCGATACCTGAAATGAAAGAACAAATATGAAGTTGACATTGCCTGCTTACATCGATACTCCCCCAGGAAGGGTTGAGAAGGATTCTGCGAATCGCTGAAACTAAACTGGGGACTTGGCAGGCTTTACCGCTGAAGTTCGTACGGCTAGAAGGATCGCATTACACACCGTACATGCAGTGACATTCAAAATGGGTTATCAAGGAACGATACAGCTACACAGAGTGTGCAGCACAAGGATGACGATGAGGTATATAATTATGGATGAGAGAGAACAGGGTAAAGATCGTGGCAGTACAAGGACGACGATGAGGTATATAATCACGGATGAGAGAGAACAGGGTAAAGATCATGACAAGAGGGATATCACTCGGATACCTTCCACACCAGCACATTCAAAGGGAGCGACCAGATCTCGTAAAAGAAACAAACCAGCAAAAGTCGATACAAGTACACAAAGAATGATGGGAGGAAAAGTTGGTGTGGGATGGTGGGATGATATTGGGGCATCAGCCACGAAGACCGTACAGATTATTACCGGAAGGTTCCCCGTGGATGCGAATGCGGTACAAACAAGTGTAGTCGCCCCCGTAATTCGAGTTGAATGTGAACACTACCAGTCCAAAATCGATCATGTGACCAGACGGTGCAGGGTCCAAGGAGAACTTTTGAATAGGAGCACCCTGGTTGTCGTATTCGAATGAGCCTAGATGCATGAACCTGGCATTTGTAGACGGAGGTGGGGGGGTCTGATCAGAGGGATGCTTCTTCAAGTATTCTTCCAGCTTGGCAACGTTGCCACTTTCGACATGACCCCACACGTCAAACTGTTTAGGGGTAGTCTCGGGCTGATCAAGCATCGACAGCGGGGGAGCTTCGACGACAATTTCATCCACGTAGACGAAGCGATGCAGTCTGATGCCCATAGATCCTTTGTCGCCCTTGAATGCCCAGCAGTGACCAGGATCCAAGAATGGCATGATGACAGAGCTTGCGTCGGGTCCTAGCGGCTGGTGTTTGCTGAACAAACCTGATAAGCGAGGTTGATTAGTCGTTGGGGAGAACACATCATACTGAGGTGAGGTAAATTGGGGGGCAATGCCTGATCCAAATTCAAACAGTGCATGATCTGTGCGCAGAATCGTGTTGTAGCCGAGTTGATTGAGTCGAGCGTCGACAACGTGGACATTGATGTTTCCGCTTCCACTCGGCACGGTGGCGCTCTTGGCAGCCTTTTCAGCGCGTTTCGCTTCTGCCAATGCCTGTTCCGCAGTTTTTCCGACCATACGCAGCTCAGTTTGAGTCTGTTCAATGAAGGCATCTGCGTGCTTTACAAGGCTCTGAGTCTCATCGAACTTCTTTGAAAGTCGGTCTGAGCCTTGCCGAGTCTCAGCAAGCGCCGCGTCGATACGCTTGAAACGATCCTCCAGGCCGGCGCCTCCGGTGACTGCTTCGAGTTTTGAATGGAGACCAGGCAGATCGGAGCTGAGTCTGTCCAGAGCAGAACTAAAGCTAGTTTCGGACGTCTTGCGCTCCCGCATTTCGTCCTCCATTCGGTAGACTCTCTTCCAGAGCTGGTCGATGTCTCCAGTGAGGCGAGAGTCCTGTGCCGGTGCGGTCTCGCGAGCACTGAGGTCTGCCAACGCCCGACGGAGTTTCTCCTCCAGCTGCCCGATACGACCCACCAAGTCGGCAACTTCTGGCGGAGCGTCTGCGTAGATGGGCTGGTAAGAAATGCCGTCTAGTCCGGAGGAATATCCAGCCCAAGCGCTGAGCCCTCGAACAGACGCGTAAAGAACCAGGATGCTGATGCCCCAGAATATGAGGGGAGGCCATATCCAACTGCCCTTTGCAACAAGGTCCCTCCCATATGCGAAGCCTGGAGACAAAATCTTCGAAATGAGAGTGAGAGGCCAAATGAGAATGTAGTAGAATATGTTGACCAGGCCCTGCATGAGACCTTGCCATGGCGGCGGCTGCATCTCTTCCTCGCCATCTGCATGGCTTGCAGACTCGGGTGATGGTACTTCGTCCCTGACCTCTTTGTCTAGCATTGTGTCGGAAGTGGTTGGGTCACTTCGCTGGGCGTCGGGGCGAAGGGCAAACGGAGCGTAGGCTGGATGGCCGGGTCCGATATAGGACGGTGAAACGGTCCGTCCAGCAATAGTTGGAGGGTTCGGAGATTTGCTGCGCGGTACATTGCCGACAGGAGGAGCAAGGGATGCAGGCGAGGGTCGTAGTCGGTCAGCCGGAAGAACAAGAGTAGAAGATGGGCGAGCAGGCTTCTGAGGGAGAACCGCGGGTACAGTGCTTGGCTGTGGGGTAATCTGAGCAAGACCCGGTGCAGTGGGCTTGCTCTTCTGGCTCGTTGGCTTCTCGATGATGACGGTTTCCTCAGTTTCAATGCTTTCGTCTTCATCGACCCCTGTGCTCTTTCGGCCCTTTTTGGTGGTGCTCTTGCGTCGATTCTTGTGACTCATGTCTGCATTTGCGGGGAAAGGAAGGCGGACCGGGGCCTTAGCTTTACCTCGCTTTCGCCGAGGTGTATCCATATCTTCGTCAGACGCATAAGGCTCCTCCGAGGACGGTCGATAGGTCTTTTTGTCAGCGGTTGTCTTTAATCGCTTGCGTGATTTCTGTAGCTAGTTAAACAAACGCGTGATGTTCCTTGGCAAATCTACACACCTTGGCCTGTCCGTCCTCCGCGATATCATCGGGTTCGGCATCATCGTCTATGATGTCATCATCCTCCTCTTCCGGATCTTGCTCTGCCTTATAAGCCTTGTCTTCATCTCTTTTCCTCTTTGTTTTCGACTTCGACTGTGCCTTTGCTGGTTCATCAAGATCCATGAGGCTGCCTTCCTCTACGTATCGATCCTCCTCTGCGTAGTCATAACTCTCCTCCCTTTCGTCCTCGTCCTCGTCCATTGCTTCATGGTCACGTTCTTTCACAACATATTTGACTTTGGCTGCACCGCTCATGATCATATCCATTACCGGGCTGCGAGCACGTGGTGCTGTCGCACGTACGTCTCCTACGGAACCTTGTTCCATATCGCTATCTTCATCTTGAGCTTGCACCGTTTGAGGTGGTTCCGCAAGTCTAGAGGTGAGCCTGCCAGTAGGGCGTCTAGCTCCCGTAGCATACATTGCGCTAAGCGCCTTCACTCCGCCAGCACTGTGAATGGCAGTCGCAGCTCCCACCGTGGTGTCACGGAGAGAAGCTGGGTTAGGTGCCGTCGCAGAAGACATAAGACCAGTCGCGTTCAAGCTTTGGCGTTGCTTTAGCTGTTGTTGCTGCCTCTGAGCGATCTCGGCTTGCTTCTGATCCTTAAGAGCGGCGTATCGCTGTCGGGCAGCTTCCACAGGGGTGGGAGACGAGGGAGATATGAGCGTAGGTGCCGGGGGTGGTGAAGTGGTACCACGTCTGGGCTGTTGTGGTGAGACAGGTCTCACTGCAGTCGCGTTGTCACCAGAGGAGGCTGCGTTGGGAAGGGCACTGAAGTGAACGACAGCGATCGGTCAGAGGAATATCTGACGCAGCTGGGGAACAACGCACCCGTACGCGACAGATAGAGGAATCGTGCTCGTGCTTGCGCGTGGTCGCCGCCTACCTCCTGCTGACCCTGTGGAGGAGAAAGACTCGTCCGGATCGTATGCTTCTGACTCCTGGCTTCTTTGACTAGTTGTACTAATCGGCTTCTGGGAGGACATAAGATGGTAAAAATCGTTTCTCCTTTCAAAGAAAAAGTTGTCCGAGAGTCTGACGATATCGGTCGATACCTATATGCGTGGAGGTCGATTCGCTTCTGTGGTTGTTGTCAGCGGGAGAACACTTGACATGACGTGGACATTGTGGGCGCCTACCGTTCGGGTGTTGTCACCGTTGAGATTCCAAGATTCTCTATTTTCTCTTTCAGATCGTTTGTTCACGTCGTTTCCAGATGGTGGAGGATTGAGGTAACGTTGAGGACGCGTTGAGGTCGTGAGGCGTGGTCGTTATTCAGCGCGACAGAATGCTTCCGTGTGGCAGTTGGTGAACACCTCTTCCGCCATCCCTTCCTCCTTTCACATATACCTTCTGTCACCTTACTGTATTTTGATTGTTGTCCCCTGCGAGCAATCGCTCATTCCATAATAGCTATAGGTTGACTTACCAAGTCAATCATCTGTCCAATTCTTTGTAAAGTACAACGACAACGACAGGAAATTTCCATACCTTGTGACTTCCTACATTCTCCCTTCTGATACACGTGGGGCCATACACTATTCAGGCACCAGCATGGCAAAGGACCTTACAGCGTGCGGCATATGAGCCCTGTGAGATATTGTAGGCTGATTGATATGTCGGCAATGTCATTGCTCTTCAGCATTAATGTGAAGAGTGATAATATTACTGGAGCATGGACCGAGGTCTCGGATCCTTTTGAGTGAGACGCAAGTCGCCTTCTTGCTTTTCACACCGCCGTTCCCTCTAGCTTCTATCATCTGGTGCTATTCTACGATAAATGAACACCGCGCTGCTCCTTCCTTGACTATCTTTTGACTATGCGAATCTCTGTGCTGTCTATTATGTACTCGTAACTGCTGGCTCTCCTTAAACAACCCGATCGCTGTTATCCGGGCACGGAATTCTGCCGGAAAGCAATACAACATCAACACAATGTGAGTCCTTGTGTCGGGCGGCTTACTAGTCGCCAGCACGGGTCTTCCCCAACGACGATCTTCACCGCATATTGACTTGGAGCAGCAATAACACGCCATGCCTCGTAAACTGACCCCGGAGCAAGAGGCAATGAAGGTAGAGAGGTTTGAGCTCGGGGATTTTGAGCTAGAATGCCGTGCTCAGACAACAGACTGGTTTCTGATGTATCGGTGTATTGGTGACGCCAAGAATCCAGCGTAAGCCACGGATAACTGTAGCAACCTCAGCCGTCTGAATGTTCCTCAGAATCTTGAAGCCGACCTGCTTTGGAGGTACCATTCGGGGATCGGATGTACCTGTGGGTGAAGAGCACACCATCACCCCGGCGAGATATTACATCATTTTCGTGGGCATGTTCGGCGGTTCGGAAAGCTCGTCACCATCGAACACGAACGCGCCGTTCAACGGGGGAAACTTCCCGCCCATCTCCCTTGCTGATCAGGTCAATGCTCAGAAGAAGCTCTGCGACTTCTTGGGGATCAAGAAACTGTTCGCTGTCGCGGGCTTTAGCATGGGTGCTTGTCAAGCATTCCAATGGGGTGAGTACTTTCTGCGGCACACGAGACTATTTACTGACGAGAGAAAGGTGTACAATATCCCGACTATATGGACTTCATCATTCCCGTGTGCGGTTCCGCCCGATGCAGTCCCCACAACTATACGTTCCTCGAAGGTCCTAAAAATGCCCTCTTGGCGGATCAAAACTTCAAGGGTGGACATTACACCACCGACGCATTGCCTCGACTCGGAACAAAAGGCTTCGCAAGGGCGTATTCAGGTTGGGGCTATAGCAGTGCGTGGTATACTCAGGGAAAGTTCCTGGATCTCGGATTTAAGGACCTTGATGATTACCTGGTGCAGGCCTGGGATGGTTCCCTGGGCACAACGTGCGCTGCCCATATACTTTACGCATGTCCGCGTAAGCTAATGCGTTTCCAGGGATGCAAATGACCTGCTCTGCCTGACACGAACTTGGCAAACGGCCAACGTTGCCAATATTCCTCCCTACAACGGCGATTTTGAAGCTGCTATGAAGGCCATCAAAGCGCGGGCTCTGGTCATGCCATGCACAACGGACCAATACTTTGAGGCAGAGGCCAGCGAGATCGAGGTCTCGCTCATGAGTCCCGGAATTGGCATGTATAAGCCCATTGTCAGCATCTATGGACATCAGGCTGGTGCGAACAGCAACCCGACTGACACCAAGTTCTTTAACGAGGCCGTCGCCGAGTTGTTTGCTGAGGTTGAGAAGAAGGCCTAGGGATATATCGGATTTTTTGTTGGGTTACGGAATGAATTAGAACGGAATTCGGAAGAGATACCCCGGACAGCGGCTTCTTTCAGGAACATGTGGATCTTAGCTTCCCTACATTCGGCCCCGACTTCCATAAGTGCTAGCTGGCGCTGTTATCATTGGTCTATCCCCAGTTGGCTCCTGATTGACTGAGATGCATATGTTTTTCTCCTGTCGAGTTCTCCCGTTATCGCAACCACGAAAGCAGTGGCAGGCGAGGCGTGATATATAAGAACTGCCTTCTGCATTCTTCAGGGCTCGCTGAGGACTGTAGACCTCGCCAACCACCTCCTGAGCAGATGATGCTCAAGGTCGAGCGGTTCGCGCTGGGAGAGTTCACTCTCGTTGGTGGACAAAAGACCACTGACTGTTTCCTGGAATACCACGCTCTTGGCGACCCGACAAACCCTGCGTGAGAGCTGTTCCCTTCTCTCGGCCGTGAGCAAAGCTGAACCGCCTTGCAGTGTTCTTAAGCCGACATGCTTCGGAGGTAGCATTCGCTCCAGTGACATACCAATTGGAGAGGAGCATACGCTTACGCCTGAGAAATATTTCATCATCCAGGTCGGCATGTTGGGTGGTGGGGAGAGCTCTTCTCCCTCTAACTCCAAAGCACCTTACGACGGACCTCGGTTTCCACCGATCACGCTAGCGGACCAGGTGGAAGCACAGAAGAAGCTCGTGGAAAGCCTTGGTATAACGAAGCTGTGGGCCGTCACAGGATATAGCATGGGTGCTATGCAGTCTTATCAATGGGGTCAGAACCATCGATGCACGTCAGTCGAACTATGCTGATTAACAAATGGCAGCCGTGCAATATCCATCATTCGTCCAACATATCATCCCCACCTCCGGTGCTGCACGCTGCAGCCTACATAACTACGTCTTTCTTGAAGGACCCAAGAACGCACTTTTCGCCGATGGCAAGTTCAACAATGGAGAATACACGCCAGACGACCTTCCTCTCCTTGGTTTGAAGGGTTTTGCTCGTGCGTATTCCGGTTGGGGCTTTAGCAGTGCATGGTATAGAGAGCATCGGTATAAGGAGCTCGGATTCAAGGATTTCGACGAGTATTTGGTCAAGTATTGGGATGAAGGGATGGGCACTTTGTAAAGCGTTCAATCCATTTCTAATTGATTGAAACACTCACATTTATTGCCCAGGGATGCAAACGACCTCCTCTCTCTCGTCAAGACCTGGCAGACTGGCGACGTATCCAACATCCCTCCTTACAACGGTAACTTGGAGGCAGCGATGCAAGCCATCGAGGCGCGTGCACTAGTCATGCCGTGCACAACGGACCAATACTTCGAGGCCGTCACGGGCGAACACGAGGTCTCGCTCATGCGACCAGGCATCGGCAAGTACAACCCGATTATCAGTATCTGGGGCCACCAGGCCGGGGGATGTAGTAATCCTGTCGACAACAAGTTTTACGACGATTCAGTTGCTGCGCTCTTTGCGGAGACTGAGGCGAAGCTGAACGCTTGATACGACGTGAAACAAATGCCTGGGCGAAGAACTTGTACATGGGCAGTTTGTATATAACTGGAACAACATCAAATACCAACGTAATAAGAGGGAAAGCAGCGAGTAGGTTGGGCACATGGCCAAAGTCCTGCGGGTTTGGTTTGGTGTGGGAGCAATTCATGTGCATATACGGTGTGACAGTTGATCATTACGTGCAAATAACTACTCGTCCATGGAACCAGCTGTGATAACATCATCTGCGTGGCCAAGTCAGCAATACTCTCGACGAGACTCACTAGAATACTTACCTATCTTCAGTATTGCCCGAACCATCTGAGTGGCCAACAAATACTGCTGCCGCTTCGAAATCAGTGGGTCATATACGAATTGCTTCTTCATATCATTCTCCCCCCTGCCATTGCAGTCAATCCCGAGCCTAGGATTAGCCTCTGTTACCTGTCTGCTCTTGACCTCCGTAAGCGTCTCGATTGGGCTGAAGCCAGAGTTCTCCGCCAGTGCGAGTGGGATGCTGTCCAACGCTGAAGCGAACGCACGCATCGCGTATTGTTCAATCGAAGGTATTTCATCTGCCGCTTTGGAGACTGCGAGCGAGCAGCTAATCTCTGCTGCTCCACCTCCGTAAACCACGCGGTTGTTTACCACCAGGTTGCGCACGACGCAGAGTGCATCATGAAGAGCGCGTTTGGCCTCATCCACAATCTGTAGGGTAGGTATCAGTATCTGCGGATATTTCACTAGGACGGACATACCATCTTGTTGCTTCCGCGCACAAGGATTGTGACTGCTTTGCTGTTCGCGCACTCTTCAATCACGATCATCTTGTCCCTTGTCGTACCGAAGGCGATCTCCTTGACCAACCCAGCCTTTCCAAGCTTCTCAGCACTGAGGTCCTCGAACCTCGGCACGATTCGCCCATGCGTCGCAATAGCGATGAGCTCAATCTCGGGACCTCCGACCCATCTGACCGAGGGTAGGTCGTTTGCCATTAGAAGCGAGTTGGCCTCATCGTCGAATCCCCACTGGCATATGACGAGGTTTGCACCCGCGTCTTTCACGCGCTTGATCATATCCTCGAACTTGCCCTTCTCGTAAGCCTGCAGTTTGCGATATTCCTCCACCGAACCAATCTCAAGTTTGTGCTTCGTCTTTGGGCGCGGGGGCTCGAACGGGCACGTAAGAATGGCGATCCTGGCATCGCGAACGGTGCGCGGCATTTGGGGATGGGACATCTCCTTGTCGATGACAACGCCTTTTACGAGGGAAGTGTCTGCGAGCGAGCCGCCAACTTTGCCAGTCACCTTAATGAGATCGAAGGGGACATCCTTTCTTTGCAGGTCAGCAACGGCAAGCACTGCATCGACGGCAATTTGTGCGAAGTGCTGGTGTGCCTTCGACACGCTGCAGAATTGATCAGACGGGACCAATTTTGGTTGACATGAAAACGTACATCTTGCTTCCCAGACTTGTCATAGCCGTCTTAAGCAAATTCTCGGTATTCGAGGGGGTAAATTCAACCTCGTCCGCGATGCGATCCAGCTCTTTAACCGCAACAGCACAAGCTTTCTCGAACCCATCGGCAATCCGTATCGGGTGAATACCTCGATCCAAGAGTTCTTCAGACTGCTCAAGTAACGCACCCGCCAAAACAACGACGCCTGTTGTTCCATCACCGATCTCGTCATCCTGTGATTTAGAAAGCTGGACAAGAAGCTTTGCAATCTGATGCTCGACCTCCATCTGACCCAGAATAGTCGCACCATCGTTTGTCACGGTGATATCGCCATCCGGGCTGATGAGGATCTTGTCGAGCCCTATGAAGCTTGAGAAGACGGAACATCGCATGGGGGAAAAGATTTCACCTCTTGGTCCCAGGGAGGTCCGTACAATGTTGGCAACTGTTCGAGCGGCAAGGATGTGAGACTGCCATAAATATTAATCATAAATTCAGAGAGTATTAATTCAATATACTAACCCTAATAGCCTCCAGCCCATGTGTCCTCGTCTTCTTGCCTTGCTCCCTCAAAATAATGTACGGGCGCCCATACTGCCGTGCTATATTAGGGTTATTTTATTTTCCCGAACATAAACACGCACTTCATCATAGGCCATTGTGGCTTGCGGTTGTTGGGCCATTTTGTCTTTTCTCAAGTAAATGCTCAAGGCAGAGATGCAGTATGGACGTACTACAGTGGCGGACTGCTGAGCACGCGCAGAAAAAGACGTCCTAATGCTTCTGCACAGCCACCTAAGCCATGGGTCCTGACGTGAGCCGCCCAAACGAGAAGCGAGCCAAGGAGAGGTGAGGCAGGCGGTGCCGCCATTGAGTTCTGAGGCCGGTGTGTTTCCTTGCACTCTACCACTATCTCCCTCCCATGGTAGTGATACACAAGCCTTTCCTTCCCCCTCCTCGACCGGACGCGGTGCCGACCCTGGTCTCTGAGCCTGATCAAGAGAAGTACGATACTCTCCTCAACCACTTCTCCGATCCTGCGTTTCAGTTGCAGGGTGAGAAGGAGACCGAAAAGACTGCGCTTACGGAATACGAGAAATACTGGCTGGTGCGTCACCCTCGTTGTCATCTTTCAGCCTGATCTCATACTATATTGGATATCAGTCGAAGGAATGTTTCCTGCGGTATCTCCGTGCGACAAAGGGTGATGTCGCTGCCGCCATTAAGCGTCTTGAGAGCACTCTTGCCTGGCGACGCTCCTATGGGTTCTATCGGCCTGACTTCGCCGAGCATGTGGAACCCGAAGGAGTCACCGGCAAGTGCCTGCTCCTCGGGTACGACGTTGCGGGACGGCCTGGGGTGTACCTTATCCCCAGCAACCAGAACACAGAGGCCTCGGAGCGACAACTCGAGTTTACGTTCTTCGTGATTGAATGCGCTATCGACCTCATGGGACCCGGAACCGAGTATGTGCTATGTTCGTTTCGTCTCAATTACTGTGCTGACATCTTGACAGGAATATTGCATTACTGATCAACTTTGGAGATAAAGGGAAGCATCCACCAATGTGGATCGCGCGAAAGGTACGTTCTCTTCATGCCGGGGCGACACGATTTGACACTCCGTATAGATGCTCGGTATTCTTCAAGGCCACTACCCAGAACGGCTCGGCAAGTCGTTTGTGATCAACATCCCCTGGTACGTCGATATGTTCCTGAAGATGATTTGGCCGTTCGTGGATCCGGTTACCAAAGGCAGTGCGTCTCACTCCCCCTTTTTCTCTGAGAACTGGCCATGAACAAATCTGGTATCAGAGGTGCACTTCAACCCTAATGTTATCAAAGAGAACCTCATGACGCCCGATATGCTCCTCAGCGAATGGAATGGGGAAATTCAATTCACCTATGAGCACTCCCAGTTTTGGCCCGAGCTTCTCCGGATCGTGAAAGAATACCGGGGGGCAAATATGGGCCGCTGGCGCACTTTAGGCGCCAAAGTGGGCATCAGCGAGTGGGACTACAAAAACGGCAGCAGTGTGCTACGGACATTCGAAGAAACGGAGAAGGGACAGACGATTGAGGCCACTGGTGGATATGAGGACGTAGAACGAGAAGCGAATGAGGAGCTTCAGAGAGAGATGGGTCCCGAAGGACTCGTGGAGGCAAGCGCTTGACTTGCGGAGAGGCCGAAAGCTGCCCCGGACACATAGACGCAGTATCTCCCTTGCATTATCTTACACAATTCATACAGGGTCTTCAGTGTTTTGTTCTTCGCTGCTGGACATGACGACAATCGGTATGGATTACAATTTTGAGCTACAATTGAGGTGTCGCATTCTGCGCTCGACGCCTGGGTCGCTTTAGCATATAAGGGTTGCATTTCAAGACTTTTCATCAACTGCCTCTCGGAGATGGTCCTTCTCTGCTCAAGTATCCTTATTCCCCTTTTCCTTCGCCTTGAGGAAGTCGACCGTGGACCGCTGCAGTTCCGCAGGAGTACCCTCTGCCTTGTCGGCCTATGATACGGTATGAGCATGACCTTTCAGGAGGATATCCGGAAGCCAGCACCTTGATATCAGCCTCTGATTCGGAAGCCAGGAGCTCGTTCCAACCTGTCAGGAGTAAGCAGATCAGACATTTAGGTCAATGCACTAAACACCCACCGGGAGCGTGATTGTGTGGGGCTGACTCGTGCATCTCTCCATGCTTAGTCTTGTTCCTATTCAGCTCTTTCTCAATCACCTGCCGTGTGACGAGTCAACATGTTCCTCGCATACACTCCGGTAGATGGCTCACATGGGGGTCATTGCCGTGCACGTTACTGTAAATCGAGTGTCAGTATTCCGATACTGTCGGACAGCGGGATAGACGTACCCTCCGCCGGTGTAGTACCTGCCTGGGAGAGCGGCGAGGGGCGCGACGGCCCTACGGGAGACACGGGGGACGTTACGGACGACGAGGGCGAACATTGGTTAGTGGTGATAGAATGGGACAAGACTAAGCAGGTGGTCGTGGACGTGCTCAGTGGGAGATGCGGGTCTGGGCTGGGCTGGTCATACTTTGGCCGGAGCCCATGTCCCGTTAAGGACAAGGCGGGTGGATGACGTCATTTCACGTTCGCCGCGTCGGTGCAACGGTTTGTCCAGATTTCTCTAGTTCAGGCTTCGCATTGCATCATATCTATTCGTGCTGATACCACTGACCCTAGTAGAATTAACTCACAGCGGCTTGGCTTCAAGCCAATGATCCACCAACGGCTGTGCAAGCAGTCTTCCGCCCTCGACATTGATCGTTACCCCTGTGAGATTCGTGCATTTCATGCAAAAGAGGTATGCGTCAGCGATCTCCTCTGGCTTCGCGACGTGTTGCACCAGCGCTGTCTTGGAGATACCATCTTCCAACGCTACTTTTGCTGTGGGGTCCATGGCGTGCCACATCTGCATGAACTGTCAGCTTCAGTCGCCTGTTAGAAGGGAATATGCTCACATTAGTATCGACATACCCCGGACTGACTGTGTTCACCCTGATCGGCGCCAGCTGAACCGCCAACCCACGCGTCAAGCCATCCACCGCTCCGGTGATTGAAGCCGCAATCTCCCACCCCTTATGCGGCTTTTTGAAGCTCGAGCTCATCGTCATAGTTATCGATCCTCCGGCGTTGATGTACCCCTTCTGCATGGTGTAATTGGCGCTGATAAGGGCACCCCAGAAGATGATGTCGAAGTGGGCCCGTCGGCCATTGTCTGTCTCGGAGAAGAATTGGGGGACGCTGTCAATCGCTGTGTACACCTAGGTGTTGGTCAGTCAAAACGAAGGAATACAATGGATTGAACAGAACGAGATGATCGAATTGCCCAACGCTATCCCAGAACTTCTCAATTTCTCTGTCAACCTTGACATTGCAGGTCGAGCCAGAGATCCGCCCCTTGAATGACTCGTGCAATGCAGATAAGTTCTTGACAGCAGTGTCAACCTTTTCGGCATGGCTGGAGGCGATGATGACCTTCGCGCCGTGCTCGAGGGATGCTCTCGCGACTTCGTAGCCGATCTGCAATTCTGGTTAGCTTGAGATCAGAGGACGGAAAAATCGAGATCTACTGACTCCAGAGGACCCGCCGATGATAACGACGGTCTTGTCAACCAACTGGGTAAGGGATCGGAAATTTGGAATAGAAGTCATGCTTATAGTGAATTGTCAACTCGATACTGTGGTTCCTAGCTCCTTTGTAGCTTGAGCTGTGCACCAGAGAAACCGTTGGTAGTTATACTCCTAGTCGTTGATCCCATCATCCTTGTTCCTACTGTGTTTTATGCATAGGATCGGATGAGGTAGTCGTGGGTTGTTCCACGGCTGGAACTTCTGTAGGGGCAGGTTGGGCCAGAATGTCACGTGATACATCAGCTCAGCCTCTGTGTTTGATGCCTCCTTGAACGGAGGGGTGGTACTTATCCTACAGAGGAGAAGCTGCCACAAAGAGCGGGGATATAAGCAAGAGCGGGGATGTCTGCACACCTATGACACGTCGTCAAGTTTTCGAGCAACTGAGTCACGCAGCCAACATCCGCGCGGGAGCTAATCGCATAAATCCATGGAAACAGCAGCTGCATATATCTCGGTATGAAAGAAGAGAAATGCGTGTCCAACTTGGTTGATCCGTTGACAGGGCGCTTTTTAGGTTGCTGACAGGGAGATACCAGCATGATGGACTTAAGTGTTGTATCACGACCAAAGCATTCTCAGAGAATAGAGCCGTGAGAGTACACAGAAGATTGGAGCAAGTTAGCCTTTTAGAGATATTTCCTTGTTTCGAACGTCGGCTGCCTTAGAGTGATCGAACTGCAAATATAAATCGTCGAGGGACGTGTGTGAGCAAACAGAGGTCAAAACGTGTGCGGTGCGTGAAACGAAATTCCCGACTCTTCGTCGCTTCCTTGCTTCCGGGCCTCATGTATAAGACTTGACGGAGGCATCCGATGTTGGTCGTCAGGAGGTTGCCTCTGCTCGACCAAGTGCGTGCGTACGCCCGGAGCAGGGGTGCACACTCCCCTCCTGCCTGCGAGGGTACGGAGTTGCGCCCATCTCTCATGACTATCTCTGTGTCGCAGAGAGGGTTGTGACAGAAGTATGCGCATTCCTTATCCAACCGAATCATACCTCTGACGAGTCCCTTGAGACAGCCTGCAACCTGGCCTCGATTCATCGACGATGAGCAACCGCTTGTGATATGGTTGGTATGCGCACTTCTTGCCATGAGAATGCTTGTTGAGCGCCATTGTAGGTGACGATATGGACATCTTCGGTGGACCCCAGACCATGTGCGCATCCACCATTATGCTCACCGAACAACGCGGTTGTCGTTTGCAGGAGTGAGAGGGAGGACCAGTACTTTGACGAGGAACGTCCCGTAGTGTAAGAAACTGAGCGAGAGGTGAGTTCCTTGATGCTTCCTTTTAACGTAACATATCTCAGTTGACGCTAGTATCAGAAGGTAACGCGTTGCGATGTGTACAAGAGCCTCCACAATCTAGTTGTTCCAAGTCGTGATTGCCCCATCCCCATCCGGGCGCTGTGGGATCCTCAATTTGGTACGCCTTTTCGATATTGTTCTAGATCAATAACTGACCGGCATAGGCCAACTGCATGTCCTCATCTGTGACTCGTTCTTGGGGATGTGTTGCAACCTCGTAACTCCTCAAAAGCCTGTGTCATGCACGCCGTTTGACTGTAACCAAGTGCACCCACGATAAAGTCTTGCCAATGTCGCAGGTTAGCTTGATGGCACATCCGTTGATGTGTTCAGTGCTGACCGGCCACAACGCAAAGCTGTTGACGACATCGTGTCTGTCCCTGCCGAAAACCGCTACGATTTTCCAATACCCCACGTGTTTCCCTCTATTCCCTTTCTTTCCCATATGACTCGGTCATCAAAGAGGATGTTCTGCACCCACCCGGAGATGGTCCGTAGCATGGTACTTCGCGCCAAGTCAACACGGACGCCAGTTTCGGTTATGATACGGGTCGCCCCTATCTAATGTCCTATCAAGTGGAGAACATAATTCCGTCCCGCCTATTTACGCATGAAGTTTACGCAATGCAGATCGCAGACCCCCCGACCACTTCCATAATTCAAGCCTCAATGTCTTTCCCAACTTAACTTTCTTAACTTCGGCAGCCTCACATCGGCATGCCTAAGCACCTACTAAATCAAATATCAAGAACCTCTCGGTCCGTTCCCCCGGGAGTGGACCGAAACCCGAATGCAGGGCCATCGAGCGCGTAAAACCGTGAAAAGGCAAGCTTCGACCAAATCAAATACCAAGACGTTCCACTCTTCGAGCTGCACATCTGGCGCAAACGCAATCGTCGGGCATCCACTCGTGGACCCTTTGGTTGTTGGTGTGACAAAGCAGACCCTAGAGCTACCGTCATTCTCCATCACGAATGGAGTTTTCCATCATAGATGGAGACGAAGCCAAGGTGGCTTCTGGCCGACCCCCTCCCGTGCAGGGCGCCGGCATATTTTCAGGAGAAACCCTGATTGCGTGGTTGGACCGAGTCGATGGCTCAAGACAACCACGATTACCAAATCAAATACCAAGACATGCCATTCACCGAATTTGGCGTAACCATATTCGTCGGGCCCCGTTCTTGTGCCTCGTATGGTTGTGCCTGCGACAAGAAGATTCTAGAGCGGCTGTCACACTGCATCTCGGTGGAAAGACGAAGCCGAACGGCTTCGGGGCATCACTGCCCATTCACAGGACCTTTTCGTCCTGTTTACAGGAAATTCCTGATTGTGCGGTTGGATTGACCGCGATTATCATGTCCAATACCATGACATGCCTTGGCCGTTCTGCACTTTTGCCTCAACCGTATTCGCCGGGCCCCGTTCTTGTGCCCTGTATGGTTGTGCCTGCGACAAGTAGAGTCTAGAGCGGCTGTCATACTCCATCCCGGTGGAGCCACGAAGCCAAACGGCTTTGGGGCATTACTGCCCATTCACAGGACCTTTCGTCCTGTTCAGGAAATTCCTGATTTCGCGATTGGAATGAGTCCATGGCTCATGAGAATCGCGACTACCAAATCAAATACCAATACTCGCTGTTGTCTGAACTTGTTCATGTTCGACAACCTTCCTCATCCCCGCTCCGATCTCTTATCATCCGCAAAAGTTTCCGCATCGCAAGGCACTAGTTCGACACCCTCGCCACGAATCGGCTTCCTCACAAATTTGTTCGTAGTGGGCGGTCGAGTCGTTGCGGAACCACGGATCCTCGATTCCGCTCAATGAAACCCTTTGGCTGCGCCCAAAGGTCGAGGGGTACCAGGTTGGCCTCTCGTTGTGAATGTCCCGGTGACGCGCCTCGTGTTATTGTGGAACCTATAGTTATCCATCGCTGGCGCTACACGAACGAAATCTGCTGGACTAACGGCCAACCGACTGGATCGCTGTTTTGTGTCGATAGCGCGGGGCGAATCACAAAATCAAATACCAAACCTTCCGTCAGTGGTCTCATATGCGCTTACGGTGCAATTCTGTGTATGTGCTGAAGATCGACACTGATGGAAGATGATGCATCCTTTGCAAACCCAACGGTCCTTTTTTTGCTGATGCGTTAGTCGTATCCTCTTGTCTTTGTATTCCCACTGACCGCATATATAGATGCCTGTTCTGGCACTTATTGTACAAGTACACTACGCCTCGACCTCATACGGCATTCCTTTCACGCGGACGTTAAACGCCCTGGGAGAGATTCGTGGCGCCTGCTGTCCGACCGCAAGCTACTTTCCTTTTGGTCCTGGGTCAACACTTCATGTAGAACCAAAAAATTGTCACTGTGTAAAGCGTAGAATGGTCCGGAGGTTAGCGTTGAACAATGTCGTTGTGTGTTGTACTCCTTACTAGTTGTCGTACAAGCCAAGCTTCCGTGCGTGATGACAATCAATGTGACATCGTGTGTCCTCCCCAATATTCCTTTGAAATTTCAAAGCCCGCGCTGGGCGTATCCAAAGAAACAAATCCACACATGTGAAAAGACGGCATCTGATCCGGTTACCTCGTCCGATCTCTTTCACCTCATCAGCGCTTGTGACGCTATTCATCCCCCACGCACAAGCTCCAGAAGTATTTATACCCCGCGTTACCCCCTCGGAAAAGGGGGAGAAACTCGGCCCTCTCATGTTCGCAGCTTGAGGCATGCTCCTGTCCTGCGTCCCCCGCTTGCAGAACCGTGTTTCCGTCCTTCCCTCATTCCCAACCACACGCCATCTCTCTAATTCGCGACAAATGTTTGCACTCCATCCACCGCCCGGACAGCAACGTCTGCCCACGTTCCATCATCAACGGAGATTGCCGAGATTGCCCGTGCCACCAATCAGACAGACCTTGGACAAGTATCTAAAGAGCCTGGAGCCGCTGTTGGAAGAGGGTGAGCTGAACGGCCAAGGGAACAAGCTTGAAGAGTCGCAAAAGCGTGTCGCCTGGGCCGTGGACTTTGAAAATGGCATCGGACGTGAGTTGCAGGAACGATTGATAGGTCCGTATATGCTATGAAGTTTGTTGAAAACGACTGATAACCGGTCTTCAAGATGTCGATCGTTCATCGGAAAATAACTGGTTGGATGACAACTTCTGGATTAAGAAGGCGTACCATGAATGGCGTGCTCCACTGATGGTCCACTCCAATTGGTGGCTGTTATTTCATACAGACGCGACCATTCCATTGAGCGTAGCGGAGAATCCTCCTTCTCCTGGGCAGTTTGGGGAGTGGCAATTGAAGCGGGCAGCGTGGCTTACGGCTCGCTTCCTCGACTTCAAAGCGAAGGTAGATCAGTACGTGCGCATACATCTTGATTTCGATATCGACGCGCTTACCGTGAACTATCTTTTCCCTACAGACAGGAGATCCACCCCGATAGCTCTCGCACAGGTCCGTTCGACATGTATCAATATACTCGGTGCGTTGCTAACATATGGTATCTCTACCTCAGGCTTATGGTCCAATCGTCCCGCACGCAGTGTATTCAACCTCTCCCGCATCCCCAAGCCCGGTTGCGATATGTTATCTCATAAGCCTGCGTTGAAGGATCCAGGCGCTCGAAGCATCATGGTAATGGCGAAAGACTGGGTATACATGGTCGAGGTGCTTGACCGAGACGGAGGGATAGTTGGGATAGGCGAGATAGAGAAAAGACTGGGCGACCTCATGGCGGATGTGGAGAATCGGGTGAGGAAAGGAGAGAAAGCGGAACCTGTGTGCATTCTGAGCTCTGATGACCGTGATGTGTGGGCGAACGTGGGTATCATCCTGTTAATTATCCATGTGGTAATAACTCACGTATATCAGAACCGTGAATATCTTCTTACCCTTTCGCCTGTGATCAACCGCAAAGCTTTTACCCTGATGGAAAATAGTCTCTTCGCTCTATGTCTCGATATGCACACCATACCGACACCATCCTCGTCCAACTTCGTACCCGCACCCATTGAAGCGCATGTGCGCAGTATTGCGACCGGTCCCGACGGCCTGAACAGATGGTACGACAAAACATTAACCGTCATCGTTGAGTCGTCGGGACGCGCAGGGATGATGGGGGAACATTCCCCGTGTGACGCGCTCATCCCGAGCATTGTCGTCGATTACGCTATTGCCGAACCCATCGATCTTGGAGCGTTCACCCAGAACCTGGAAAGCGCGGAGGAGGGTGACGTGATATTTGATGCAGATACAACGACTGGTCCGAAAACCAGAGGATGGGAGCGTGTCGAGTTCGAATTGGACGATAAAATGAGGAAGGAAATCCAAGAGGCCACAATTCGGGCAAAGGCGACCGTAGACGACTCGGACGCTAGCCAGTTGTGGTTCGACGAGTATGGTGCAGATTGGATCAAGAAGACTGGTAGGTCAGCCTCTCTTGTGGTTAGCGCGGCATTAACACTTCTTGCCTAGCCAAGCAATCCCCCGATGCATATATCCAGATGGCGCTTCAGCTGGCCTTCTACAAGGACCAAGGCTTCTTCAGTGCGACGTACGAGACGGCCTCCACTCGCTTGTTCGCGCATGGGCGTACAGACGTCATTCGCACATATACCACTAACAGTCGCACTTTCGTTCGGGCGATGCTGGATCCATCAGCTTCGGCCGAAGCTCGCTACAAGGCGCTGTCAACTGCTATCTTTTCGCATAATGCGTATACCCGCGAAGCATCCACCGGAAAAGGCATTGACCGACACTTAATGGGCTTACGCCTCATGCTGCGCGACAAAGAGGGGGAAGGGGTGAAGTTATTCGAAGATCCCTTGTTCGCCAAGAGTCAGGAATGGAAGTTGAGTACTAGTGGATTGAGCGAAGGGACTAGGTTCCATGGCACTGGTTTCGGAACTGTGTGGCCAGATGGCTATGGGACGAACTGTAAGTCGCCCTTGCAAAATCTTCCCATCCCGCTGATGACTGGATACAGACCTTGCCGGTGGAGACCTCATCAAATTCGGCGTGGAGTCCAAGATCTGCGCCCCTAATACCAACACACAGAGGTTCAAGCGTCATCTGGTCGACAGTCTGCGGGAGATGAAGCAGGTGTGTGAGGAGGGTGCTGCCCTTCCGGCTAAACTGTAGCATGGGCCATATTCGGGGTTTGTCCGATCGTGAAGCCATTGGAGTGGCACTCTAGTGAGTAAATATGAAATTATTTCGTACATCATTCGTAAATGAACCCTTTTTTGAGCTGTTCCATTTCCTGTAGTCATGGGGCCGCCTGTCTTGGCATGAGGAGAGACATTTCAACATCAGTCAACTTCTGGTTGCCTGATTGGTCGATCTCCTTCCCTTATCTTCGTCGCTACCTTCTCCTCGCCTCCCACGCAACATGTATGTGTGCGACGACCGCCAGCGGGTGCGGTTTATTCGGGGCACTGTTCACCGCGTTAGGTGTCTTGTGAGCTGTGTTGGTCTCTCTGATAGCATACCTCGAAGTCCATGGAAATCCTCATTTATTCTCCTGCTGGTTTTTCTGTAGCCCGGAAGTCGGGGGCCCGCTGACGATCGACGTCCGATGAACGAGCGGGGCGGGGCGGCCCCGTTACGCTGAATTCCAAACCGTGGCTCATGTGGGGCCGAGTATTAAAGGATGAATTCGTCGACCAGCAGCAGTCGCCATCTATCTGGCAACCTGTTCGCTGGGTACTTCCAATTCTTCACGATGCTTGCTCTCACCTTCCTTCATGCTGTCGCTGCTGCTCTTCTCCCGGCTGCTGTCAATGCGGCGTGCGGAAAGGTCATCATTGATAACGATTGGTGCGTCTCGGCTTTATCGGCCATGCTTCCGCTGATGCCCTTCCAGGAGCGGATCGTCGTCCTACACTCCGTTACTAGAGTTGCTCGGAGCAAACTGCACCATACTGGGTATTACCAGCACGGTCGCGGTATGTGGAGTTGAATTGATCTACTTTCCATGAGCATCCTGACGCCGGTTGTAGAACGTGTATGCATATCAGGGTGCCCGTCACATTCTAAGGTTCCTGGAAAGTACGAACAGGACCCGCCTCACTAGGCTCATTTGCTGATTCGAATCACAGTTGCCGGCATCGACTACATCCCAGTCTATGTTGGTGCTAATGAGCCTTGTAAGTGATATCCTCAGTTGGGGCTTCCTCCTTGCCGCTGATGTGTAACTAGTGATCAACACTGTCGAGCGGTCTGCTGCCTGGCAAGCCGTGTTTGGCGCGTTCACCTGGGACGGTGCTTTCAGTCCCGATAATGCTACACTGGACGCTCAAGGCGGTGACCCAACGGGGAATAATCCCCTCGAACTGACGAACATCCCGGAAGGTGTGCCAACAATGAAGTGGCAGAATCAGTCTGCCGTGGACTTCATGATCGAGATGGCCCACCAGTATCCAGGCCAGGTTGAGATCGTCGCTGCAGGTGCGATGACAACTGTTGCGCTGGCCATCAAGCAGGATCCCTACTTTGCTTCCAATATAAAGAGGATCAGCATTCAAGGCGGGTACGTTGACGTCAACCTGAAACAGACAGACCCGACTCCCGCCAATCAGACTTTCCCGAATGACGACGTTTATGCCGACTTCAATTTCTTCATCGATCCTGAAGCGGCCAAGATCGTCGTCAACGCACCATTCCAAGAGACCGTCATTGCGGGTCAGGTGTCTATTCCATATCTCGTCACCCCTGCGATTTTCAACGAAACTATCTCCATGGTTACCCCGATTACGCAGAACCTGAGCACGTATTGGGCCAGCTCCATTGGCACACCGCTCTGGGATGAGATTGCGGCCGGCGTGATTGCGTATCCTGAGATCGTGACGAAGAGCCGTGTTGTGTACATGGATGTCGATGTGGCATACGACTCCATTTTCGTACGTCCCCTATGCTGACGTTATCTATCACTGACTGTTTCTAGTATGGCCGTACCTTTGTTGCCGTTGCTCCTTTCCGTAAGATGGTTCTAGTACACGCACAATCACCTCAATGACCCTCCTTTGGTAGAACCTGTCAACTCCCGCAACGTCACTTTTGTTGAGCAGATTAATTTCTCCAGCTTCCTCAGCAGCTTTATTCCGGCCCTTCAGGGAAATTATGCCACTAGGAGAGTGTAAAGACAATGAGATTGCTGTGCTATAACATCGAGTATAGTCGGTGCTTAATAGAGGTATAATTTAGTCAGTCCAAATATATCACAGCTCAGGTGATACATTCCGGGCCCGCATCCTTTCCAACCACTTGGGTGTAACTATTTCCACGCAATCTAGCACCAATCTTGTGCCTGGTGTGCGTGATTGTATTTTGTGTATTTTGCCTCTTCTCGAGCGTTTACGAACAATTGTCCGCTTCATGTTCAGAGCGTCCACGTCTATTTCAAGGGGCTCTATTTTGACATCATCGAAGACGCGCGCCCAAGTGCTTCTTGGCTGATAGAATCCTTCAATTAATTCACGCTGGAACTTCTCGTCGTAGCCGTAACACTCCAAAGCACAGACCGCGACGGTCTACATCGACACCGTCAGTTTCCTGACCGTACTCCTCAACTTGTGCGTACCAACAGACCCACTGCAAAATCATTTCGCACCAAGTCTACTGTCACCTCCTTATACCTCCTCTCCCGTAGGCAGCGCTGAACCTCTTCCTCTGTCGCAGGGCGATGATATCCTGCGAGCTGCAGTTCTCGCTGGGCGATGTGCCTCGCACACCTGTATCTGACTAACTTCCCATTGGGGGAGCCAATCTTCGTTTGCCAGTCAGTGCCAAAGATGCATGCTATTCGCGTCTCCCGGACCTGTTCAAATTCGACCGCCGTGAGCGCGGTGCAGCGCGGCACAGTCACGGCTTCCGTACCACAAGATCTTGACTCATCCATTCCTCCACGGAGAGAGGTTCCGATGGTAAAAATCGATAATGACCAATATACTGCCATCTGTCAGACGATCTGCGAACCCATGTGGGTATTGCTGTTGGTGTCAACTCAGGATCCCGAAAGCACTCCGGGGAACCCATGAAAGTCAGTCCTGGCTCCCCTGGCTGCCGCGGGGCATGAGGGCTCCACGTAGGCATCAAAAAGCAATATTGAGGGATACCATGTGCTTTGACAAAGCGCTGAGCTGGTCGAGGGGTTACGTCTTGCATATTTCCGCCATACCGTTTGCTGAGAAAATGTACTCTTGAGGTGGTTCGAGCAATGTACTCGGCGTCGAGGTTTTCAATCACGACTGGCTTTTGATTGATACCTTCCAGTCTCCGCAAGACACCCTCGGGACCCAGGACGAATGGCTTATCTTCTTCTTTCTAAACATGCACGGTAAGAGGAGAGGGGGAGCCAGGGAGGAGAAGCAACCCACAATTCGGGGTTTCTTTTCTTCTACCTTAACCCCAGCCGTCAGATGACCACTATACAACGGTACATGTTCTTCCTGTTCGCTGTCGATGTGCCGCATACGAGATGTTGAGTGAGCAGGTTCTGAATATCGTCCGTGTTGTATATCATCAGTACTGATGATATACAATTTCAAGTGAAATGTGGTGGGAATGGTCCGTCGTCAAGTCGCGGCTCCAATCGCACCCTGCCGTCCTGTTCAATATGATTAAACTGCACACGTTACAATTACTCCCAACCGAAATGCGCGAGATATGATACATGTAGACGCCTTCACATCATCCCAAAATCCATATCAGTGACGGGATCACTCCCAATGAAAGAAGCATCCCCTTCAGTAAATCCGTCGGCCTCTGTCATGAAGTCTCCATCCGTCATCCCATCTCCGTCAGTTGACCAATCAACCTCATCGTCATCTCCCTCCTCCTCCGGATCGCTGGGATTGAGCATTGCATCAATGCCTTCGACATCATCGAGGTCGTTGAAGTTGACATCAAGCCTCATTGAGTCCTCGTCATCCGAGCTATCCGAAGCTGCAAATTCCGGCATGTCAAGATCCTCTAGTTGATCATCATCATCAACGCCGACACCGTTGGCCCGATCATAATAGACACGATTAAATTGAAAGTGAAACTTTATGTCGCCATCCTCGATCTCTCCACAGCGCTCGATCTTGTCCTGATATTCGGGTGTTATACGTCTGCCATAATCGGTGATAATGTAAGGAACGTAAGCGCGCAAACGTCGAATGATGACGTTATGAAGCGGATAAACGGAAAGCTTCTTCAGCGGCGCACCGACAAGCTGCCTGATGTGTAGGGTTTTCGTGAGGTGATTTGTTACCCAGGCGACCTGCAGGTGATCTTGCAGAGCACGGAAGTGGAGCTCTTCGAGCTTCGGTGCATACTGAAACATGTCAGTCGCAGTGTCGAGACGTCGCAATGCCTTCAACACAGGACGAATGATGGTCGTATTCAGACAGTCGAGCACTCTGAGATCTTTCAAGTGACTGAGGAGTGCAAGAAAAGATTTGCCAGGAATAACGGCGTGTCTGAATGCAAGACGTTGTAGCGCGAAGTTCTCGACGGCAATCCTGTTGAACAAAAGGCGGGGAGAAATTTGCTCGAGCGGCTGGCCCCACAATTCGAGATCAAGAAGCTTGGGCATATCAAGGTGGTCCAGTATCATCGGGAGTCGGAGAGCGCCCGTTTCTGGCGGGTCTTCCATGATCAGTAGGACGAGCTTCTTCAGCTGGTGCAAACAGAAAGGTTCATCCGCCGCGGGGATCTCGTTGACGTAGACGTGTTTTATTGATAACACCTCTAGATTTGGCACGAGGCGGAGAAAGTCCAGAGATAATGGGTCCTCTTGGGGTGTGAAATCACCTGGACCGGGTAACATCGTATCTTCGGCGCGACGTTGAATCAAGCTGTGATACAAATACAACTCCCGAAGGCCTTCTAGAGTAGTGGTTTGCTCGAATATCTGCAAGGCCACATGTTGAAGGTATAGCGTCTTGAGAGAATGTATGACTAGGCGGAAAGGAATTTGTTCAAAAGGTACGAGTACGAGTATGTGGTGCGTGTTGGCTTGTGCGATGTAGAGGGACTCGAGTTGCGGCATCGCGTTGGGTAAAGAATCCCACAAATTGTTTGTAATGACTTGATCGACAGTGCGTAGCGTGCGTATTCGATGCGCTTCTCTCCTTAGCGCATCAATTACTTGCTCGATGCTTCCATGATCTTGTTGGCTGCCGTGATGTTTGTAGCTGACGTGCAAGGGAACCGATCCAGTTCGTTCCAGTGTCTCTGTCAAATGCGATAGCGTCTTATCGTGGAACCCTTGGTTTAGACCAGTGCCATACCCAATCCGTATATCCGACCAAACTTCAGGGGTTTCCAAGCAGACTGAACGCCAATACGAACAGACTTGTGCAATATTGAGAGGCGACCGATCCCGGTATCGAGACCCACAGCCCTGTACTGAAAGGACCCACTCAAATATCGTCGACAGAAGCTCGATGGGTATCCGATTTATTGTTGCAAGTGAATTCCGTTCTCTAAGCAGTTCAAGGAGCTCTGCTTGTATCCTATCTTGCGCTGCTTTCAGAGCGCGCGCCTGCTCGTCTAGCAGTGACATCCGCGTAGTGGCGAGAACGCCAGGGTTATTGTGACCGGATGTCGGGCACCTGGCCGCTCCATTTTGCCCCACATGAACCTTGCGCTTGTTGGAATTTGTCGATGACATATTGCGCTATCTACAAAGTAATTAGTCCAATTCCCCAGAGCAGCTTGATAGACTCACCTGGAACAGTCTTCAGGTAGTGGTCAATGCAAGACCTGGCTCAGCCAAGTTTGGACCCTTAAACGCGTTGTACACGCGTCGCATGTTCACGTGACGACATTATAATAATGCGTTTGAACGATTTCCACTCGGAACAAAGAAGATCCATTGCAGATAATTGTACATCGCACATAGTGCATAATAACGAGTGTGCCTGCAATAAACCTATGCAGAGTTCAGATGCTACATTAAAAGACCATTATCATGCGTGCTGTACTTGCGGTCCTGCCTGACTAGCAGGACCAGGGCCGCCACGTCCACGGGGTGCACCTCCCCTGAATCCTCCCCTACCACGATCCCGACCCCGACCCCGACCCCGACCCCGACCCCGACCCCTACCCCTATCAACAAATACGGCTGGAGCAGGTTGAGCTTGCTGCGACTGCGGTGCGAAGGGAACCGACGGCAGCAAGTGCACTGGAGGCGCTCCGCGCGCCGAAGATTGACTACCATTCGGATGGTGACCGCTTCCCCTGACGGGTCCATTGTGTTGACCAGGAAAGCCACGACCTCTTCCACGAGCGCGAGGCGCGCCAGAACCACCGATCAGCATGTCTCGAAGCACATCCGTATGTGACGGGGCAGCTGCTGCGGGTTCCGCAGCAGGCAGTTCCCCCTTTACCGCCTGATCATAACCTCCGTTGAGAGTAGGAGGAGCGGGTCGGGCAGGGTTCTGCATAATACCCACTCCACCACGGCCACGACCCCCGCGCATAGCCCCACGAGGGGGTCGCATGGATGAGAACCCGCGAATGGCGCCATAGGGGGCATTGACCGGATGGAAAGGCATGCCGTTCTGCGTGCTACCATTTGCATGACCGTTGGCATGGTTCGCGTTATTGTTGGTCGGGGAAACGGGAATTGGGTTGGTCGACATGACGTACTGCTTGTGGCTGAGATTGAGGCAGGAATTGAACGACACTGTAGAACCACGATATTGCGAGCAACGGCTACCGAGGGTAGTTCCTGACATGAAAGGCACATCCCACACAACGTCGATCGAAGTAGTGTTCAAACCGACTACAACTCCCTTCACAGTGAGCGGAACACTTCCAGAGTCTTGGACCATTGTGACTCTATCCCCTAGTGCAAAGGTTTGATGTAACAAACGATATACGGTGTGTGACGGCTTGAGAACCGCTTGCCTCGGGATGCCCTTGACCAGCGCCTTCTTGATCATGTCGGCAGATTTGGAGCTACTGAAGTTGTTGGCTAACTGCTCGATCTTCCCTACAGTATCCTTACATTCACAATTAGACCATCACCCATGTCACTACATGAAGTGAAACGCACTTTATCGAGCTGCTCAGACAGAAGAGAGGTTGGTTCCAGGTCTGGAATACCCTTATCATGAAGCCAATTCCTGATTTCTTTCACCCTTGCATCGGAGTCGCCACTTGGGAAGAGATCCTGTGCCATGGTAACATCTGAATAGTGCGTAAGCCCCATATCAGGCGTGATCGAGCACGCCAGCCTACCATCACGCCTTTGATCAAGCCTATGGAAGAAATCGGGCGCGAATTGCTTGTACTCTCGGATAAGCTGAATGGCCTTCTCGCTGAATTCCCAATTTCGGCCCCGGCCCTTACGGGTGTAACCTAACACTTTCATGCCCTTCGCCTCGAATTTCAGGCTCAATCCGATATTGGTCTTCTGTCCTTCTTTCGTTATTACCATGAAACTGGAGGTGATCCTGGCGAAGGCAAGTCCGCTTATGCCAAGCATCCGAGATACCAGATGTGCCTCAATATAACGGTCAAGTGGCCGAGACCTGACTAGCTGAATGAATTGATCATTTTCCGCCTTTTCGTTGGGAAAGAACTGCGAGATAAGGTGAGTTGTATGCATACAACCTTAGCATGCGTGGTACACGTACAGCAAGAACAACCGTCAGGCTAGTCGCGCTTGTTTCCCTCACTTGAGCAGCCACACCATATGCATGTTCGCCAAGGAAGATAACTTTGCTGCCGTCAGGGAACTCTTCAGAGAGTGGCGGTGCTTCCTTCTCCAGGAAACGTTGGTCTTCAGAGAAGACCTCCGTCACCGCGAGCTGCACGGCCTGCTCGATCTCTTTATCGGCATCTTCGTAGTCCTTGACAAACGCTCCTGTATCCAAGCGTTTGAGGCCGCGCAGAGGTCGTACGTGTACCAGTGCGTCAATATCGCCTGTCAGGACGGCAAACCGCTTCGAGTAAATGTGTTCGATCTTGTCTGCCTTCCTCCGCCAAGTATCGGGCATTGTCTGCGGCTTGGTAACGATACGCGTCTCGCCGGCCACGAGACCCTCCTCGTGTATGAAGTGTTGGTCGGAGACGGCGACACAGAGACCCTCCTGGAGGAATGGCCAGTTGAGGAACACGCGCTTGCCAACCAGCTGCTCGGCGAGTTCTTCGGTCTTCTTGCCCTCATGCTTGTTCATGATGGTGATGATCATGGATTGATTCCGACTGTCGCCTTGGAAGACATTGACATGGTGGAAGGCCAGCTGAGCAGTGTGCTCCAAGGTGAAGATGGAAGGGAATCCTGCAAGGGCTTGCACCCCTAGGAAAACGCCATCGCACAATCCAGGAACAAGATGCAAACCGTCTAGTATGGGCAGGTAATATGGCTCCATCTTGCAATGGTTGTGCACCAAATTGGGGAAGAAACCAGGCAGAGATGAGGGGTACACAGTCTCGTTATCGGGGTCGTATAGAAATTTCGTGCTGGGGCCCCAGGTGTTGCGCCGGCGTTCCTCCTCTGTAAGCATGCGCTCACGTGGAGCCATAGCAGCCAGTAACCGCGTTTGATCGATGAAGGGGATTTTGACAACAGCTTCCCACTCCGCTTTCTTGCCATTCAGATCTTGCTCGAATGATTGTGGGTAGAAGTCTAGGATGGGTGAGTTAACGTCGTACATTAAATCCTTGGTTTACGTCAGAAAAGATCGCACGAGATGTTGAAGAGAACATACCCTGTACGCGATGGGGAGCAACTCCTGACTCGCGGCCGGCATGACACCCATAAGCTGTTCGAAGGGTCTGAAGGGTTGACCCAGTTGGAAGTCGAACTTCATATCCGCAACACCCTTCAAATCTACAGCAGTGTCAGAGGAGCGCGATGATATTTGAGGGGCTCAACATACCTGACATCCGAGGCGCATAATGATAATTATAGAACCAACTCCAGGAGGTGACACCACTGTAGTAGTAGTACATGACCCACTGCAGACCTTCTACGTAACGATATATCAGGTCGTGCATGGCCTTCTGATCGCTGTAATCGATCTCGAGTTTTTCCTGTGTAGAACTTAGCGACGACATCCCGCATTTATTAGGCAAAACGTGCCTTGTAGTAGTTTCTCTTCCATTCGTCCATCCGCTCCTGCAACCTCTTCTCTTCCCTTGTGTCAAAGTCGTCTCCTTCATCGTCGCCTATCACTTTCATCTTCTCAAACTTGTTGAGTACCCGATCGACTGCAGCATTTCCCTCCTCGTCATCGACATCTTCCCAGTCGTTCTCTCCGTCGTCGTCATCATCATCATCATCGTGGTCGGGGTCTTCTGGAGGAGGGATGCGTATCACAGCCAGGTTGCGATCATCCGAGTCATATTCGTCCCACGTGAGCTCAAGATTTAGTTGAGTAGTCACCTCGCCCAAGAACCGTTTCATGTTCGCAGGGAACTCGTTCACTAGCCTGATGCTCGCCTTTGGATCTGGACGTGCCCTTCGGGCAAGGACGAATCCTTTGATTTTCTCAAATAGCTCTTTCTGGCGGTGTGTCACCACTGTTCTCAGAGATCAGCCATGTGCGAAGATGAATTGATGAGCAGGACGAACTATTCTTCGCCGGCTTGTGCTCTGCAGCAACGATGTGCTTCTTCTGCTTCCCCCTGATATAGAGCAAATCCGCATTCTCTTTCTCGAAGACTTCCCTCTCTCCCTTTGCGAGCTCGTCGAGGATCAACTGCAGCCGTTGCGTATTGATCGTCCCACTGTCCTGAAGGTACCCGCCAGCGGCAGGGATAACCTTCTTGTATATATCGAACAGTGTCTCGAGCGCATTTTCGTTTATGTGTAGGTCTGGAAGATGGGGCAGGAAATCATTTCCCACAAACACGGCGATCAGGATGAAGTCGTCGATGACGCGCTCCAGATTGTACGGTACGGACATCTGGGACGCCATCGAGCGGAATTCTAGGTCGAGGTATTCCCGCATGAGGGACAGGTGCAGTAAGAAGAAGTTTTGAGCTTCCATCCTAGAAGACCGTTAGCATATAGCCTGGATCACACACTATGTGGACACACCCTCCTGGATTCTTCTTCTTCGAGGGGCCGAACTTCACCTCTTCACGCAGCAGGCAGAAATGTGGGTCATGGCTCAATAGACCAAGCATGATCAGATCTGCGTCGAGTCCGTACAGACAGTGTCGGACGTTCGGGTTGTAGTCCGGCTGTGCCTTCGCATGCCGGATATACTCCATCACTTTGTGCTCTCCCTCCCCAGGCACCTCGTGTCCTGATAGAATTACTTGCACACCTCGCCAGTTCGAATCCTCTGATATCTTCTTGTTGATGAAGTACTTCAACTGGGCGGACAGCCTCGCCATAAAGACAGTACCTGATAAACATCAGTCAAGTCCTGATAAGATGACCTGTGGAACGTACCAGGTGTAATACAATTGCTGTCAAACGCCTTTTCTTCAGGTAGTTGTTCCCCTCTCTTTTCTGCCTTCTCCTTGACTTCTTTAGCTTCCTTAGCACTCCTGAACCGCCTGCTTCGCTGCTGGTTCATCTTCGCCCTCGGTGCAACCCCATCAATGGCCAAAAAGAACAGGTTCTTCGGCTTGATCTTCCCGAACAGAAAGTCCACGTACGCGAATATGGATGTGAATATTTGCTCCTCGGATAGACGGAAGTGCGCGTCCCCGTCGTTCGGATGTGAACATTGGTGGATGACTCCGTTGAAGTCGAGGTACAAGTTGTCGAATTCTGGGATCTTATTCTCTTGGATGAGTTGTGATGTGAGCGGATATCGCTCCCTTGATTAGTCTCAGAAAACAAATGCATGGTATTTATTCATGCGACGTACGAGATATATCTGAAGAACTTGGGAATACCTTGCACGATCGTCAGCATGACGGCCCCTCCTTGCCTTGCTCATACATACCCATTCTGGCTGTCTCTTGCTCGATTGTCCAATTTGCTAGTTGCTTTCTTTTTCCTCACAGGGTATTCTCCGCACCTTACTTCCTTTTCTTCGTTGTCGTCGTCGTCGTTTTTCTGTGAGGCTTGTCTGCCTTATCGATCTGTGAACGGTTCACACAAAGGAGGCTATGGACGATCGAGTCCCGGTTCGCGTGGGCGGGAAGTGGCGGGATTATTTGGGCACGTGGTGGCTATGCTATGGCGGAGAAGCGCGTTCTAGTCCGAGCCATGTGGGGCACACGAGGAAGGGAAGGGCAAGGTTCATCGTCACACGAATCACACAATCCCACACATACGTATATCCATTGGTCATCGACTTAATACCTTTCTAGCTTGCTTGTTCCACTCCAGAGGAAGGGTTGACTATGGCCCTCCCTACACCTGTCGACCTCCACCCACTCTCACCCCCAGAAGTCACCTCTTCACGTCGCGGTCAGCGCACACTTCGCACAGACTCGGAAACAGCATCCACCTCGAAGCCATTCTCATACTTCACGCTCAAGTCCCAGTCGGACGAGCGTAGTCTGCTCAATATCGTCTCGGATGCGTCGACGTCACTTCAACCCGAGGTACGGGAGGAAGAGCCCACCTCGCCTACGAGCTCTCCAAATCATGGGTTACGAACGCGTTCAACAACCGCAAGGAGCTCTGTCAACCACTCTAGGCATTTATCTATATCATCCGTATCCCGTCCAATATCAGTAATATCCTCGAACCATCAAGCCATAGAGGGTCGCCAACCACCCGCACCTCAGCCAGCATTCAACCTCTTGCTACCACCATCTCGGACACACCTTGCGCAGCTAGCTCTCCCTGTCGACCCTGCTGCACACGCGACCGAGATGCCGGTTGATGCAACGCGCAAAACGATAGAGACCAAGTGGCATCTACTTTCGGACCAGGACATCGTGCGCACCATTGACGACGTCTCAACATTAGCCGGCAGCCCGAGCGAGCAACCCCGGAACCCAGTATATGCCGCATTACGCGTGATGAGTAGCGCATTTGAGGACTTGAGCAGGAAGTACGAAGAAGTACGCAGGAAACGGGAAGCAGATGCTGTAAAGGGAACCGAGCTGGCCAGAAAGGCCAAGGAAAAGATAGAGACCATGCCATGGGCGGAGAGGGAAGTAGCCAGCAGAGTCGTCGAGATGTTCTTTGCGGAGGAGGAAGAGGAGAAAGGGACACCGGAAACACCGGGGGAGGTGAGTATGCTGCATATATGCGCGTCAAGTCCAGCTAACCACTGTACAGCTTCCTGCCTCCATCAGCCAGGCAATGGCAGATGTGCTCAGCCCTCTTGCGGGGGTCGCACCCTCTGAAGAGGTTTCCGAGCGATCGTCCATACGAGCACGCAGTGTCACACCTTCTATGCTCACCGTTGCGTCTGTAGACGACGTAACATTCCCGCCCAGTGATAGCGCGAGCGTGAATGTCAAACTCCTAGAAGGGACGCTCAAGAACGAGAAGGATAAATCTTGGGGTCAGGCGATTGGAAGCTGGATTGTGGGAAAACCTCGCGGTAAAAAGACATCTCAGTTGGATTTGGATGCTGGTTCTGCTACACCTGCAGACGACGACACAAGGTCCACTATGTCTGGCATCACAGGCATTATGCCCCCAAACTCGGCAGCAGCTATCAGGTCGTTTAGCGGTACTCTCCGGAGCACTTCCGCCACTCGATCCATGTTAAATGCTCTTGGCATATCCACATCCGCTTCTTCAACACCACCGTCGCTTGTCACCCAGCCCGACAAGCCCAGGCGACCGCGAGGGCACGCACACTCTATCTCAGGGCCCCCACTTCCTTTCTTCCAACCTCCTCTTACCTCCCCCGCAAGCGTCTCCTTCTCCCCAGCATCTCTACCCTTTGGCCTGCCTCAGGCAGGCACCGCGGCGCCGCCTGACGACCTTACCCCGAGTGCGACACGCGATCCGTCTATTCACTCCTCCATTTCCAGCACACCGCATAAATCAGCTATATCACCAACACATCTACTTGCAATCTTCAATGCCACCCGCGTGATGACCTCTGATCCTGGCAGCATCCTCCTCGGGCGGGGGGAGGGAGCTAGTCCCCTTGTGAAGCGCCTTGCTATGGATTTGGTGAGGAATGCGCGAGAAGACGGTTTAATCGTTAGCGTAGCGCGGACTCCCGCCAAGCAGGCCGGAACACCTGCACGACCACGACCCAGCGGGGTCGAACCACTTAGTTTGCTCGTCTCGCCTCCTCCCGCGAGCGACAAACCTGTCGCAACGAACCATGCCACTCATCCGGCAGATGAGGCAGCCGCCATCCTGAGGAATGCCCTGGCCGCATCGAGCAAAGGCCTGAGAGGGGCCATGACAGGGCTGACAGCTTCTGGAAGCAATCCTAGAACTCAGCGAGTCGTATCATCCACGGAAGGGCTACCCCAGATACCACAGCTTCAGGTAGCTGTTGTTCAGCCTCCACGCCCGGGAACCGTAGAGCTAGAAAATATCATCCCGGAAACTGCCAAGCCGCCCACCCTTTTCTTGGCCAATACAAGCAAGTCCTTTATCGCCTCGCCTTCCTTCCGGCCATCGTTATCGAGGGTCTCGGCGACTCGCTTTGCCCGGGTCAGCGAGGCTCTCACGGATCGTTATGGTTTTATTTACGATATCAGCAAGCATGATCTGAACCTCTTGCGGAGTGCTGAGACTGCGGGCAACGCTGCGCCTGCGACGATGACCGGGGTGAAGATCAGGGATGAGTCTGACGAAGAAGATGAGAGGGAAGAGAAATTTGATTTCCAGGGTGGAGACGACTTGCCCTCCGTTTCGAGCAGAATCCCGGAAGACGAAGAGGCACCTGACATCAGCCTCGTTTCGGAGGGCCTGCCAGTGGATGATGACGAGAACCTGCTTTCACCTTCCCTTTCCCGCGCACCGTCACTCCGGTCGCCGTCAAAACAGCGACTTTCTATCAGCACTCAGAACCCCTTCGGTCAAGCACACGCAAAGCCCATGATTGCTTCACAGGTCCTCACTGTGCCTGCGAATAACACACTTCCGACAAACAAGGACCAAGCGCCTCATGTCAGCACAGTGCGCCAACTGCTGGATTCACTCAAGGATATTCATGACCAACAGCAAGAGAAGCAGAAGACTGAATGGGACGCATTCCTGAAGAAACGAAAGGTCAAGTCCGTTAAAGGACCACCTGTGGGTCTCGGAAGCAATGAGGGTGTCAAGGAGACTTTCGGTGCCGCTGCTATTCTTGGGCTGGCGAAGGAGCCCACAGATGCGGATGAACTGCGAGGAGGAGAAGCATTCATCGGCATCGCCCAGATGGGTCTGCAAAAAGGCAACAAAGACGACTTCCGAGAGTTTGCCCGTTTGGTACGCAGAGGCGTGCCACTCGTCTATCGCCCGAAGGTTTGGATGGAATGTAGCGGTGCACTGGAGATGATGGAGCCTGGGCTCTTCCATGAACTGCTCAGTAGCCATGATGCCCAGACGAACATCAGCTTGGAGGAGATCGAGAAGGATGTGAGGAGGACGATGCCGTTGAACGTCTTCTTCGGTGGGGATGGTGTGGGCGTGGGGAAGCTGAGAAGGGTTCTGCAGGCATACAGCTGGTATGTTTAGAACTGACGGTTACGTAATGAGTGTCTAATGATTGTTTAGGCGCAATCCCGCGGTGGGCTACTGTCAGGGCATGAACCTCATTACCTCTTCGCTTCTACTTGTCTATGCCGATGAGGAAGAAGCCTTCTGGGTTCTAGCCTCGATCATCGAACGTCTCCTCCCTGCCGACTTCTTCTCACCTTCTCTTCTCGTCTCGCGGTCATGCCCGATGGTCCTCCTAGACTATGTGCATGACCTGATGCCAAAGCTGTACAATCATCTTGAAGAACTCGGTGTAGACCTGCCAGCGATTGCCTTCTCTTGGTTTTTGGCTCTCTTTACAGACTGTCTTCCCGTCGAGGTGCGTGGCCTGACATCCTCCGCATGACATATACTTACCTCTCGCAGACCCTCTTCCGCGTATGGGATGTCTTCTTCATCGAAGGCATCGACGCCCTTTTCCGGGTGGCGATCGCCATCGTCCAAATGAACGAAGTGGACCTATTGGCATGTGACTCCCTGCCCAGCTTGTACACCCATCTGGAGAATATGACCGCCCGAGCTTGGCAGGCGGACAAGTTACTTAAGGTGTGTTTCTTTCCCTCGACGCCCGCCACGCGGAATAAGCTCCGTACTAATCGGCCTTCCCTAAATAGATGGAAGGTGACCTACGCGCACAGGTCACCCATTCCGCCATCATCAAGAAACGTGATGCACACGTCCGGGCGCTACAGGAGCTAATGCATGCCTAGCCGCTTGCCCTAAGGGTTTCAAACGCCTGCCAGCCGCGTAGAGAGATCTGTCCTTCAACCGATCTCAGTCTGCTTCCCGCACAGCATCTCATCTCGCAAGTCTGCACCCCGAGGTGATTCCAATCATGTATCGATACAGCATGTCCTTCAGCGTCTCAATCCCATCTGCGTATCTGGTGCCGCATTCGCTGTCCGCCACACCGCCTTCAGGCAAGACTTGAAGGTGGTCATCGTCATCGTTCCCTGGATCCGTCGCTTCCTTGTCCCAGCGATTCCCCGCTCCGGAAAGATGAACCACAATGGTTCAAGCGCGATAGATTGCTGGTAGATTCGGGGAGGCCGGAAGTAGGCTCGTATCATTGCTACGCAAATCGATTGTACTATCGACTAGGTCCGGGATGATACTATCCTCGGTGATCCGGAGGTAGTAGACATGCTCTTCGCGCTCTCTTGCAATCAGTGCCTCGTATTGAGCATATCATGTTCCGCGCTGTGGCATCAAGGAGGCAAAACGACAAGACAGTGCTCGTAGGCATCTTGAAGCTCCGGCACTAACTCTGCTACCTCGGCCAGACTCTGCGTTGTGCTGTGGATCGTCGCGCGTGATTAAGGGTATTGCCCCTCCTCTAATTCTCGAAGACCGGCGAATACACGCCTTCCGAACGTTGGACGCGCCTGCCAGCTCGTTTGCCGAGCGGTGTACCGCGCGCAGCCCATTGGCCGGTGCATCGCAATCGATATTGATCCGTCCGTCCGTTTCTTGTGACCCGCCCAAACCCTCCGATTTCAATCATCAATGCACTGTATCCCATTCGCGCGGCATCCATTGCATATATACATCATGCTCCGGCAGTGTGCGAACGCGGGGCACAGCTACGACGCGTCCCGCACACGCCCATTAGTCATTCAACCCAAGTGCAGATCCACGATTTCTCGAAAACACGGAAATCAGGAATTAGAAATGGTGGGCAGACCGAACAGCCTAGCCCAAAGTATTAAAACAGAACGGAAAAGAACGAAACGAAACAAGATTGTGCGGAAGGGAACAGCCTGAGAGCGTATTGTGGAACCTGTATTTTGCCTAGCGCACTTTTTCCCCAGTCGTCCCCTTTCCCTGTACAAAACGGGTATCTATAGCCTGACGTGGTATCAACTTGGGAAAGTCGGAGCGCGGCTCCATGCGAATGTGTGGAAAAGCACAATGAGGAGAGGTGGGTCGATGCATGCATCGTTCGGAGAAAGAGGATGATCATAAACATAAGGAGAGAACCGCAGGACCTGTATATCACCAACAGAGCGAATCTGGGGGATGCCTACCGCCCTCGGCCTGCCCAGACGTTGATGTTGTAGCTCGCGTTTGTGGACTGTCAGAAAGAGTGTATTGAGTAAAAGGTTGTTGGAGATGAGAGACGGGATGGACGCACGGCACTCTCCTGGATGATCTCGTTCAGGGTACGGATAGAACCGCGCACGATATCGGCATTCAACATCGCTGGATCTCCCATTTGGCGCGCAGCGAGTGCAGCGACGACTTCCTCTGCCACTCTGTGCTAGATCAGCTTGGTCCCCCATGTGGAGGGAAGGGCATACCGAGCTAGACGAGCGGCGCGTGGCTCGATCGCCTGAGGATGAGTGCTCGGAGTGGTAGGGAGGTCGGGCATGGGTTGCGTAGGTGGGGAAGGGGAGGTTGAAGAGGATGAGGATGAGGATGAGGATGAGGATGCCGGTGTCGATGATTCAGTGCTGGAACTCATTACGAAACTTGGTGGGAGGAAGCAAGAGTTGACGATGCTACGTTGTTGGATTGTTGGATGTCGATATTAGCTGGAAGAGGGATATTCGGCGCTAGCCAGCTAGACAAGCCAGCAGAGACGGAGGAGGAGAGAGGAAGGGCAAGAAATGGACCCTGTTTCATTCCGTGCTGACGAGGGGTGTATAAGGGAGTCTGGCAACAAAATTCTCATCACATGCTCTGCCCGCTGCCCTGGGCCTGCCTAGCCCCGAACACAGCGGTGGCGAGAGTCTCTCCTTGAATGGGGGCAGCAACCACTTGAGACACCGTTGGTTGTGGGGGAGAGACAGGGCGAGACCCAACTGCGCTGGATGCCGGCCGTACCATGCCGAAAGGAGAAGAGAATCGCCCGCGAGGGGAAATGAGGCGGAGTCCAGTTCAGGGCGGAATTGGTGCCGGGGGCAATACGTGCCACATGCCTGGTGGGTATGCAACTCCTGCAGGGGGGCTGCCCAGCCACCAGCCTGCTGGCTGCCCAAGTCATGGTGGGAGAGCTGCGCCTGTGGTGGAGCGTGGTTCTGGATTGCTTGCCAAGCTGCTGTCGTCCTCATGCTCTGGCTTGTCAATGGGCAGGACATGTTTGTGCCTGCCCCATACCACATTCTCTCAGCTTGTTGTGGCCACTTCTTGTTCTGACTGTCTTGCATTGTGTGCATGGGCTTCTTGCTCAAGGGCTGCAGCCTGCTGTTGGAGCTCATCCATGGTCATTGCATGAAAATGACAAGAGCCTGCCACAAGTGCATTGCATAGCTGCATGAGAGACATGAGCCTGCTGATGCTTGAAGGATTCTTGATGCCTCCCACAAGCAGCCAGCCTTCCAAGGTGACATGATAATGATCCTCAATATCTTTCAAGAATTGTGCATATGACATGTGTATATTGGGCATTCCCGTCATCCTTCCTAGCAGAATGTGAGACAGCAGCTTGCAGACATGCATATTGAGTACTCATGAAGGCATTTGTCTAGCATTGTCCAGATGGCAGACTTGTGCTCATTGACACAACTCTGCATGTTTGTGGCTGCTTCTTGAGCATGCCTGCCCCCACTCATGACCCAAGCTTCAAGTGCAAGAACAAGTTCTTTGATAGGAATCTTCAGCACATCCTTGAAAAATGAGCGGCAAGCTTTGTCACCGAACCATTGTGGCTTCGCATAGTCTTTTACTGAGCCTCGGAGCATGAAGCTGCAGGCATGACCACCCATCCGAATGTTAAAATTCATTGCCTGCTCAATGTGTGTCAGCAATGACATTGCCAGCAAGATGCTGGTGCTCACTTCATGCTGCAAGTCATCCTGCAGCTTGAGGGTATCTGTGAGACTTGCCTTTGGCGCAGCTTGCATGCATATATGCTTGTTTTGTCACAGAGCTAGCACTGCATGACAAGCCTCCTTGAGTGCTGCTGGATTCACCTCCAGCTCAGTCTGTTTCATGATGACAGCCTTGTGGCATGATGGGTTGATGGGCAAGAACTGCTTGCCTGCTCAAATGTAAGTGACCAGGTCAAGGATTGAGAACAGATTTGCACACCTTCCAGTCTATACTGCTCAGCAAGCAAGTGCCTTGCAGCATTTGTTGCACTCACACCCTCATTCTTCTTCTCGAAGCATTGAACTCCATAAGCCTTGTGGATCAAGTGTTTCTTCATGCTGAGCTTGTCAGTGAGTCCATCAAGCTCCTTGGATGTTGCAAGCTCAATTTCCTGCATTCTCTTGCAAGCTATTGCATGCTTCCTATGTGTCTCAAGTGTCTTGGTGCCTCAGTGCAACCACACAATTACTGCACTGCTTGAACAAGGCATGGGATTTGGTCCAAGTGGGGTGTGTTGAGGGGCAAGAGGTGGGATCTAACCGACTGGCCCCATTTGAGATACTAGTCATGCTCACTCATGCCGGTCACATGAGACAACACACTTGAGATTACAGGCAACAACATGACATTACGCGCTGAAGGCATGCATGAGCAAAAGTACAAATGTATGTTCTAGCTGTAATTATTTTTCATGAAACATTTCCCTCCACATCCTGCCCATGTTTCAAGACACAAATATAGCAGCTTGTCACTGTCGACAGCACACATTAACCAAGAATAAGGTCAAGCAGTGGGATCAAGCACAGGAAGTGCAAGCTTTGGGGCACAGGGTGAGATGAGCAGCAAGGAAATGCTGCAAGACCAATGGTGTTGACTTTGGCTGCTTGAGACTGAGAAAAAGCGAGAAACAAGGAACCAGAAACCAGAAAGGAGAAAGGAGAAAAAAGTATGCCTGCTCTCCCGCCCATGCTAGCAAGGGCTCAACCGTCCCTGTCATCGAGCTGGATGTCCTTCATCCTGTCCAGCGCTGGTTCTGGAATGGGTGCTTGAGCAGGTGGTCCACATTCCTGTGGAAGTAGTGGGCCAGGTCCCATGCAAAGATGCATGAGCACTTGTCAAAAATCAGGTTGCAAGTGGCTTGATCCACATGATATATCATGACCCAGTTATTGATGCACCAGCACACATTGTCCGGAGCTTGAGGCACAACCTGCTTGTCAATGTCCTTGAACAGATTGTGCAGCAAGGTCATACGAGAAGTTATCATGACCGGCGGGGGTGTGGTTGAGTTGAACATGGGAGAGCAGAGGCAAGTGCAGGGACAAGCAGGGGTCACAACCATCATGGGTAGGTTGGCAGAGGGTGTGGAGGGTACCTTGGATGCAGGAAGGGCAGGAGGCACCTCATACAATGTTGCACAGGCAGCTGAGCTGTTGCCAAAGAGAAGAGTACCTGTGGAGGGTGTACACAAGAAGGGTGTGCCATGAGAGGGGGTAGCAGTCATGCCACAGCTGGCCGTGGGCATGCCAGCATAGCCAGTGCTAGGGCCAGCACCATGCCCACCCTGCCCACTGTCTGTCATGCCATTTGCGAGGCCCAGATAACTAGCACTCACCATACCCATCCCATTCAGCAGGTTGAAGTACTGCCATGGCTCAAAGTTTGGGAGGGGTGTGTAAGTCACATTCAATTTGTTTGTGCCTTGCTGGCATTGGGCTTGCATATATCTGTCAATGTCGTGCATGAGGCTCATCACCACAACATTGTGAAATATGTTCATGAGCCTGACTGCAAGCTGATTGTAGCACTCAGGCCAGAGATTGCAAGACGCCCAGAACTGGGTCACAGGCAGGTGGTTTGGGCTGTTGTCGAGGTGAGAAGTGATGAGCAGCATGGCTGAGCTGCCCAAGATGTGATCACCTGCCGTGAGCTAGCAAGCAGGTTAGCAAGATCTTTGCGCATATAGTCAAGTTTCATGCATATAATCATACAAGTTTGGCATGAACTCCTCCTGATACACGTTGCACCAGAGGCGCCCCTTGAGACCCTGTGTGAACAGGTGGATCATGTGACTCGCAAGATCAAGGCCGTCAATTGTCATGTTCCTGATGCACCTTGGCACAGTCACGGCAGCAGCATGGTCATGGTCCCAACTTGCTTGCACAGCCTTGTTCCAAGATCCGAGGCCCCAAGGGTTCAAGGCAAGGTGAGGCTGGATGTATGGCATGCCCATGCAACCAGGGCAAGGGTTGGCAAGACTGTTGAAGCTGACAATGCACGGTACTACTGCTGTGCCACCCAGCAGCATGTACTGCAATGCACTTTCAGTCGATGTGTTGTTGGTTCCAGGTGGACCAGATGGTGCAGGAGTCAATGGGGCTTGCACTCCAGCATGATGCTGGGATGCAAGCAAGCCACCCTGCATGCCATCAACTAGAACAAGCATTAGCAACAAGATACATGTGTCTTGCTCAAGGGCAAGGAGCAAGCAGGCTTACAAGACATCTGTATGTTCCTTCCTTGTTCTTGTATGTGAGCAAGAGGCAGGAGAGGGCAAGGGAGAGAGGTGAGACAGCAAGGAGTGTGAGAGGTGGTGGGGGGAAAGAGAGATGTGAGGTGAGAGGGGTGGGGGCAAGGGGTGAGATATATGTGGACAAGGCTGCCCATCCCGGAGGCAAATGCATAATGGTGCATGGGCCACCTTCTTCTTGCTTTCTTGCCTTCCTCAACAGAAACATGAAATCTGGCTCAATACTTGCTTGAGAAAAATATTCTAGACTATTTTGAGAAAGCAGAATTCAAGAATTCTGGATGCAGCATGATAAATGCAACACAAGACTCTGTGAACAACCCAAAGGTTGCAAGCACAGCAGACATGCATATGAAACGTGCAGCAAATACATGTCAGACATGTTATGAGCAATTATTGTTCTCAAAATTAAATTTGAAAAATGTACATTATAGCTAGTAGTATCTAGAGCAAGAATCAAGAGCAATTTCTCAGTTTGAAGGCTTGATGCATAAGAAATCCAGCTCAAGAGGCTAGCTGTGCTGTCAGGAAAATGCTCATTGTGAGCCATTTGCATGCATGCCAGAGAGTCACGGCCATGGAATCATGCCTCTTGCATTCCAGCACGGCCGGCTCCTGCAAGTCAGTTCATGTATTGGTCATGAATTTGCAAGAATAACAATATCATGATTGCTAGCTACGAGATGACAGGCTTTTCCATGAGTGAGAATGTTTCAAGCAACTCATCCACCTCAAGCACCTGCTCATCATCTAGCACCTGGTCCTGAAGCCCATCTGCTGTGAGCTGCTTGCATTCCAGCTCACCCTCCACCTCAGACTTCATGAAATCTTGAATCTTGTTGGGACCATTGCTTGGATCTGTGCTTTGCATGATGTTGTCTCAAGCAGGGAAGGGCGAGGCAACCTGGGCATGCCTTCCCACAGTCAATGTACCACTAAACCCATTCAAGGTCGAGATGCACTGCAGCAAGTGTTGAATCCATGCATTCACATGTAGCTGCTTTGTGAGTACCATGCTCATCTTGGCAGCTAGCAAAAGGAACCCTTCCTGCTCAACCTGCTTGACCCTTGCAAACATGGTGTTTGGCTTGTGGTGCATGGCAGACCACACATGCTTGATCTTGACATTGAGCTGCTTGATCTCCCTGTTTGTGCAGTGCAGGAGAAGCCACTTGACAGTTGCTTGCCACACTCACGGTTTAGACCAAGGTTTCTTGAGGATGTTGTTCCTTGAGTATCACAGAAGCATGAAGTCAGTGAGAAACGAGTACTCAAGGATGCACTGGAAAGTCAGCATTGGGTGAGACAGCTGATGAGCTTGCTTGTTATAGCATTTTAGCACAGATTGGATTGCCACACTATGCAATTTGAGTGCTTTCACAATGGCAGCACACCTCTTGTACCCTGCTTGAATCTCATACCCAGCAAGTATCAAGGTGGAGAAGCTTGCATACCCATTCCTCATAAATTTCTCTTTTCCATCTCAAAGAGCCTCTGGACTATGAGACTCTCCAGCTCATCTAGCGCATCATTGTAGGCCTGGTTGGCCAGATCCACCTCCGTGTGCTGCCATTCCTCACAGTTTGGAGTCCAGTGAGCAGTGTCAAGTATTGTTTCATATTGACAGATGGGGGCTTCGAGCCTCTCTTCAGCCTTGATTGCGGCCAGATGATCACACTCAAGCATTTGCCAGCGCACCTGCTCAGACAGCAAGTGCCAAGTCTCCAGGGTGCTTGCAACAAATTGCCAGTACCCATCGTTGCATAACTTGCCCCTGCAACATGCATCAAGCATTGCAAAACAGTCACAAGTTGACACTTGTACCTTGTCACCTGCGAGCTTTTCAAGGTTTCAAGATACTTGAAGGCAACAACATTGTGTTCAGGCTTGTGCTGCAGGTTCTGGAAGTATTTGCACTCCTCTTGCACAAAATTTGGGAAGTCATGGTCTGCAATTCCAAGCTCTTGCTGCAGCTTGCCAAGTGCAGTCGCATAAGTGTCTAGTGTCATGAGCGCTTGCCAATAGTTGCCTAAAAGCCAGTCTTCTGTACTACATGAGGATGATAAGCTCAGAAAGGAGCTTATGCACATACCCAAGCCTGCACAGTGATCCTCATCCCATTGCAACCAGAACACATGCAGTGTGGCATGCTGGTGATATTCAGAGGCATGCTGGAAGAGGCTCACAGTCAAGTTCTGCTTTGAAGAAATCCACTCATTTGTCTCAAAGTCTTCCAGTCCAGCGGTTGTGATGAAGCGTGGGTGAAAGTCGAGCTGGCACTTGTGGTTATGTGCATACCCATGAAAAGCACCTATGAACAAATGCAAATTCTTGTGTCGTGCTTGCTCGCCCAACTTGCTTCACTCAATTGTTTTTGTGTGGTTGCATCCTACATCATAGCCCATTGCGAGACCAGGACCATAGACATCCATGAGCTTTTCTAGACATGTGAGTGAGTATTTTGCCCTAGGCTCTCATTCAGCCCATAATGCTCACTTGACACAACAACATGACCTACCTCTCACCAGACTTGATCATGTCTGCCAACAGCAAGACAAAACTGTGGCGACACAAGCAAAGAAAGTTGCTGCACATGTGAAGAGCCTCGCACCAGTGCTTGCCTTCATGCTGAGCATGGGTTGTCACCCAGCAAGTAGTGCAGTCTGTGGCTGGCTTGGCACAAGAATCATGCGGTCCTTCATGGCAGGTCTTATTCTAGAAATGCTATTAGTGAATACAATACATTGAGATGGCGCATACTACATACCTTGGGACTGCCAACTGGCTTTTCCATCTTGAATCGGTCTACATCTTCTTGAGATACAAGATAGTCGCTTGCAAATTGCCGCTGATCTTGATGACCTGCGCCTGTGAAGCACTTACTCAAATTATTATTGTCAACGGAAAACAACTTCGAGTGAGGCAAGGTAGGCTCATTCTCGACCTACAAAGTGGCATGAAGCAAGCAGCTCAGGCCTGGTTTTGTAACACGCTTACTCAATACTTGCAGGCAGGGCACGAATTGCGTAATCTCCAGCCTTGGCCAGCCTGGCTGAATGTGCACTTTACCTGGTCCTTGATTGCACGTTGGACTTGAAGCCATACATCATAGGCACTGCTTACGAGAATGTGCAGATGCTGCCAGTAGGGTGACTGCATGAAACCGATGGTGTTAGCAAAGCTGTAAGAGGCAAGATAAGAAGTACGCTTACATCATGCAGATCGCACAAGATCCTTGAGAACGCCTCATGAGAGATGTATGCTCACACCCTGCAATGGTGCAGGACTTGCAGCACATGCAAGGATATCACCCATCGCAGCTTGTTGGGCATGCAAGGTAGATAGCCTCACCTGACGATGTGGCCAAGCATATTCTCGTTGTTGAGTGTGGCCAAGAATGTCTTGGTCTCGATGCCTGTGCAGATTCTTGGTCAGCACAAGAACTGCGAGAAGGACGGGACACTAAGCTTGCGAGCTCACCATGCCATCCGACCACACGGAATGTGACAGTGCTCATCTTGTGCAGGCTGGTGTTGCCATGGTCAGATGCAGACAAAGGCTCATGTTGCCATCGGAGGTATGCCTCGACTAAAGCCAGCATCTCAGACGTCCAGCGGGCATGCTGGGTAGCGAGCCATTGAGCATGAGCTCCATGCCCAGTCTTGTGCCTGGGATTCTGAGACCTGTAACTTGTGTTAATCATGTGATGCTAGTGGGCTTGACCATGAGGACGCACCAGTATTTCTGCAATAGCATGTTCACAGCAAGCTCCTCGTCCCTTCCCTTGCCCAGCTCATCACCATCAGACTCCCAATAATCCTCCAAGTTCTCATCCCCATCCCTGCCCATGTCATCTTGTAGCATGTACAATTTGTGCTCCTCTGGAATCACTGCCGTGTTGCCAGCGAATTGGCTCGAAACAAAAGTGAGCACTTGGTCCTCCTCGCTTGCACCTTGAGTTTTGGCTGTATCTTGACAAGGGAGATGCAAGCAGCAAAGCTGTATGAGCTCCGAATGAAGTCAAGCGGTGTGAAGAGGGCGTGAGACTTCATCATGATCCAACATGCCAGAATGGTTGGCTTGAGCTCAAGCAATTCGAGCCTCCTTGAGATGTGAGAGTGTTTGCCCACAACCTCGCTTTGTGTGCAATGAGTGACGAGAGTCAAAGACTGCAGAGACATGCACAGCACGTGATGTACTGCTTGCCAACTGGCAAGATAGTGGCACCCCAGCAAGCGATGGCAGAGGTGAGACACCGTCGACTGGACAGACGCCGAACCAGGCCGAAGCGGCGAACGGGCAGGAAGAGCGACCACCTGCATACGGAGCGGCGTGAGCGACTGAGGGACTGATATTGCGTTTCTATCCTTTACATCTTCGCACGTTTGTGGGAATAGATTCCAGAGCTTCCTTTCCAGATCTATCCCACCGACCTAGAGGGATTGGGTCCTTGGCCATTCACATCTCGACGGTTCTCATCGCGTCCAGCCTCCCGGGGAGCAAAACCACTGATGCAATCACCTTCCTTTTCAAATGCCCGACGTCAAATCGAGGTTCTCGATCGACATCTGCTGGGCTGCCACCATGATCTTGAACTTGGATATCTGGTATCATATAATCAACATATATGCTGTACATGAGAACCCTCTCCCAGTGGAGTCACTGCTCTTGCTTCGGTGACTGTGGATGTTCGGCACGCCTTGTCAGAGAAGACAACCGTCTGAGATGCGTGCCACAAGTTGGTGACTCTGCGTGGGCTTCCCGATCGAATTCTTCTACTGCTTCTTGGAGGCGGAAAGCCATTCTTCGGTCCTGATTCGGGAGAGTTACTTTAGTTCGCCACTTGGCACTTGAGAAGAAAGTGTACTAGCCATTGAGAGCGTCGCTATTCTATGCAGCACGTCAACTGCAGCTCTGACTTGTTCGTTAATGTCTAAGTTTGCCCCAGGTTCTTGCTTCGCTAACAAAGCCACTCGCACTTCCTCTGCCGCTCTACCACATGTTCACATTAGCCTCATGCTCGGGCGGAGGGCGAGAAGACCTACTGCCTCGCAAGCGTGTAGCCCTGTTCCATCGCCGCATGGTTCCGTGCGGAACCGAGTTCGAGTTTCTCTTCCCTCAGGGTGCGCAGTGCAAGCTCGGCCATCTTATACGCCCGGACCCCGAGGGGGAGCTCCGACGGCACATGATACTCGTGCGGTTTGTCAAGGATGCTCGCGTTTTCGACATTAATGCTGGCCATACTGATGATAATCCCGGTTCGGTGGGGAAGAAACAGATGTGGGGTAAGGGTCTTCTTGGTGGCTTGACACCGGGGCGGGGACTAGCGAGATGGGATAATATACTCAACTACACGTGACGTCACGCGCCCACGGAAACCATATGCGAACAATCATATTGAAGTTACATGATACAATGCGGGCCGGAACAAGAAAGTACACGCCCGACAATGACACGGAAGCTGTACGACAGGCCAATGGCCAGGCTTCGAACTGTCCCAAATCTGAAATATGTATACGCAGAGGCGAGGTCGGCCCGAGAGTCCGTGCGATATGACGAAAGAAACATAATAGCCTGGCTATTATCGGCCCGACGAGTCAACGCGGGTACCGGAGGTGTTGCTCGGAGTTGCGGGCCTGCCCGCACGCGTCTTCGGCTTGCCGCACGCTGAGAAGGCCATCGGTACAGGGTCCTCAAGACCCAAACCCCGAAGGGTAACGCCTTTATGTGAAGGGGCCAGACTGCTTCGCGGAGTTGTTGTCGTCGGAGTTGAGGCGTTGAAGGAGGTATCGGCCGTGAGTGAAGGGTTGTCAAAGGACGCGGCTCCACGTGACGACAGGGTATCGAAGTGAGTCATTGAGTCCCTGACCTTCGGGGGCGCCGCTCCAGCCGGGAGGGAGTGGAATGGGCCGTGCTCTCCATCCCTCACCCGCTGTGGGGGCTGAGGAGCGTCCGTCAGGATCGGGTACCCAAATGTGAAGCGCTTTATGCCACCGGATCGATGCGGCTCCTCTTTCCTCTCTGCGCTTGGGCCCAGGTCGATTGGTGACGCCATCTCCTCTGATCCCCTGCTATTCCGCCAGGCGGTCGCCGGTGGCGGCTGGAGTTCATCCTCTAGGTCGGGACTGTACGGCTGTTTTGACCAGGCACTGGGTGGAGACCCGGTCCCTGCATTGAATGACCTGCGGAGCGGGGAGGGAACTGGCGAGTCCAGCAAGTCGGTACGGCTTCCTGGGAGGCTGCCACTCGCGATGATCCTATGGTGACTCACAAATGGGACTGGGCGGCGCCGTGGCGGGGTGGAGGGAGCGGGCGGAGCGGGGATGGCGGTGTAGGAAGGGGTACCAGGTCTAGAGGAAGTTGGCGGTAGGTCGGAAAGGGCGTCATGGTATACCGAATTTGTGCTAATGGTGCTGATGGGCCTGGCACCATTCTGCGGTGTACTCAGGCTCGTGGGCTGGCGTGGATGCGGTTGGTTGGGCAAAGGTGGTAATGGCGGCGGCTGCGGGAAGGAATGTGCATTGCCACCCATCTCGAGCCAGCTCTTGAGGCTCGTCCCGCCCTCTGTGCGGATCTCTGACATCTCCGGAGGCGCAAACTCGGCCTCACTTTCGGCTGTCGGTCCCACTTCGGTCATACTCGCATGGCCCTCCTGGCTAGAAGTAGAAGGCCCTCCGCCACCGATCAGCCCCATGCGCATAAACCAGCTCAACCGTCCCATTTTTGGAGAAGGGCTGCGAGTGACCCGCCGTGCCACAAGCAGTTCCGCAGTTTCATGCTCACCATCACCTGGAGACTCGGGACGGGATGCCATCGACAGGGGGAGGGTTAACCTGGATTGATTTGCGGAATGGACCGCGGAGGGTGTTGAGAACGAGCCGGAGTCGCGCACCGCGGCGAACGGTGGCACAACCGGCGAGAGAAAGGATGGCTCCCGCACCGTGGGGAGCGGTACAACACGGCCGCCGCCTCCCGCAGCGGGAGGAGAGTGGAAAGGTGGCGGCGAGAGGGGCGGTGAATTATGTCCGACAAGCGGCGTCTCTTCTTCCAACAAACCATCCTCCGCCGCGGTGCGGGAGACTTTTCGGGCAATGCCGATACGCGAGGATCCCGTTCCCCTAGAGCGCCCGCTACCACCACTCCCGGAGCCAGCACTTCCCCTACTGCCGTAAGTGCCTGTGATGAGGGCTAGGGTGCGCCCTGCCCAGCTCGACACGCTTCGCCTTTGTTGTGCATTCTCCCGAGCCGCTCTTTGTTCCGGTGTCCAGAGGTCAAACACTGTCCCTTGGACGTTCACCCGCCCATCGCTGGGTCCTCCGCGCCCGAAGAACATGCTCTGGTGGACGCTGTGACTCCGCTCCGCAGGTATCCGCTGCTGAGGGACAAGCGAGCGGTTACGACGCTGCCTCCAGCGGAAGAGACAAATGAGGATGAGCGCAATTAGGAGGAGGGCGAAAAATAAGCCGATGGCTAAAGCGATGATATTGCGGGTCGGAAAACTGGTGGAACCGGCAGCGATGGCGGTTGGGGTGGAGGAGGAGGCGGAAGCGGTTGAGATCACGCTTTGGGAGCTTTGCGAGATATGGCTGAGAGATGAGACGGAGGCCGCACTTGCCGTGCTTTCTGTTGACTGTGCTATCGCGGAGGTGCGGCTGATCGAGGACACGGAAGCGACACTGGCGGCACTTGCGAGGGAGGTCAAACTTGCTGCACTTGCAGTTGAGCTTGTACTTTCTCTTGATACGACGCTCGCTGTGCTCTCAACACTTCTTGTGCTGCTTCTGCTCTCTCTTCTGCTCGAAAGACTTGCGATTATAGCACTCGTCATGCTCACGCTGGCTACGCTCTGAGCGCTCGCGGTCGATTGGGTGCTCTCAGTACTGGCTGTGCTTTGCATACTCACGGAGCTCGACACTTCCGAGAAGAAGCTCTCGACGCTCTGACTGGCCTGCTCGGCGATAGACAGCTGGGAGAATGCGGAGGTGATCTCCTCGGCGAGGGAAGTGGAACGGACCGAGGCCTCAGAGAAGGTGGACAAGAATGCCGGATCGGTCGTCTCCGGCAAAGCGGTCACTGCTGCGGAAGCCTGGCTCGCTACGCTAGCAAGAATAGACGCGGGGTCCGTCGGTGCTGCAGCTGCGTTGTCTGCAGGGGATGTCGGCCCACCATAGACGTACACGCCATCTGTCCCCAACGGGATCTGTCCAACAACGGTGAGCTCAACAACCCTAGCGACCGGACGATAGTGCGCACCGACGGCCCATAGTATGTTTGCGGGAGCAGAACGACCGTATACTGTCTCTCCCCATTCGCTGCTGTCGAATAAGCAGAGTAGGATAGGTAGTCAGGTAGCGGTTGGTCCGTCTCGCTTCCCTGTCGCTTCTCCCATAGACGTGTCATCTTGTTCAAGATATTTAAAGATCTGCGAAAATACAAAGTAAGTGATTGCCCAGCAAGTCGTTGTCGTAATCGTAGTGGTGTGGAGTCGTGGTGTTGGGATGTTGGTCAAGAAGCGGACTCGCCGCCTGACCATTGTCCAATCAGCTGCGGCCAACATTGCACATTCCAGGGACTTGCCTTATAAACTGTGCCTGTCAGCGTGCTGTCAAAGAAGTTCGTTAGTAAAGATCGTCAGTATTCTATCTTTTGATTTGCGGGATTATTGGTTTGGAGGTTTGTGCGCTGTGCAGAAGAGGAGAGGAGAGGGGGATGATGGTGGGAGTGGACGAAACCACCAAGAGAGGTTTAAACATGCGCCCGCTTTGTCGGACTCGGACGCGGCTCCTTTTTATTCGTCACGTGCGAGCATTCCATGATGTTGTTGCTCCCGCCCTGCTTCCGCAAGCTGATTCTCCGACTTCTGCAGCGCCACATGAGCCTGAAGGGCGGAGGCAGCACGTCCCTCCGGACTGGTTGCGAGGGGTCAGGGTAGGACTGGTATTTCAGACTGGATTATAATATGCACAACATGAGAGGTATGATTATGAGGTATCCTGATGGATGGGTATGGAGGCGCGGGATTATGATACGGCCTGACAACGGGGGCTTCCCTGTCATCTCCCCTTGAGAGACCGGGAAAGGGCGTCGTCTTGTACCCGCCTCCGGGGTGCGTGCCTGCTTCTGAGGATGTTGGGATGAAAGATGTGGTTGAACATCTCGAGACGGGGGGCACGACCCTTGTGTTATGTTCGCAGTGTCTCAGTCTTCGTTGCGAGGTCCCGTGCTTGTCGTAAGGCAGGAAGCCTCGTTGCAGGTGACTATTGAAATTGGCTTATGGCTTCCGATGCTGGCGTTACTGGGATACCCATACCATATCAGATTGATTGTTCATACAGAACCTAGACCACATACCGTGGCCTTCTCACAGCTCTTCAACACCAGTGTTCATCCAACCAAGTCCATCCGAATCTCACGCTTCTGCATCCTCCACGCCCCTAGCCGCAAGCGCACCTACAGCAGCTAACAACACCTCCTTTACGAGCTCGTCCTCCTCTCTGAGGGGTACAAGCCAATCGAGCACCCTGCGTGCCGCTCTTATGCAGTTCTCGAACTCCCGCGTAGCCTCTATTATCCCCGCTAGGCGGGAGAGGGTGTTGCTCTGTGCTGCTGTGTCGGCCGAGTGGACTGATCGTGGTCCTCCCGCGCTCCCTTGGGCGGAAGAGGAGGTAGAAGCTTCGCCTGGATTAACGAAGTCGGCATAGTGTGGCCTGTGAGGTCGAGGTGGTCGCATGAAGTTGTCTTCCAGCGTGCCCTTCACAAGCACAGTGATGTCATCGAGTGACTGCTGGGCGTACTCAAGCTCGAGTGTTACAAATTCCTTTACGCCCTGTACAAACTCCCGATGACGGCAGTCGATCTCTTTCTGCACCGCGCGTTCGATGCGTTCCCATGCCGGTGATGGGTAAGCAGAGCTACTGAATGCCTGCGCAATCTCCTTTGCGAGCGCGTCGATTGGCAACCGGTAGGCGAGGATGGCGCATGGCGGCACGTGCAGCGTAGCGATGGCAAGCCTTGCGCCAGCGTGGCCAATCTCTTCTTCTGTATGCACACCAGGGTGGGCAGGGTCGCCCGCGCTTATCCCTACAGGAGCGACGATTCGCACCCCCTTCTGGGGACTGTTGAACCATATGAGGTTGTCCAACGTTCGGGACTCGCCCGGGTGGAAGAAATTAGCGGGAAGGGCGGGGATGAGCCGTTCGACAGGTACGCGGGATACGATTGCGCTGGGTGGAATATGGCCGAATACGAGAACTTGCTGGAACACGCTAGCCCAGCGTTCTTCGGCAGAGAGCTCGTCCACGCTCAGTGCTGGCGATTTGCCTGTTCGCAGCAGGTCGAGGGCGTACCATTTCCTCTCTCTCTGCGCACCGGGAGGGGCGGAATTGACGGAAATGACTGAGAGGTGGACATCCGAGTACCCGCGCTCGGCAAGCGCCGAGGCATGCCACAGCGCTAGGAGCCAGCTCGCGCTTGCGTCCACCCACGGACTCTTCCCTCTTCTTCCTCCCGCATCTTTCAGCGCCCTCCCCCGCACGTGAGCCCGCACGACCTCGTCCTCCAGCCCAGGCTCTGTTTCCTGCGCGTCGATCTCGTCCGGCCAGAGATTGGCAAACCGGGGTGCTACAAACCCCCTCGCAGGGTCGTATGGTACCTGAGAGAGAGCATGATCGACCAGAAAGAGGTGTTTGTGTCCTGCGAGCCGTGATGGGAGGTCGTACCTCGCCATCCAGAGATTCGGCATGCGTGCGTCGCAGAATATCCAATGCATGCCTGAGAGGAGTCGAGATGTGTCAGGGTATTAGGTATTAGGTTTGGTACGTTGCCAAGTTGAAACCAAGTGGAATGTATCGGTCCAGCAAGAGAGTGACCAAGTGGTTGGTGAGTGTAAAGATGTGGATAGGAGATCGCTACGTGTGTGTCGGAGAGTGTGCTGAATATGAGTGTTGGACAGCCTCAAGCACTAGCCTCTCACGGACATTGTTGAATGGGTTAGCGCCTGATAGAAGCTGTCACCGAGATGGAGGAGATGAACGTGGAAGGAGAGAGAGGAGTGAGCGTGGTTGACCGGGGCTGACCGGTGTGATGGGATGCTTAAACGGGGGTAAGAGGGGTAGGGGGGAGGGCAGGGACAGGTGAGGGGGACCGCACGCTCGGGCCGGGAGAAAGAGCCGCCGTTTGCATAAGAAACGTTGAAGGGAGAATTACGAGGAATATTACCCAATAGGGCCTATTAAGGGGGGCTGAACTGAACCCACTTCGAAGCACACTTCCCATAATATCTCATCTCCGAGTAGATGCGGTGCCGAACCACCACACCCATAACGCACATAAGGGGTCCCGCTCTTTTGCTGACTTGAATCACACGTGGAGTAGTCCGCTATCCCTATTTCAGTCCCTGGATTCCCTCTCTAACAAGAGATAGAACGCACCCCTCAACCTATCACCAAGCCTCGTAACTACTTTCATCGCACACGAGTACACCTCTCCACCAGCATATATCTCGCTCTCCACCTCCAAATCTTCCCATCAAGACCCAAACGCGCAGCTCGGCATATCCTCCCGTAGACCTATTCCCAGTCCGGCAAGCCTTGTGGCCGCGGCGATTGAGACACGCGCCGCGCCCTCTCCTCTTTAGCGCGTCACTGCGTTCAATGGGGAAAGTCTAGGACCCCTACGATGGAATGCCGCATCCTGCTGCCGTGCGTGTGCGAAGACAACGGACGTCCAGGGCCCTCTTTCGCACGCGTCCCGGCTCCGCCCGCCACACCTTACGCGTATTTACGTGCAAATGGGGGTACATCTTCATTTCCAGTCAGACACGGGTCGGTGGCATTACAAGACGCACAAGTACTGTCTCCCATCTATCTCAATCGATCAGGTTGACATACGCGCAATTCGATCCAGCTGGTCGTACGGCCGCAGCCGCAAGGTTAAAAGCAAAACGGCGCGAGACGGCTGCCACAGCGAGGCGGTTCCGTCGCTCAGGGTCTTTATCGATTCAATTCGCTGGAGGTTGCTTGGCAAAACGGTGCCTCCAAAATGGAAGCAATCGAAGAAGTGCATAATTATAGAGCGATCCCCTATCCCTGACCACTTGACCACGATGACCGTCTCTCCACGCGGCCGGCCGGCCCATCCCCTGTGAGCATTGACCAGAGAAGATAGACTGTCCCCCGCACCTGACCATCAATATTGACAAAGACGGTGTCCGTCCATCCCTGGTGACCCCAGACGAAGGCAGTCCAAGGAAGGCTGGGGAGTTGTCCGCCCCCTCTGGGGTAACGTGGAGGCCCCCTTTCAAGATTCAGGAAACCGGCAGAAGATCGACGTTCTTTGTGGGCCGATCCCTTTTAATCTCGAGATCCTCGGGATTCGCCACCTCACCTCCGGTCCTCCGTGCTCTGAATCCCGGCTACGGGGATGCTTCCTCTTCCCTCTTGGTCATGTGAGCTCGTGTTGACTTCTGATTGCTCTTAAACGGAGAACACAAACGGCGCCCAAACTTCAGACCGAGGAACAAGCGAGTATCCACTGGCGTTGAGAGAAAAGCATCACACGACCAGCCCAGAGGAACTTTGGAATTATGCAGGCATGGAGGCGGACCCTTGTAAACACAGGAGGAATACCAGAACATGTGAGCGTGCTGACCAGAACTAGTCCACACAGAGCGATCAGTCCGTGCACCCCTCAACGCTTGGTAACCTTGGCGGGCTTAACAGGTTTGACCGGGTTCGGCTGGTTGACCGACGCAATCCAAAGGGGAGTCTTCTCCAAAGCGATATGTTCAGCCTGGCCAGCGTTTCAGAATTACCCCCAGGGCACAGCTCCGGCCTCCCCGGCTCACCGAATCATTTTCTATGCCCAGATCGTCCTCCAGCTTTTCTTTATCATCCTTGCCGAGCGCGTCGGTCACCGCACTGAACAGCCTTGTCGGTCATCAGCATGCCGTCACTCCTAATCCAGGTGCCCAAGCGCCCACTCCTGGAATACTTTCTTCCTTGATTTCCACTCGTGCCGCCATTTGTTCCATTCCCCATCGATGGCTTCCATCTCCTCGCGAGTCGCCTTCGGACCCATCTTCTTCAGCGGCTCAATCTCTTCACGCAGTTTCTTGAGCTATTCCAGCCAGTGAGCTCATATATAGACAGACACCTGAGCATCATGTTTGTACCTCAGATTCAGCCTGTATAACTTGCTTGTCCAGCATATCGTCCGTCGGCTCCGCATTGAGCGCCGTCAGTTGCTTCTCGAGTAACTTGACTTGCTCCGCCAGTTCCTTCTGTTCCACCTTCAGTTTGTCCGTGTCCTCAGTCATTTCTTTCTGCCTCTCCGGAGATAAGGTCTCAAGTTCCTCTTGCTTAGTGACAAAGAGCGTGGTCTTGCCTAGGAGGCGCATACATTCAGCTCAAGCGACCAGTCCCAGTGATACACAGGTGTAGGTCGCACCAAAAACTTTCTGGGTCATCCTTCCTTCCTCCGCAAGCTGTGACAGTATCTTCTGTGCAGCCAGTTTCGTGACGGCGTTCTTCAGGTTTGAAGATACGTCGGCTAGCGGGTTCTTAGGTAAGACTGATGGCCAGCATATATGCAGCTCTCAAGACCGCATACTAGAGCTATAGGGTCTGTTCATCTGAAAAACCCCATGTAGCAAGCACATTGACACGGAAGCCTGAGGAGTATACCTTCTTCATGTAGCACAGAATGGCCTCCTCAGCTACACGGACCCGCCGTTTGTCCTCAGACCAGGGCAACATCATGGGATCACATACCGTCCTTTCCCTTCAGAGCTACTGTATCTTTATCTTTCTTAGGTGCCATGACTTATCGATGCGAAGCTAGTTTGATTCGTTCCAGAACCCGATGTCCGCTCGTAAAGGTAACGGTGTGATGGTTGTTATACTCAAGTCGCGTTCGTAGACGCGCCGGAGACGCTGGAAGCGCGTCTCCGCGTTGAAATGTCGGAACTTTTCCATAACCTTTCCCTTGCCGTCAGGCCTGCATTCGCCTGGAGCTGGAGAATAATCATCGACTCGACATACCATCACACGAACCTTTGCTGGTTAACTCACTTGGGCATAGCATATCAATATTATTTTTCATCATTGGTACGGACAGATAGCGCAAGATGCCTCCTAAGCAATCCCCGAAGCAGGGCTCGTCGTCCAAGGTCAAGGATGACAAGGTCTGCGATCCAGTCATGCCGCTTCTGATTTGAGCTAACATATTTGCAGACTTTTGGTATGAAGAATGTTCGATCAATCACTGGATATTGGGAATCGCATGATTGACTGGATGTGCAGAAAAACAAGTCTGCAAAGGTGCAGAAGCAGGTGCAGATCATGCAGCAGCAGGCAGCAATGGCGGGGAAGAATAAAGAAACGGTAGGTCTGGTTCTTGGGCTGTTTCCTTTAGCATGCTGACTTAGTTTCACAGCTTGCGAAAGAAAAGGAGAAGGAATTGCGAGCAAAGGCCAAGGCTGAAGAGGAGAAGAAGAAGAAAGAGGAGGCAGAGTTATTCAAGACTGTGCAAGTGGCTCAGAAGATACCATTTGGCGTCGATCCCAAAACCGTCCTTTGCATGTACTTCAAGACAGGACACTGCGACAAGGGGAACAAGTGCAAGTTCTCTCATGACCTGAACGTCGGTCGGAAAACGGAGAAACGAAACGTCTACTCTGATACGCGGGAGGAGAAGCTGAAGGATACGATGGATACGTGGGACGAGGAGAAGCTGCGAAATGTGATCTTGAGCAAGCACGGGAACCCGCGAACGACGACGGATATCGTGTGCAAATTTTTTATCGAGGCGATCGAGAAAGGCATGTTTGGCTGGTTCTGGGAGTGCCCGAACGGTGGTAGGTCGTCTTGTCTCGTGAATCGCTCTTCAGGGCTCATCGGCGCAGGCGAGAAATGCATGTACAAGCACGCGCTACCACCAGGGTTCGTGCTGAAATCACAGAAGAAAGCGGACGAATCGAAGAAAGACGAGATCTCGCTCGAAGATTTCCTCGAGGTGGAGCGACACAAGCTGGGGAAGAACCTGACCCCCGTGACGAGGGAGAGCTTCGATAAGTGGAAACAGACGAGGCAGGATAAGAAGATGGCGGAGGAGGAGGCGATGAGGGCCGCTAAGTCCGCGCAGGCGGCCGCGGGGAAGAGTAATGGCATGAGTGGAAGGGATCTGGTGAGCTTGTTTCCTTTGTCATCCATCGCCCCTTGGTCGTTGCGTTGGACATTCGCTTACTTCCATGTAGTTCACTTTCAACCCGGAATGGTTCCAAGAAGAAGAGGAGGAAGAAGCGGCCGGTGACGAAGAAGGGTGGGATATCGCTGCTTACCGCCGGCAAAGGGCGGAGGAGGACGAACGGGAAGAAGAGCGCAGGATCAGGGAGATGAACGAGGAGTTCCGGGATCTAGAGGTGGACGATGTCCACGATACAGGCGAGGGTGGGGATGACGGTGAAGAGGATGAGGGAACGGATGAGATAAGCGAAGACGGAGAGGATACATGAGGTACTTCTCGTTGCTCGTTGGAAGGCCTTCTGTGTGCGAAGCGACTTGTGCGAGATCCAGAGTTATATAATCGGAACTCTTCTACATAGGCATACCCTACAGCACAATGTATCATTATAACGTCAAGACGGTCTAGAGCGACCAGCTACTCGTCGTCGTCGTCGTCGCTCCCGTACTCCAACCCCAGTCCAAGTCCCGGCTTAGCCGGCGCTGCAGCCGGTTTGGAAGATCCAGCCTCAGCTTGCTGTCGTGCTCGGATTTCTGCAAAGTATTTCAGGCCTTGCATCGTCTCAGCACTAAGGAGGCCCTTGGCTGCTGGCAGAACGGGGGGCTCAGGAGGTCGGGTTTCTGGTACTGCTTTTGTTGTTGAAACTGCTTGTGGGGGTGCCTGAGACGGTACAGTCGGTGCAGAAGAAACTGTCTTTGCTCGTTTTGCCGGTGGCTCATCTTCATCCTCCTCATCAAGTTCGTCCGCAGTTCGTTTCTCCGCCTCTCGCCTGTTCATATCCGCCTGCATCTCATCGGCCAGTATCTCCTCTGGCAAAAGGTATTTCAGCTCCTCGTTCTCCGCCTCCTCTGGTTCTCCCTCCGGCCGACTAGCGTCCTCCAGCATCTTCACCGCCCTCACCGCCTCGACGACCCTATCGTCCATCTTTTCTGCGATTGCCCGCTGTCCAATGTCCTCCAGCCGCTGGATTTCGAGCACTTTGGATGTCGGGTTGGGGTCCTCGGTCGCCCATCGTACGTTGAGGATCTCGTCGTTGTCCAGTGATTGGCAGGCCATTGCCTCTTTTGCAAATTGTGCATTGAACTCGGAGACATAGGTCACAAATGCGACGGAACGGTGTTGGAGGACGCGGACTAACAGGGAGATGAGTCAGCGAAGGCCCCCCCAGAAAGAATTACGGGACAAAGACTTACCCTTTTCGATCTGTCCCCATTCCTTAAAATGCCTAATGACGATCTCCTCCGTTTCCGTTCCGGGACCAGTCTCTTTGATCCTGCCGATATACAGCGTCCTATTCTGCCTATTGAAGCTTCCTACACCACCCATGTCATCTCTGTAATCCGCAAACTTGTTGCGTGCAAAACAGTCGAGCGACGGGTCGGGAATGCTAGTGTCTTCCGAAGGCAGCCGGTGGAGATAAGCGCATTCATACCCGTAGGGACAACAGCCACGTGAGAAGAAGAGACAGAGGTAGCGCTGGCCGGTGATATCACCCCGTGTCCAGCCGGAATCGCGCTTGATGTGGCAGCGTGTTTGGCTCTTCGTTTTACTAGCTACGCGTCAGCAGTTGCTCCTCCCATACCATGTAAGAGAGGCTCACTTTGAGTAGTTGTCCTCCCTGTCCCCTCCAGCCCACTTGTTATACCAAATGTTGTACTCCTTCCCCGACTGCTCAGGGATGCTCTTCTCCACCTGACCAGGCTTGACCTGTTTCCTCGCCGGCTTCTCGCGCTGCATGATGATTTGGGCACGCGCTTCTGCATCTTCCCCTGGTTGTAAGGCGGGGTATGCGACGGGCTGAACAAAGTTTTGTACGACGAGAGAAGTGGACATTTTAGTTAGTGGTCGTTACAAGGGAAAGAGATAAGTTGATGAATGGATGCTCAGAGTGGCAGTGCCTGAAGTGGTGGTGTCGGTGATAAGCGCTTACGGAAGAAGCACACACGCGGCCTTTTCGGGCAATATTCTGCTGACAAGACAAGAGATCGTCAGAGTCAACGGCGATCTGCCTCTAAGAGGATTAAAGGCAATCGCTCTTCCTCTTTCGCTCTCTTTACGTCTCTCTTTATCCTCTTTTTACTCCCTTTGTTCCTCCGATTCATTCCTTACCAGCATATAGCTCACAAACCGTCATGTCCTGGCTATCAGCCACTCCACGAGCGTTTGCTCGCACGACACGTCTACGCACACTCACCCTCTCCTCCCACTGGCAAGATCCTGGTCCTTCTAACATCCGTATCCCCAGTCTTCACGCCTCCGGGTTCACAGAAGGACGTCGGCATCTCACCTCCTGCACCCCGGTGTTCGCACGAGAATCGGCCGTGCGGCACTACCCACGATGGGTCAACTCTGCGCGTGGGAACGGAAAGTCCAAGCCTGCCCAGGAAGAGCAAGGAGATGCAGAGAGCGAAGATGGGGAGATTCAAGGGAGAGACCACGAACCATCCCTTGACGATAGCGAGGAGCATGTCTCGCTCAGCGGAGAGGAGTCGGAAGGAGGACAAGGGGAGGGAGCGCCGCCTTCTTCTTCCTCTAGCGGATCGGGGGACGACTCTGATGGATCTGGATCTGGATCTTCGTCCCAAGACTCTCCTCCTTCGTCGGCCTCTTCCCCTCCTCCGCCTGAACAAAACACCCCGACGTCGGCACTCACGAAGAACACCGTACCCGAGATCTACCCCGAAGTGCTCGCCCTGCCTATCACTCGTCGCCCACTATTCCCCGGATTTTACAAAGCCGTCGTCGTCCGCAACCCCTCCGTCGTCGCCGCTATCAAGGACATGATGAAGCGTGGCCAGCCGTACCTGGGCGCCTTCCTGCTCAAAGACGAGAATGCGGACAGCGACGTCATCACGGATATCAACTCGGTGCACAAAGTTGGCGTGTTTGCTCAGATCACCAGCGTGTTCCCCGCTCCTGGTGGGGAAGGAAAAGATGGTGCGGAGAAAGAGGAGAGTTTGACTGCCGTGCTCTACCCACATAGGAGGATAAGGATGACCGAGCTCATCACGCCCAGTCACGGTGGTGTACCGGCCGCAAAGGTCCAACCGGTTGTCGAAGAAGGGCAGGAAGCAAAGATTGAGGAAGAGGAAGCAAGGCCGATCGACGCCAGCTCCGTTATCTCCAGTGCGTCCTCTTTGATGCTTCCCGCGCTTGCGCCCACTGACCTCCCCCTCCCAGCACCTATGCAGACCTCGTTCCTCAAAGACTACGCCATCTCCATCGTCAAAGTCGAGAACATGTACGCACAGCCATATAATAAGTCCAACCAGACCATCCGAGCGATCGTCGCCGAGCTCGTAAGTGTATTCAAGGAGATCGCCGGCCTGAACCCGCTCTTCCGGGACCAGATCACGAACTTTACCATCTCTCAGACGTCGACAAACATCTTTGACGAGCCTGACAAGCTGGCGGACTTTGCGGCTGCGGTCTCTACTGGGGAGGTTGGCGAGCTGCAGGACGTGCTGGAGAGTTTGGACATCGAGGACCGACTGCAGAAGGCACTCCTCGTCCTCAAGAAAGAACTTATGAACGCCCAGCTACAGAGCAAGATCTCCCGTGACGTGGAGAGTAAGATTCAGAAGCGTCAACGTGAGTACTTCCTTATGGAGCAGCTCAAGGGGATCAAAAAGGAACTTGGGATGGAGAGCGACGGGAAGGATAAGCTTATAGAGAAGTTTAAGGAGAGGGCGGAGCAGCTCAAGATGCCTGAAGTAGTGAGGAAGGTGTTTGACGAAGAGCTTAACAAGCTCCAGCATCTTGAACCTGCGGCGAGCGAAGCGAATGTTACGCGGAACTATCTGGATTGGCTTACTCAGGTGCGTATTCCATCGTTAGGAATAGGAGAAAGGAGGATTGACGTCAGATATTGCGTAGATTCCTTGGGGTGTGCACTCAATCGAGAACTACTCCATCGCGCATGCCACCAAGGTTCTTGAAGAAGACCACTACGGTTTGCAGGACGTTAAGTCCCGCATCCTGGAGTTCCTCGCTGTCGGCAAGCTGCGCGGGACAGTGGAAGGCAAGATCATCTGCTTTGTCGGCCCGCCCGGTGTTGGCAAGACGAGTATCGGCAAGTCCATTGCGCGTGCTCTCAACAGGCAGTTCTTCCGATTTTCGGTTGGAGGCCTCACAGACGTAGCGGAGATCAAGGGTCATCGAAGGACTTACGTGGGCGCTCTTCCGAGCAAGATCATCCAGGCGCTCAAACGGGTCGGTACGGAGAACCCCCTGGTGCTGATCGACGAGGTGGACAAGATCGGCCGTGGACACAATGGTGACCCTGCTAGTGCCCTCCTCGAGATGCTCGACCCGGAACAGAACACCGCTTTCCTTGACCACTATATGGACGTTCCTGTCGACCTCTCCCGGGTTCTGTTCGTCTGCACGGCCAATGTGCTTGATACTATACCGGCTCCTCTATTAGATAGGATGGAGGTGCTCGAGGTGTCTGGATATGTCGCGGATGAGAAATCGGTCATCGCCGATAAGTATCTGGCGCCACAGGCGAGGGAAGCGAGCGGCCTTAAGGACGTTGACGTCACCCTGGAGCCTGCGGCGATCGATTCGTTGATCAAATACTACTGCCGCGAGAGTGGAGTACGAAACTTGAAGAAACATATTGATAAGGCGTGTTCTGTCCCTCATGTGTAAATGTTCGGGTTTGCTTACACATGCGCTAGATCTATCGGAAAGCTGCCCTGAAAATCGTGCAAGACCTTGGCGAGGATGCATTACCTGAGGAAGAGGCCACCAAAGAGGAAATCAAGGATGAGCACGCGGCCGCGGTTGACGAACAACAGCCCAACCCCACGGCCTCTGTGCCCCAGCACGAGCACCACAAGGCGATCGTCACGACACAAGATCGCAAGCCACTCAAAGTGCCTGACACGGTGCACATTCGGATCGGCGTCGATAATTTGAAAGACTATGTCGGCCCCCCTATCTACCACAAGGACAGGCTTTACGTCAAAGCACCGCCTGCGGGTGTGAGCACTGGTCTTGGCTACCTCGGAAACGGCTCTGGCTCGGTCATGCCTATCGAGGCAACGTCTATGCCTGGCAAGGGTGGGCTGCAACTTACCGGCAAGCTGGGCGAAGTCATTAGGGAAAGCGCGCAGATCGGTCTCAGCTGGGTCAAGTCCCATGCCTTTGACCTTGGGCTCACAAAGGAGCCCTCGGAACAGTGGTTGAATGACAGAGACGTGCATTTGCATATGCCCGAGGGCGGCATTGGCAAGGAAGGCCCGAGTGCTGGGACGGCTATATTATCTGCCTTCGTATCGCTATTCACGAACACCAAGATCAACCCTGATATTGGTTTGTTGTTTTGAATGTGCCCTTAGAGCCTCATCACTGATCCTATCTTAGCGATGACTGGTGAAATATCCTTGGTTGGGCAAGTTCTGCCTGTCGGTGGTTTGAAAGAGAAAATTCTGGCTGCGCATCGTGCGGGCATCAAGACTATCCTGGCACCTGCAGCAAATCGGGCTGATATCGAGGAGAACGTGCCAAAGAGTGTCAAAACTGGCATCCGATTCGTCTATGTAGAGGATGTCCGCCAGGTCCTACAGGAAGTGTTCAAGGGCGAACCGGTCACGGAAAAGTGGAAGGAGACTCTGGCATACGAAGAGCCAGCGACGAGTGAGGAGGAAGTCATCGCGGAGCCCTCCAGAGAGCAGGCTGCCGCAGTCCAGAACTAGAACAATAGCAATGATGGCATTTCGTTTCCTAAGTTTATCTCAACCTCTAAGTTTTATGGTCAAGGCGACATTTGTAGGGTGGGTTAATCCAGCATGTTTCGCATTCCGGTGCATGTTTGTATTTTTAGACATATATCATCACCCCTCAGAATGCAAAGAGATGTAATAGGGAACCAAGTCTTTGGTCGACATTATAATCTAGCACTTGATCTATCGACTGTCTAGGTGCCTTGACGTGCCTGACTTCAAGGAGTGTTGTTGTCCGTTCATTCACAGCCATTCGACAGTCTGAACCAAGGGATGGTCAGCATGATGCGAGCACGAACAGACAGACACTTACACCCGGAGGTTTGGAAGAAATATCGTAGGTGACGCGGTTCACGCCAGCAACCTCGTTCGTGATTCGCGACGATATACGCCGCAACACCTCGGGCGGGAACACATACCAATCAGCAGTCATAAAGTCCTCCGTCTGCACCGCGCGGAGGACGACGACCTGATCATACGTCCGCTTATCGCCTTGCACGCCGACAGCCTTTACAGGCAGGAGGACCGCAAACGCCTGGCTGATCTGGTCATACAGACCCGCCCTTCGGATCTCGTCGATATAGATCGTGTCCGCTTTTTGGGCAATTTTGACCTGCTCGCGAGTGACAGGTCCGAGGATGCGGATCGCGAGGCCCGGACCAGGGAAGGGGTGACGGCCAACGAGATGTGCGGGGATACCGAGGAGTCTGCCTAATGCGCGGACCTCGTCTGCAAGCCATCATCAGTCCAGCGCAGAAACACATACACAAGTGCTCACCCTTGAAAAGCTCGCGCAGGGGTTCAATCAACTTCAGCTTCATGTCCTTCAACAGACCTCCAACGTTATGATGTGTCTTGATCGTCGCACTCGGTCCTTTGAAGCTGATGCTCTCGATAACATCAGGGTAAAGCGTTCCCTGCAAGAGCCACTCAATCTTCCCCTTCGCCTCCGCTTTCGGGTTTTCCTCCAGCTCCTTCTCCGCAGCCGCCTCGATCTTTGCTGCCTCCTCCTCGAACACGTGGATGAACATGTTTCCGATGATTTTTCGCTTCTGTTCGGGATCTTCAACACCTTCGAGCTTGGTGAGGAAGCGGTCGGAAGCGTCGACGACGGTGAGGTTGACACCCAAGTCTTCAAATAGCATCTTGTGCACTTGTATAGCCTCGTTCTCTCGCAGTACGCCGTTGTCTACCATTACAGCGTGAAATCTTAAGATGCATCAGAGATAATATCCCGGATTGAAAATGAGGAGCAGCGCACCGATCCCCAATCGCCTCATGCATAAGCTTAGCGGCCACCGAGCTATCCACCCCCCCGCTCACAGCACCAATAACGCGACCTTTCTCACCACATATCTGTCTAATACGGGCAATCTCCTTATCGATAAATGTTTCCTGCCTCCGCGTCAACCTCACATCCCATACCAACAGAATCCGACGCACCATCGTCCAGTTCGGCTTGCACTTGCAGATACTCAGCACGAAGGACTTGATCACCTCTTTACCCCTAGGACTATGCGTGACTTCCGCATGGAACTGGACGCCGAATATCGGCTTGGACTCGTGGGCGATAGCGGCGTACGGCGCGGTCGGTGTTTTTCCGATGACATTATAGTGCGGGGGGAGTGCAGTGACCTGGTCGCCATGCGACATCCACACCTTTCGAGGACTCAGCGTTATGACATATGTAAGCCTGAATTGCAGTAATTCACCTGCATCTCCCCGCAAATCCCTTCGAAGAGCTTATCGGCCAACTCGTGCCCCGCACCGAGCTTGACGACTTCCAGAGTCGCGAACCCGTACTCGCGATGTGTGCAAGGGTCAACTTTTCCTCCATGGTTCAGTGCGATCTCCTGATATTCCATGAGCACCTACTCTTCACTCGAAGGGATAGCGAACCTGGAGACCGTAGCAGACACCAAGCACCGGCACGCCGTAGTCGAATACGGCGGGATCAACACGCGGTGCTCCTTCGTCGTAGACCGAGAACGGAGATCCGGAGAGAATGATTCCTGTACCCCATGTATATCAGCACAGGTATTGGCTGTGAGGAGCCGCTGCGAACCTTTCGGCTTCCAATCCAGGTCGGCCATCTTCTGCGTGCAAGGCAACATCTCGCAATAAACGTTGATCTCGCGGCATCGCCGGGTAATCAGATGACTATACTGTCTCCCCCCCCAACAAATCAACAACCTTTCCACATCCACCAGAATAAAGCACACCTGAGAACCGAAGTCGAGGATGAGGACAGAGTCATAAGCGTCGTGAATTTCGGTCGCCATGGTCGTTTGTACCAAAATTTGGAGGTAGGGACCGCGGATGGGCGCTTGAGGGGTCACGCGCCTGAAATGGACCAACCTTCCTCAGCCAAGAGGAAATATTGATTTCTTCGAGCGTTTCTTGAACAAATTGTCTCTCTGCAATTGCTCACGCTTCTCGAACCAACTTGAGCCGAACGCGTCGGGGTCTACCGAATCTTCTCTTTCACAAACGCCACCACAACAAACGTAGATCTGAGCCCTGCCGACAATCTATCACCTACCTCACTCCCTGCACGCCTCTGCCACAGATTTAAGCAACTCCATCCCCCTGTAGGAAAGCTGTTGGAGGGGTTGGATGGCTTTAGATCAAAAGAGAAAATGATGAAGATGTTTATTTTGTTATTGTTTCCAAACGCAGAATTAGAAGGAGAAACGTTGTCCCAGATAGGAAGTGTGCTCATGTAAAAATGAGGCTTTGTAGAAATAAACAATGAGACTAAAGTTCCCCACCTAAAAGGAAATGTTGTTTTATTAGAGTGTTTCTTGATCAAATTGTCTATCTGCATTTGCTCAAGCTCCTGGAACCAACTTGAACCACCCGATACTTTCACACTTCGGGGTGTACCAAGTCCTCACCACCATGACATACGTAGATCTGAGCCCTCCAGTCTGACCATTACCTGGCCCCCTACACGTCCAATACCGTGACAGGCCTAAGCAACTCCATCCCCGCATAAGTCTTTCCACAAGCCTCCATCCCCATCTTCCTCTCCTCTTCCATTTCATCCATCCCCCAGCCACCCTCCTTCCCCGGCCGACAAAGCTCGTCCTTCCATTCCCCAGTCCGAAGCATCTTCTTCATTCTCCCCTCAGCATTCAGCAGCTGCACACGCTCCCACCTCACCCGACCTAGGGACTCCGAACCGCCCATCCCCGAAAGGGACATCGCTATTGCCGGCGGAACAGTCAGGCGGCGTTGTTTGAAGCACATGCGGGAGATGCACACGGTGTGCAGGATCGCGTTAGGAGGGAAGAGAGCAGCAGGCAGCGGCGCGGGAGGGGTGAGGACTTGCTCCGGAGAGCCGGATTGGCGTATTTTGGGGTAGGAGACGAAGTATGATACGACGCATAGCTGCTCCATCAGTCGTCAGGCGGTAGTTCCTGCTCAGGAAGGGGCGCTAACCCATTTATGATCCCAGCCTCCTATTGTGCTCCTGATCTCATACCTTCCCATAATCGGGATCTCCTTTATGAAGGAATAGTCGGCAGCCCCCATAGGGCAGGTTCCCTTATACGAGGAAAACCAGGTCAGGAAGAAATCCGCGCCAAACTGCATGCGCATTATATCGAGCGTCTTGGCATAACTGCTATTGCTCATGTGCCCGAACATGTCGCAGTCGTCGGGGGTTGCGAGTCCTTGCATTACATGAAGGCAGGAGAAGGGAG